ATCCCGAAAATTCCCGGAATTTAAATTCCTAGGATTTTCGAGAGCTGTTGCTGATATGTGATCGTGAGGCCGAACCCCCTTGAACAGCTGGCGGGCGGCGACCGTCATCGGAACTACCCTGGACCAAGAGATTTCCTTGAAGATGAAGGGGCACCCACGTCATCACTGTTGCGCTGGAACCTTAAATCCAACCCGGCAAGCCCAAACCTCAATCCGGACAATTCCTAAAATTCCGGGAATTTTCAGCTCCGGGTGATTCCCAAAATTCCCAGGGTTTTTAGACAAAAAATGTTAAATTTCCCGGAATTTTCAGGATCCCCCTGCAAGGCCCTCACAAGTAGCCAAATGGACCGGAAGAGGAGGCGGGGCATCCGACGGGGCGGCCGCAGAGCGAAAATAGGGGTCGAGCCCGTAGCCTTTTATGGGGATATGACTCCCAGATAATTGGCGACAAGACTTGATTTGGGGAGGACTCGTAAAATTATCTGGAAATCAAGACGTTATGGCAGCCGTACCAATCCGAGACATACATCTGAGAGCGGGAATTAAAACGTTAGAGAAGCTTGAATGGATCTGAAAAGCGTGAAAGGGCGGACTAATAATGCAATGGTACCATATTTTGGTCGACAAGTAAGATTTCCCAGTAGATAATATTAAGAATATAAATAGAATATCGGCACAACCTAAAACCGCCCAAGCAGATCAAACAAACAACACCGTGGCAATCCATAATCGACCAAACGGATCATATCATAACAACCCAAAACCACCCAAGCGAACCAAACAAACAATACCATAATAACAACCCAAAACTGACCAAACAAACAACACCATGACAACCCAAAACCACCAAAGCGGACCAAGCGGACAACACCATAACAACCCAAAACCGACCAAGCAGACAACACCGTAACAGCCCAAAACCACCCAAGCGGACAACGCCATGACAACGAATATCCGACCAAACAGACAGCACCATGACAACCCAAAACAAATGGACAACACCATGACGGCCCAAAACCGACCAAGCAGACAACACCATGACAATCCAAAATCGCCCATACAGACTAAGCGGACAACACCATGACAACCCAAAATCACCCAAGCCGACAATTCCGTGACAACCCAAGCGGACCAAGCGCACAACACTATGACAGCCCAAAACCGACCAAACAGACAACACCATGACAACCCAAAACCACCCAAGCGGACCAAGCGGACAACACTATGACAACCCAAAACCGACCAAGCGGACAATACCGTGACAACCCAAAACCACCCAAGCGGACCAAGCGGACAACACTATGACAGCCCAAAACCGACCAAGCAGACAACACCACGACAACCCAAAATCGCCCAAGCGGACCAAGCGGACAACACCGTGACAACCCAAAACCGACCAAGCAGACAACACCATGAGAGCCCAAAACCGCCCAAGCGGACAACACCATGACAGCCCAAAACCGCCCAAGCGGACAACTTCGTGACAACCCAAAACCACCCAAGCGGACAACACCATGACAGCCCAAAATCGACGAAGCGGACAACACTGTGACAACCCAAAACCGCCCAAGCGGACAACACTGTGACAGCCCAAAACCCACCAAGCGGACAAGACCGTGACAACCCAAAACCACCCAAGCGGACCAAGCGGACAACACTATGACAGCCCAAAACCAACCAAGCGGACAACACCGTGACAGCCCAAAACCACCCAAGCGGATCAGGCGAACAAATTGTGATAGCCCAAAACCGACCAAGCAGACAATACCGTGACAGCCCGAAACCGCCTAAGCGGACCAAGCGGACAACACCATGACAGCCCAAAACCGACCAAGCGGACAACACCGTGACAGCCCAAAACCGCCCAGGCGGACAACACCGTGACAGCCGAAAACCGACCAAGCGGACAGCACCGTGACAGCCCAAAACCGCCGAAGCGGACCAAGCGGACAACACCGTGACAGCCCAAAACCGACCAAGCGGACAGCACCGTGACAGCCTAAAACCGCCCAAGCGGACCAAGCGGACAACACCGTGACAGCCCAAAACCGACCAAGCGGACAACACCGTGACAGCCCAAAACCGCCCAAGCGGACCAAGCGGACAACGCCGTGACAGCCCAAAACCGACCAAGCGGACAACGCCGTGACAGCCCAAAACCGCCCAAGCGGACCAAGCGGACAACGCCGTGACAGCCCAAGGAAGGCCTAAACACCTGTGAAGTGAACTCAATTATTGTATTTGCAAGGAATTTAAGACGCACGAAATACAATAATGGAGAGAACGAAGTGAAACAAAGGATTTTAAGGGGGCCACAATATTATTATTACAAAAGCCCCCTTAATAGTAAAACAACCAAAAGATAGGAAAGTTATTCCTGATCCAATAGATGACAGGGAATTCCAGGAATTAAAAGAATCTGGAAAGGATGGGATTCTTCTTGGCATAACATTAAATCCTAAGAAATGCATTGGGGAAAAGGTAAGAAGAATACCAATAAATATTAAATGTAGATGAAAAAGAGAAAGTGTACTAGAGGATGAAAGTAATAAATTCTTAGTACCAACAATCTTTTCTCCATTAAAAATTATTCCAGAGAAGATAGAAATTATAGCTCCTAAAGAAAGAACAAAATGAAAATGTGCTACAACATAATATGTATCATGTAATCCTAGATCTACTGCAGCATTTCCAAGAATTATTCCTGTAGAACCACCTATAGTAAACATTAATAAAAAGAGATGTGAGAAGAAGACAGAACTAATTCTAAGGTGTAATAATAGTGGATTTCCAAGATATGTAAAAAGCCAATTAAAGATTTTTGTACCAGTTGGTAAGGATATTAAGATTGTAACTCCTGTAAAATAAGCTCTTGTATCACTTTCTAAACCTACAGTATACATATGATGCCCCCAAACAAGACTTCCAAGAAGAGAAATAGATGACATGGCAAACATCATTGATTGGTTACCAAAGATTATTAATTGTAAAATCCCAGAAATTATTATGGAAATGATCCCAAATGCAGGAATTATTAAGATGTAAACTTCTGGATGTCCAAAAAACCAACATAAATGTTGATAGAATATAGGATCTCCTCCAAATATAGGATCAAAGAAAAGTGTATTAGAATGAAGACCACCCAATATTAAAAGAAGTGTACCAGATAAGATTGGTAATGTTAATAAAAGCACGAAAGCTGTAATCAAGAAAGCCCAAGGAAATAATGGGATAGTCTTTAATGTCAGATAATAAGATCTCAGATTTAGAATTGTTGTCCAAAAGTTAAGAGATGTAAGACATGAAGATATACCAGAGATTAATAATCCAAATATAAGATTTCCTGTACTTGAAGGTGATAAAGTCATAAAAGAAGTGGATAATGGTGGAAAAAATGTTCATCCTGTACCACCTCCAAATTCTGAGATTATAGAAAGGATTAGGAAAAGATATGAAAGTAAAAGAATTAAGATAGAAAAAATATTGACTAGGATACAATCCGGGTGATTCCTAAAATTCCGGGAATTTTCAGCTCCGGGTGATTCCCAAAATTCCCAGGATTTTTAGACAATAAGCGTTAAAATTCCCGGAATTTTCAGGATCCCCCTGCAAGGCCCTCACAAGCAGCCAAATCGACCGGAAGAGGAGGCGGGGCATCCGACAGGGCGGCCGCAGAGCGAAAATAGGGGTCGAGCCCGTAGCCTTTTATAGGGATATATGATGAATTAGATCATAATTCATAATTATTTAGAAATCAAATATACAAACGATTCATGATGTCATAAATAGAGATATCAATCGTTTATTTAAAAGATTTTACTTGGAACGAATTCATGTCACTAGGAAATATTCTCCAATTAAATATATTTGTCTTACAAAACAAAGCCGGATTGACAAATAGTGGTTCGCCAATTTCTGCAATCGCTCCACGTTGCAGTCCTGCACAGAATGCGGAAAGGTGGTGCATCGTGTTTGAGCAACTTGGAGTCTGAGGGCTCTTCGGCGTAATCTAGTTGACGACATCCTAGATGTGCGGATGCATGTGAGACTGAAATGCCTTACATCAACTGGATGATGAGTCTCCATTGCTCTGCGAACCGCTGTGTCAGTCATGACTTTGCTTGTGAGGTTCAAGCTTCACGTTACAGAAGTGAAGCATCCCGTCCTGGCTCCCGCTCATCGCACTCTTGCCATCTCTTCACTCCTCCACGGTGCACATGAAGGGCTTGAACTGTCCGCCCGAACAAAACCTCAGCAGCATGCACCTGGCCCGGCAGGGATTTGATGATGTCCGAGTCACCCGGGTCTGTGATCGAGAGGCAGCTCACACCTTCAAGTGCAGGTGGGATTTAGTGTGGCTCGTGGATGGTTGTGCTTGGAAGTAAGAAGATGCCGCGGAGTTAAGTATATACGCAGAGAAATATACACACATAGACATATACACATATAGACATATATGCATATATACATATATGCGTATATGCATATATGCATATATACATATACACATATGTACATATATACATACATACATGCTTACATGCTTACATGCTTACATGCATACATGCATACATGCATACATATATACATATATACATAGATACATAGATACATATATACATCTTTACATATATACATAGATACATATATACATTTTTTACGTATTTCCATACATACATCTTTCACACATGCATATCTACATGTTCATATATATATATATATATATACACATACATACATATACACATATACATATATACATATATATATATACATACATTTATACATATAGACATACATGTATACATATATGTTTATATACATATCTATCGATGGATACGTATGTCAGTACATTAGTTGGGGTGGTGCCTCTGTCGATGGGCTTGTCGGGAATTTGAGGCTCAAGAACACAGGTTCATACGGGCCCAGGGAGGTGCAGGCGAAGGGGAGGGGGGGCCTCACATTCCCAAAAGAGCAAAATCAGTCTTTAGTTCTTTTCATTTAACAGTCCCGATGCGGTCAGCGCGCAAGGCGCATGAACAAGCACCTGCACCTCGGCACCTTACGCTGCACCAGTCACGAATCTGGTGCCCCAGACTCTCCAGGCCGAGCCCTGTGGCTTCAGCCCCGAGTTTGAGGGCCCGGCGGTAGTAGCGACCGCAGGCGGTTCCGAGTTCGTTGTTGTCACCGTGGAAGTGATGCACGCCAGTTTTGGCCTCGTGCTTTCTCTGCTAAAGCTGGAGCACATCCTGGATCTCTGGCCTCCGCCCTGCACAAACATGCAGGACGCATAGGCACACACACCTTACTGTTTTAAGTCTCGGGCCAGCATGGCGTAGTACTCGATCCTTGAATGGAAAAGCAAGTGCCGCAACGGCAAGTGGGCGCCAACATGAGACATCCACTCACCGAGACTCTAAATGAGAGAATGATCTCCAAGGTGTTGATTTTGAACTCCTCCAGACCCTGAAAGCTGAAGTCCCTAGTGTACACTAGGCTGCGAAATATGAACATTCCGAAGAAGGTCCCTCTGCATTGTCAGGAGGGTTTCGGGCTTTGGGCCTGTAGATGTTTACGCCCTTCTCGACTCCTGCAAAACCTTGAGGCCCAAAGCCTCAACCTGGGCTCCCGCGCTCGCTCTTCCTCAAGGCCGGGCAGTTGTTGGAGATCAGAACCAGCTTCGACTTGCCCTGCCTCGCACATTCTTCGGATGGGTGCTTTCTGGGTTGTACTGTTCAGGTGTTACAATAAGGGTGGTATTCGGAGTCATGTGTGGAGTCTCAAGAAGCTTTGGCCGAGACGTCTTGACCGAAAGATTTCCTTTCGGAACTTGGAATTCACTTGTTTTGGGGGGTCAGGTGCGATGGAGGTGGATGCTCGGCCCCTGTTCAGTGCACACGCACACCCAAAAAGTATCGTAAAACATGAGAAGCATGCAAAGCACAGTTTTTGCTCATGAGGAACCCGTGCCACTGCAAATGTCTGTGTGGGTCCGCACGAAACCCTCGAATAAAGGAACCAAGCGTTCCACAATCCTTAACCCAGGCGCACCTCCTTGTTCCAGTTTACTTAAACTCCGTTTGTGGAGCCTTTGGAGGCGGGGCGGTGCCGTCTGTTTCGGACGAGAAGCTTTGCAAATTCGGAATGTGCTCTTGGGCCTGGAAAGACATGTGTAAGCTCATCGACATTCCAGCTTACAACGCACATTCTTGAGTGGAGAACCCCACCTCGCCCCTGCCACACGCCCCCCCCCCCCCCAATGCGTGGCGCGGCGGAGGGGGTGTAGGGTTCAAGGGACGGGATGACATGACGATTTGGTCACATATTGTTGGTTGGTGGTTGCGCTTGTCTGGTTAATGTTGTTTCTGCCTTGCTGCTCGAAACCAACTTATCTGGACAAACTTGGGGTTTTCCACACAAGCCAGGATGTTGTCCAAAAACAGGCAAAACACTGTAAGTTACAATGCAAAGGCCTTGTCATGCGAAAAACCTGCGCTAAGACATGTCACGGTGTCGAGAGAGTCGCGAGGCTTCTTGCTGCTGTTGCTGCGGTTGTTGCTGAGGATGCTGTCGTCCGTCAAGCCCAGAAAGGGGCCCGCTGATGCCGATGATGCTCGCCCCTCAGCCCTCGGCACTGAGGGGATTTGAAAAAAGCGAACCTGCGTTCCAAAACAATCAGGGTTTCGATCAACACGTTCGTTCACAAAATGCGCGGTCAAAACGTTTCTTGGACTCAAACTACAACTTCTACAAAAAGCCAAAGCCCTCGGGCTGGAGCCTGAGCGTCTTCAGCGTGGTCTTGTAGCCCAGGCTGTACTTTCCACTCTTCATCACCAACTGGAGCCGGGCCTCAAGGATTGATTTGGATTCGAAGCGGGCTTCCAGTTGAAGGGCTTAGGCGGTTTAGGGGTTCAGCGGGGGTTTGAATTTCATGCCCGCCCCGGATTATGAAAAGGACCCAACCCGAGTCCTTTTGAACGAACTGTGTCTCCAAAGCCCCGCAAATCGTCTCCGGACTCGACTTTAATCCAAGAACTTGTCTTTATGCACAAGAAGGGCCCCCACAAAAGAGGGTCCAACATCCGTAGGGTGAAGTCAGGGAGGAGGATGGTGGAGGCAACAGACAGTTCAGGGTTTGGGACCCCAACGCCGGCGAGCAGAGCAATCTACCCAATCTGGGAAACTCCCAGACTCCCAGCGTCTAGACCTTTGACATTCATGGAACACTACATACCTTAAACAAAGCGCCTCACTGTCATGGCCTTACATCCGGGCTGAAGCCCTCAAGCTGAGTCGGAGGCATTGATGGAGTCGACAGACTTGGAAGCCTCCAACATGTGATCTAGGACGCGGCGTCTTTCGAAGAATTCGAAGGGCGGATGCAGGTCTGGGTTTGGGTTCGGGGCAAGGGTAAACCAGTCCTGGGATGTCTGAGGGAGCGTCAATGCGTGTATCCACCGAGAGGCAAAGTGCCGACCATCGCCGACCATCCCAAAACCCTAAGCCCTAACCCTGAACCCTACACCCTAAACCAAACACTCCTTCTTTGGACGGATTCCTGTAGAAGTCTCCATGGACCCCTTTGGACCTGACCTTCTATGGACCCCAATATGGACCTCGTATGACCTCTATGGAAAGCAGGCGGAGATTCTGGAAGTGTTGCAAAGCTTCAAGGAATGTCAGTAACCTTAGGCTCTATCACTGCGTCTCCTTTGGCTTCGAAAAGCATGCGAAGTTCTTGCCAGCTCTTAGGTCTTAGGATTTATCCGTCACCTTGGACTGCTTCTTGGTGGACATGATGGCGAAAGAGCAGGCCGGAGGAGTGCGCAGGATGGGAGCGAACCAAATGCCTTCAACGAGCCCAAAATGTCCAAAGCAGGAGACGAATTTTGTAGCGAATCTTGTGGCCCATGTCTGGCGGCTCCAAGGTTTAGTAGGACTGGGTCATTGCAAGCCTGCAATCTGGTGAGTTGATGTCGGGATGGTGCGTGTGTGTGGGTGTCGTATCTACAGGCACGCTGCACGACTCTGTCAGACATCCTACAACATAAGTCCCATGATGTCCCATTTCGCGCTGAGCGAGCACTTCGCAGGTCGTCAGGGGCTTCGTTGAGCTCCTGCCCAGCTTGGACTTTCAGATGCTGGAGCTTCTCGGGTTTCCCATCTCACAAGGGGTTGTGTGGCTGCAGTGAATGCGCTCAGGGCTTGCAAGCAACTCAGCGCGCTATGATGTGTCTGCCAAAGGCAAGCCCTTGCTAGAAGAGCAACAGAAGTGGCGACTGGTCTAGCATGGACAAGTGGGCCAAGTGTGATGGAAACCTCGCCGCCTCCAAAACCGCAACCGCGCGCCGACACTGTCCAGAGGCTTCAAATGCAGCCAACGCCGCCTGCCTTAGCAAGCTTCAAAAGAGGGATTGTGAGGCCGTGTGCTGAATGCTTCTGACGTGCCCTCAGGGGGGGGGATAAAGTCGCTTGGGGCTCAGCTGAAATTCCCCACATGGCTGGAGGATTGGAAGCCGCTGGTGGGTACAATCGCCACATCATGCAAAGAGGGTAAAACAAGTAACGAATCCACGCAAAGCGACTGAGTGATGGCGGTCTGCGACATCTCCAACTGACTGACCTCCAAAGCAGCAAAATGCAGACAGATAGCAGACATCCTGGATATGCAGTGCACTCCGCATCTCATCCTGTACCGCTCCCTCTGCTGGCACTTTCATGGCCTGTGAAGCAATGTTTCAGTCTTCTGTCAAGTTGGGGCTTTGAGGTTTGCCTTGTTTAACTTGTTTGCACAAAAACACAAAGTCGGGCACCTCGCCGACCAGTCGAACAGCCCAGGGCCATGCTGCGGAAAGAACGCAGGACCTTGTCCAGGCCCGGGGAACTTCTGGGTTCGGTGGCTTCTTGAACATGCAAAGAATGCCGAGGATGGCTTTTGCCATCGAGGGCACAGTGGACCTCAATTTGCTGTCAGACAAAGTGGCGAAACGGCGGCATTGGTGCTGCGCAGCGTGGTCTCCCCGGCACTTCCTGACCGGCGCAACGAGGGGGCCCTAAAGAAAGCATAAGCCCCAAGCGTGGAAGCAACCGCAGACCGATTCGGACCCGGGAAACTGCCCCAAGCTGCCATCGATCTCGCCTAGAGAAGCTGGCCACAGCATCAGCGAGCGTGTCCACACTCCAGCTGCGCCTGTGGCGGCGAGCCTCGATTGTCCCGATTTGTACTGCCAATTCTCACCTTCGCACCATTGATACGGGCACTGCCTCACGCTGTCAAAAACACATCCTTTCTTCTTCTACAAAGTGTCAGCATTTAAAGTTAAAGTTCTCGAAGAATCAACGCAGTACAGGCCGCGTGATTGTATGAGTGCATGTCTAGGGTCAACCTGTCTACACTGCTTTGAGTGTGATGGCTTCCACCTCCACTGCCATTCCATCGGGGTGCAGGCTCGAGCCTTCCTTAAAAAGGTGCTGTTGTGGCATGCTCTTCGGAGCTACACGCTTGGGACTTCTTGTTCCCCATGACCAGAAGGCAACAACAATTAGTAACTTAAGAGTGCCAACAAACATGCAGACCACGCGGCTCACATTTGTAGCAAGAGCCCGAAAAGCCCGAAGCTTAAGTCACCGGGCAAACCTTGAAGCCTTGCCCCTCGTACTCAATGGCTCAGCAGCAGTGCCAACCGCGCGAGTTCGGCGACCTCGCTTCTTCGGGGCGCATGGGGGTTCGACAAGGGATAAGGGGTCAATTTGGAACACAAAAAGAGTCCATTTGGAACACAGAAAAGAATCAATCTGGAACACAGAAAAGAGTCCATTTGGAACACAGAAAAGAATCAATCTGGAACACAGAAAAGAGTCAATTTAGAACACAGACAAGTTGCAGAATGAACCAGACCCTGGGCTTTAACGTTAAAACGCGAGCGCATTCCAAATTGCCCCCTTGTTTCTGGCCATCATTTTTGGGCAGGTGGTATTTCAAACGTCCAAATTGACACTTTTTGGGTTTGCGCGTTCCAAATTGACCCCTTGTTGCGGGGCCTTGTCGCGTTGTAAAATAAGGCCTTCTTGTGCCCCCCCCTCCTCATTTGCAAAAGCAATGCTCGCGTGATGAGTTTGGAAAGGATTCATATGGTCTTGAAGCAAGCTTGCACGGCGGGGAAACGCAATGCTCAAATGATGGGTTTAACCATTTGAAAACATAATGCCCGCATGACAGGTGGCTAGAAAAACCACTTTAGAAAAACCGCCGGTGTTTCCAGCGGCATTGAAACAGCCAGCTTTGAAAAACCACTGGTTTTTCTACCCGCCGCCGTAGAAAAACCCATTGTTGTTCTACCCGGCCGATAGAAAAACATCTTTTGAAGACAACAGCGGCGTTTCCAGCATAAGAAAAACCCGCCGCCTTAAAAAACCAGCGGTTGTTCTAGCTGTCGCCGTAGAAAAACCACAGCGGTTGTTCTAGCCGCCGCAAAACAACCATAGCGGTTTTCTGGCCGCTGCCTTAGAACAACCAGCGGTTGTTCTACCCGGCGCCATAGAAAACCACTTTAGAAAAACGGCCGGTGTTTCCAGCGCGGTTAGAAAAACCACCTTTGAGAAAACACCGCAAAAAGATTACCGGGGAGCGGAGCGAAATCACCGCAGGCTGCAAGTTTCAACGTAACCCGCGTTCCAACTTGACCCAGTCCCGCGTTCCAAATTGACCCCGTTCCCACTCGGTTCGACACATTTCGACCCCCAAGGCCTCGGAAGCCAAGCTCCCAAGCCAGACCTGAACCCTAAGCTCCCGAAACCCAGAAACCCACCGCTCCTGAAAGCCACACTGCAACAGAACTTTCACGACCGCATTCAGGCCAGGGACTTTGACAAAGGAAAGAGCCGGGAAGCCGACATCCTGAACCCTTCCATCCTAAGCTTCTCAGACTGACCCTTTTCGTCCCTAGTACCCCTTGTTGGACCCTGTTTTCATCCCATCGTTCTTCGGAAGTAGACGGTCACACTCTTGTAAGCGAAGACTGACAAAACAATTACACAGCTTGGCGTCATACATGCATTTTGCGCAGTAAAGCATGAACGTCCGGCTGGCACCTCCCTGACTGCAGCTGGGCTTAAGGATAATTCTTCTCTTCCCTTTTGACGGCTTGATCCTTAAGCCCCCGGGCCGGAGGTGATGTCGTTTGCTCTAGGCCAGATCCGCGGATCATTGTCGTCACTCCACTCCACTCCACTCCACTCCACTCCATCGTTCATCCCACGCCTCCCTGCAAAGCCAGCCGGGGCCTCCAGATGCTGCTTGGCGGCCCAGTCTTGCAAGGACACCGCCACCTTCCGGGCGTCTTCAGAGCACAGGGGCTCGTCGTAGAGAAATCAAGGGAAAATCCGAGACATCACTAAGTTATCATATTGCATGTTGACATGTACGCGGAACCTTCCTAGAATTGCACAATCCATCTCGGCGATGCAACCATCGCTCTCCTCGCTTCAAGCCATAACAGCACTCTGGCCGACTGCTCGCACGTAAGGAGTCTATAACCTCTCGCAACAGCTGCCAAATCCACACAACCCCAGCCTTCCAAACCTCTCGGCTCGAGGCCAGGGCAGCTGCAAGTGACCTAAAAAAGTCGTCCAGCTCAGGCAAAAATGGATCCGGAGCAAAGTGCGTTCAGCCTTGTGCTTCAGGCAAGTTGCACGTCCGTCACCCTCAAAGAAGACAAACGGCCTGCAACTGCTCGTGGAAAAGAGATGGAGGTAATGACTCTATGCTGCAACCCTCAGGTCACTGCAAGTTTGGTGAGCCTGTTGTGAAACCAAGTTCATCATATTTGCGTACGAAGAGCCTCCGTACATGCCCCTTTCCGAATGCAAGCGCCGCAACATGATCAAAATGGCACAAAGAAGAAGAAACGCGGCTTCCAAAAGAATCGCAACTTGCAGCCTCGCAGAAAGGAAACCTGCAGTGTAGCTGCCCAGTTCCCGGGTGCCTTCATTCAAAAGGGAGAGGGCGCCAGCCCAGTCGCCAGACTTCCTGCACTTGGGCTTCAGGGCCTAAGCTTAGATAAGGGGAGATGGTGCGAAAGGTAGGGCAAGGATGTGTGAGGATGTGTCAGGACGGCAGTCGGTGTCAGGATTGCGTCGGCCGAACCACCTTCTGTAAAAGCCTCGAGCACCTTCTGTAAAAGCCTCCAGCACGAAGCCCCACAACATGAACTTTGCTTCAAGCCTGTTTGACACACGGCTTGTCGGCTTGTAATACTCAGACCGCTCGACCTCTCCAAAGATGAGCCCGCGACCAAGTTTACTAAGTTCCGAAAAGTTTCGAAAACCTCCAACCGAACAGTCCCGACGGCACTTTGCGCCGCCCCCAGGCCGACTTCATCGCGGCGAAGGCCGCGGCCGGCCAGCAGGCCTGCGGTTCTTTCTGGGTAGGTGTTTTAGGCTGAGGCTTTAGGGTTTGAAGGTTTGCGATTTGGGCACAGGGTTGGGAACTACTAGGGGTCGGAGATTTGCGGGCATTAGCGAGATTCGGGGGCTTTAAGCAGCTGAGAGGTCCAGGCTTCGGATTGCCAGGTGGTAGAGCTTGCAGGAACATACGGTGGACCTCGGGATGACCCGCCAATCTGCCTAGGGCCTGTGAGCCTACGACGTTTAAGTGCCTGTAATGCTTGTCACTACGCTCAGTTAATAAGCTGGGCGTGGATTTCAGGGCGAAAGGCCACAGGCTTGCGCAGGATTTGAGGGTGCGTTCAACAGCTTTGACACAGAGCCCTGCATGTTGTGATTCCATTTATACCAGAAGCTGGCTTCTTATGAACAGACCTCAGAATAGCAAGGATCATAGTGGGACATACACTTGCAGGCAGGCGTGGCAGCTCTTCGCTGGCCAACACGAGTTTGCTCTGCACAAAGCTCTCCCCACGTTCCCGGGCAGCCCTGTGCTCTAAGGATGTGAAGAACCCTGTGCACTGTACCTGTGCTGCAAATTCCAGCACTCGACAGATGCACGAAACAAGCCAAGCAAATTCTTAATCTAAGCTCCCCGCACAAAGCTTGCTGCCACGCGCCGCCGCGATCGCAGGCGGCCATGCCTGTACAGAATGTACGTTCGACCATGAAATTTAACCATGAGCCGTGATACAGTAGGTCAATAATTATGCACACCGGCTCCAACTAACTTTGTTCAACGACGACCCCGAACCATCCAGCTGGAAAGTTGACAAAAACATGCCACATGGTATAAGAATAGCAGTAGCGTACGGCCATAGCTCGAGTATCGCCCAGGCTGGGGTGGGCTGGGGAAAGGTGCAGTTGCAATCACAGCCGATAATGGCCCGCGGAGCCCTTAATTTGCTACATTGGCCACAAGCCTACAAGCCTACACTGTCCTGCACCCAAAGCCCTACACCCGAAACCGCCCTGAATCCTAAACATAAAACCCAGCCAACGAATCGAAGTGCCCTTCGATTGAAGCCTTGGTCCTTGGCCGATCTGACATTCCATCGTCCTATAAGACTTGAGCAACCCGCTGGACCCTTCCACTTTTGAGGTTGGGTCATGGGCGTATAGGCCGTAGGCTTCAACGCTTCTGAGGGAATCGTGCGGACATTGTCTTCTTTTTCTTTGGGCTCCTCCCTTGGCTAACTCGAAGTGGCAACAGAGTTTACCAACACAGCCTGAAGCCAAAGACCATTCTGACCTGCATTGGCAGGCGTCGTGTCGCTCGCCCCCCGCGCGGCAAGGAGGTCCAGAGCATTTTCCTTGATGAACTAGCAACCACGGCAACGCACAAATAGACATCTAGTGACATATGAAGATATAGTCACGAGTAAAAACAAATAGTAGGAAGTAGGAAGAAAATGGCAGCGAGTCAATGCATGGAATCCTAGATAGTCATCAGAAATGCGCAAGAACAATCAGGAATGATAAGTGAAAACATATACTGCTGAAGACAAAGTAGACAGGAACACCAAAGAATGGGAGATCATATTCATCATATACAAACATGAACTGCATTCAGCAAGGAATAAGGAACTAATGAGGCAATACAACAGAACACCTGTTGATATGTGTATATACATATATACATTTACTAGCATAGACATGCACATATAATATAGAAAAAGCTTTTGAGCTGCGTAACGCCAGGCAGGTGCTCAAAGGCAAGCAGCCCGTGTAGTTCTGAGGCTTTTCTATGCCTCCTGCTCAGGCATTAGTCAGCGCTGACTTAGAGACCTGTGGTGTGTACATGTGTGCATGTATATATATATATATACACGGTACCCTCCAAAAAAGAACCCTGCATTTCTTTGTGTTTTGCCCTGAAGTCCAATCCTCATCCTGATGCATGGCTGACATTCAGAGCAGCCAGAACCACAAACAAAAAACACACATAATCACATATGGCCACAGTAGACTCGCATTGTAGGCTTCCAGCATTCCAGATAATTCGGATCCCCAACTTCAGAATTCTAGAAATCCAGGAGTCCAGATTTGTCGGGCCAGGAGATTTCTAGTATTCCAGAAATCTAGATTTTTTCGGCCCGCCAATTCCAGAACTCCAGATTCTGATATCTAAGTCTGAAAAGAAGTCTGGAATTCTGGAAGTCCATAGAGTCAGAATTAGGCGATGTGCGCTCGGTTCGGTTCTATAACAAATGAACCTGGAAGATGATTGAAACAGCCCTTACAGTACCTAAATTACCCAAACAAGTGAAATACTTGAAAGTAAGTAAGTCAAACAAACTGCATACTTTACCCACTAGATATGTTCAGCCAGTATTTAGTTTTTGAGAAGCGTGATTTAATCAGACTTCAACGGGAATCAGATTAGAGACATGTCAGATACTCTGTCACTCACGAAAGCAACGACATTAATTGAATGAGCTGATTACCGCATAAGTGAAGGATGCTGAAAACCTTTTTAAGGTAAAGTAGCATTACTTGATGAATATACGCTCTTTAAAACTTGAGTCAGCTAATTCACATCGGGGTCAGTTCAATAAGGCAAGAAGGACGGAAGAAAACGAAGAGGCGTGGAGGAAAGGCAAGAAGGAAGGAAGCCAAGGGAGGCAAGCAAGTACGATGCGCAAATAGGCCTTAGTCTAAACAGACAAATTGAATTTGTATTTTTCGGGAAGCTTTCAGCATCATTGACACGAGTCGTTCCTTTAAAGGACAGGAATCTAGTTAACCTGGGCCATTTAATTCTTTCGACCAAGGCTTAATGGTATCATGTCACCTCACTTTCACCCTTACTTACAGGAACCACACAAAGGGAATAATTGAAATTAGGTTAAGCTAAACAAATTGCATGCGCTAGTTAAATCAGCGATGTGTTTAAGTCTTGGGTAACTTGATTTACTTAGTTGACTTAAACGGCTCATTTTACTTGATTTCTTTAAACTCATTAGTTGTTTTTATTCTAGTTAAGGTTTGGCTATATTAATTCCCAACAGCCGCAGAGTTGCGTTTGTATCCCGGGAGGGGGGGCCGGAACGGAACGCCAGAACGGAACGGAACGCGGAACTTGATCATCTTTGTCTTGCTGGCTGTTGGGTTGCACAGTTGGGTTCATAAAGTCGTTAACATTTACGATCTTTGAAAAATGAGGGGTCAGCTGACTTCCCTCAATGTCTAACTGACTGTTTAAAATTTAAAATCTAACCCAGCTTGCGTCGTACCGGACTCGGTTTAAGCAGTATCAGTAGGCTGATATAGAGGGACCATGGGTCCTTTGGGAATTAAGGAAAGTTGGGGCACTCCCTTCACCCCCCCCCCCAAAAAAAAAAAAAAAACATCGGGCACGCCCTTAACCGCCTTAAACCCTCAATCATTTACATTCTCGCCCCTGTCAAGCCCAAAAAAAGCCCTTGAAGCAACTTACACCGAGACAGCCTCTGAAGCGCCCAGCGTCCCACAGCGCCCGGTCTCCCAGGCTGGAGAGCACTGTCGCCACAGTGCCTTGGAACTTTGGCAAAGGCAAACCGCCCCCTCCCACAAAAAAAGAAGATGCATCATAATAATCCCCGCAAGCTGGGAGCGAGCGCAAGTGAAGGGCTTTTTCCGCTCCAGTGCCCTGGCAAAGGGGATACTCCTGCAAAGTCGTCACACAGAACGGTTTCCTTTTGACATGCCCCTGTACCCGGCAAGCACCCACCCGCCCTACCCCCCCCCTACCCCTCCCCAAACCACCCCCCAACAAAAATGCTAAAGTTTTTATTTGTCCTGACGTACAACTTGCGAAGTTTGGCGCCTTCCCTGTACCCCTTCGCCCAAACCCCCCACGAACCCGACCAGCCTCCCCTGAAACCCTAAACACCAGGCCTTGGCTCAAGGGTTTAGGGGCTCAAGGGTTTAGGGTCTCCAAAATTTATGGGCTCAAGGACGGGCCCTGCCCACGAATCTTTGGGCCTTGCCCACGAATATTTGGGCCTTGCCCACGAATATTTGGGCCTTGCCCACGAATATTTGGGCCTTGCCCACGAATTTTTGGGCCTTGCCCTGGCCGTCTGTGCCCCCGCCCCCCCCCCGCCCCAGCCACCCCCCAAAAAAACGCTAAAGTTTTTCTTTGTCCTGACGTGCAGCTTGCGAAGCTTCCTTGTACCCCTTCAAACCCTTACACACCACAAACGACCAGCCTTCCTGGCCCTCTACCGGCTAACACCCACCCCTCCGCCCCCGCCCTATGCCCCCGCCCTATGCCCCCGCCAAGCCACCCCCCCAAAAAAGCTAAAGTTCTTCTTTATCCTGATGCGCAAGAAGCTCTGGACCATACCCACTCGCCGCTCGCAGTGCGGCAAAGCGAGAAGGTATTGGAGTTGAGAACCCCAGAACTCTCGGGAGCAGGCTCGGACTTCTCCATGAGAGGCCAGCGGAACCCGCGCGAGGATCTCTTTGAGCAACCAGAAAACTTCGCGCCTGTGCTTGCCATGGCTCTGCCACGATCGCGCCTGCAAACCCGAAACTTGCAAGCCAGTGAGCATGCTACACCCAACCCAGATGATTGCCAGAGTGCTGCCTATTTGGCGTGAAGGCACGGAATAGGCCACACAGCGATCCAATACAAAAATGAAAAACAAAGGCATAGAAACTACAAGCGACCTAGGCACAGAAAAAGGCACCACACAACAACCAAAAAATGAAGACACAGAATTGTGTTCAGACGTCTTTCATTTTTTCGGTTTTTGTTTCTTTTCAAAGTCGTGTTGAGACAACCCTTTAGTTCAAATTTTTGGTTTTATGTCGAAGGTTGAGACCATCTTTTTGGCTCGATCTGGTAAAGTGGTATTCAGACATTCTTTGGCATTGAGACGTCTTTGGTTCATTTTTTTTGTTCTGTCAAAGTGGTCTTGAGACATCTTTTTGGTTCAAATTTGGTTTTTTGGCCGAAGTGGTATTGAGACTGTTTTTGGCTCGATCTCAAGGACTCTTTGGTGGAGACACCCTGTCACCCTGTTTTTTGGTGTTGTGGCGGGAACCCTTTGGTTCGATCTGCTCAGAAGTGTTCGACATCCTTTCAAATTTCTTGTTTTCTGCCAAGTGGAGTCTAAGGCAAGAAAGCTGTCGGAGATTGCCTCTGGCGGGCTCAACCCTACACCCCTACGTATACCTCAAACCTCAAACCCTCTACATTTGGTCGCGGCATTTTTGGCGCCTTCCCTGTACCCCTTCACCCAAACCCGACCAGCCTTCCTGGCCCTCTACCCGATTCGAAGTCTCCTCGAAGGTTTGCAGCGATCGAGCGGCTAACACCCACCCCTCTAACGTTTGGTCGCGGCATTGCCCCCGCCCAGCCACCCCCCCCACCCAAAAAAAACGCTAAAGTTCTTTTTTATCCTGATTTACAACTTGCAAAGCCCATTTGGTCGCGGCATTTTGGCGCCTTCCCTTACCGGCTAACACCCACCCCTTCGCCCCCTACCCCCCCCAAACCCCTGCACCCCACAAACCCAGCCCCCCCCCCCTTGCGAAGGATTGGTCGCGGCATTTTGGCGCTGTACAAACCCCTACACCCCACAAACTCGACCAGCCTCCCGCCATGCCCGCCGCCCCCCCCACCCCCCCTTTTCCCCGCCTCCCCCCCCCTTTGCCCCCCCCCCCCGTGTGAACCCCCCCCCCCCCCAGCCACCCGGCCAAAAAAACGCTAAAAGTTCTTCTTACGCAGCCTTCCTGGCCCTCTACCCGGCGAACACCCACCCTCGCCAGTTCTTCTTTATCCTGATTTGCAACTTGCGACGCCCATCTCATCGCGGCGTTTTTGACTTCCCTGTCGCTGCCCACCCCTCCGCCCTCCCCCCTATGCCCCCACCCGCCCCCACCCTACGCCCTTCCCCATACCATGCCCCCGCCCCACCCACCCTTTAAAAGTTCACCGCCCTCCACCCCCCTCCATCCCCCACTTTCCCGGCCCAGCCACCCCCCCTTCATTGCAGCTTGCCCATTTAATCGCGGCTTTTGGCACCTTCTCTGCCCCTTCACCCAAACTACGGCTAACGTCCACCCTCCGCCCCTCCTATGCCCCCACCCCAGCCACCCCACCCCCCCCGCCCCAGCCACCCCCCCAAAAAATCGCTTAAGTTTTTTTCGTTATCCAACACCATGAGCCCTAAACCCTAGACCCTAAACTGAGACCTTAGACCCTGAACCCTAAACCCTAAAGCCCCTGCCCTGCTACTCTGTCGGTGGAGCCTGGCGCCTTTTACGGGGTCGGCGGAAGCGGCGCTAGCCCTTAGATAATAATAATAATAATAATAATAACAACAGTAATAATAACAATAATAATCATCATCATTATAATAGTAATAATGAATAAAGAAATAACAATAAATAATGATCATGACCATAATCATAATCATAATCAGAATCATAATCATAATCATAAAATAGTCATAATCGTCATAACCACCATGATATTCATCATAATCATAATTGGACTGAAAATTCCCTCACGTGCTCCAGGCAGCAACTGGACATCCCGCCCGCCGCAACATGTTGTTCAAGTCGGGTTGCTGGAAGTTGGCTTCAGCTGACGTGCCTCCAGAGCGGAGCTCAAAGCATGAACAACTCCTGGCTTGTCACGGAAAACCAGCCTTCACTGTGACGCGTTTGATGGCGGCACACTCCCCACAGGCCCACATCCCAAAACAAACCAAGCCGGAGGTCTTCAACGCTTGACATCCTAGTATACTCGCGCGCTGACTTCGCTATCCCGGCCGGGAAGGTCGCCAGCAGCGCGGCGGCACGGTCCCAGCGCGGAAGCGCAGCGGCCGCGTTCAGGGCAAGCGTGTCAAGGAGGACACCTTCCGTGGCTTCGAGCTCTTCGGCTTTCTGGGGGGTTTCGGGGTTCAGTCTTCCGGAACTTCAGGAACTAGTGTCTCGACAGTCCACAATTCTTTTCAGTGTACGAACAATTTTCGGGCATCAAATCTGGCTGAGGGCGTATCGATTCAGCCTAAGAGTCCAACCCCGAAGCACTTCCGAAATTAGGCCGCGCCGATGAGTGATGTGTGCGCAATGTCAGTGAGTTCTTTCAGCACGTTTCGGGGTGGGTTGGGGGTTTGTGGGTCGACTGCATGCCCAGATGGGGCCCCGTGGCTCTTCCGAATGGGAACCTGGGTAGAGCCTGGCATACACGGACAAGTTACGAAGGGCCCGCTATGTGTGGTATTTGAAAAAGTTTATGCAACTTTCAAAACAATGCCTCAAGGCAGCAAAACTGTCGTAGCACGATGCACCCGCATCGCAGAAAAGTGCATGGGCAAAAGGCTCCCAAGCCTTCAACACGGAACCCTCCCTGCGACTAATCGATAACCTCCCTACGCCCCACACTCTGAACCAAAGAAAGACAACCAAATCCCTCGGGAAACCCCGGAGCCTTGACTTTGCGTAGCGGCCAGGAGGCCCCAAGCCCAACACCAGGCCTGCCACTGGCGCTCGGGAAAAGCTTCCGGCCTAGGGCTTAGGGTTGAAGGTTTGGGGTTCCAGGGATGCCAAATGAAAGCGAGTTCATGAACGCGCATCAGTCCCAGGACTACCCATTGAGATCTCTCACAGTCTTGAAGCTATGGACATCTTGTCATGACAGACGAGAGAGAGTGCTCCATGCTTGATGGGCAGGAAGAATGGCAGGGATCTGCCTGTGGGACTGCAGCGCCCGCCGCAAGCGCGCTGAAGCTGGCACCAATGCCTGTCCAATCGCTGCTGGCTTGGGATGCTGAAACTGATCTGCCTCCATGTCCGCCACTTTACGCGACGTTCCGCCCGAGCCCTGTCAGCTTCACGACTTCACCCTAACTGCCTACAGATCCTACAGGCCCAACAAGTCCAGGATGCCAATTGCATCAGGCTTCCCAAGCCGGAATGTCAGGGCATAGACCTGGCAGCAAACGATTCGAAGGGGGTACTCATGCTGCAAGGCCCGTACCAATATCAAAACAAAGAAAGACGTGCTCGCGGCCCCCTCAGCTGGGCCACCTCCTGCCAACGTGCGGCGCGGGCACACCTAAGCAGGAGTTCTGCTTCCGAGTATACATCACACATCGCATGACGCAACAACAAGTGGTGTTCTGTGCTTCGGTTTTCGTTCTCTCTTCAGCCCAGAATGCTCGAATGCTCACGGGGTGGTGAGGATCATCGCATCTGCATGTAACGCGCGTCTCCCTCTGCGCCAGCGCTTGCATGGTGCGAGGCACAGCCTGAGCTCAAGCCTGGGAACGTACGTTGGAGGAAATTGGGACCACTCAAATCCTGGAGTGGCTCTCATGATTGAAACTAAAGGTCAATCGGGCTGCCATGTGTAATGTATCGTACAGACTGTCAAACAATCTTAAGACCTACACCCCACACCCCTTGGTCTGTTCTGTTGAGTATGCGGTCAGAATGCGCTGTGGAGGCAGCGTTGCGGCCGATGGCATCCGGGCGCAGGGATTGGCCTGCAGCTTAGGGCTAGAGGGTGAACACGGTTTAAAGTTTGGGGTTTAGGATTTCGAGAAGACTCCTGACTGGTGGAACGCACAGTACCCCAGAGTTTGTGAGGGATCTCATGCCCCCCGCTGCCCAAACCCCGGCCCAACATCTGCAAGCGCCCTGACGCTTGAATCCTACCCAGCCCTGAAGCAACGCATACAAAGTTCAAAGGCCTCGCTGCCCGAAGACGATGGCTACGGCATCGGCCTGGGCATGTCACTCAGGTTTGCCGCAGCAGCAGCAGCAGCAGCAGCAGCAGCAGCAGCAGCAGCAGCACCACCAGCAGCAGCAGCAGCAGCCGCCGCCGCCGCCGCCGTCGTCGTCGTCGTCGTCGTAGTCGTAGTCGTAGCCGTAGCCGTAGCCGTAGCCGTAGTCGTAGTCGTAGTCGTCGTCGTCGTAGTCGTCGTAGTAGTAGTAGTAGTAGTAGTAGTAGTAGTAGTAGTAGTAGTAGTAGTAGTAGTAGTAGTAGTAGTAGTAGTAGTAGTAGTAGTAGTAGTAGTAGTAGTAGTAGTAGTAGTAGTAGTAGTAGTAGTAGTAGTAGTAGTAGTAGTAGTAGAGTAGTAGTAGTAGTAGTAGTAGTAGTAGTAGTAGTAGTAGTAGTAGTAGTAGTAGTAGTAGTAGTAGTAGTAGTAGTAGTAGTAGTAGTAGTAGTAGTAGTAGTAGTAGTAGTAGGAGCAGTAGTAGCAGCAGGAGCAGCAGGAGCAGCAGGAGCAGCAGGAGCAGCAGGAGCAGCAGGAGCAGTAGGAGTAGGAGTAGGAGTAGGAGTAGGAGTAGGAGTAGGAGTAGGAGTAGGAGTAGGAGTAGTAGGAGGAGGAGGAGGAGGAGGGCAGCAGCAGCAGCAGTGGTAGTGGTAGTGGTCGTGGTCGTGGTCGTGTGGTAATGGTAGTGGTAGTGCTCGCGGTAGTGGTGGTGGAAGCGGAAGTGGAAGTGGTAGTGGTAGTGGTAGTGGTCGTGCTAGTGCTAGTGGCAGTGGCAGTGGCAGTGGCCGTGGCAGTGGCAATGGCAGTGGCGGCAGCAGCAGCAGCAGTAGCAGCAATGAATATAACAGCAGTAGCAATGACAGCGACTACTGGCATCCGCCGTCGCCCAAAACCCGAAGCACCAAGATCCGCATTCAGTGGCCCAAGCCCCCACAAAAGCACCCACTGCCATCTCTTGGCTTGGCATTCCTGGGAGCAGAGCCCACCGCTCTACAGCAGACGTCGCAGCGTTGAGCCTGGGCAGTGCTTCGTTCAGGGTTTTAGTGCTCCGGGTTTATGGGGTTGAGAATGTAAGTTCAAAACCTGCTCCCTATTCATACCACTGCCAGGTATGTAAACCAGCCCTAGACAACAGCAAGATTTGCAAAGCAAAGCAATACTGAGTCAATACTGGATAAAAGGATCGCTTCAAAGACATGCTCCAAATTTCCACACGCAAAAAATGAACATTGCAAAACCCGTAACACCCTCGACAAGTGGCTTTGGCTTGGCTTTGCTTCCCCCCTAAACCCTAAACCCAATAGGCTGACCTTTCTCAAAGCATCGAACCCTCACAACTGGGCAGCCTCAAAGTTTGGTGAGGCTGGCTTGGGCTTGGCTCTCTCATTTGCTTCTCATTCTTTTCATATGACGTGCTCTTTCCTTCTGGGATTGCCTTCACTTTCCTAGCACTTTGTCAAGGCAAGCTGGTAGCTTTCCCGCCTGTTGTTGATCCTTGTTTGCCTTGATCCAAGTCGGTTGTTTCGGACTCGCTTTGTCTGATGCCTGTGCAATGGCCTGGGCCCACGGCTCCTCGACTGTGGGGGAGACCGTGGATGCCAGAGCCTCACAGGGCCTCTCGGCCCACGTCTTCCCGGTTCGACTTGGCGGGGGGGGGGGGGGGCGTCCGAAGTCCCTCCTGTGCTTGGGGCTTAGACTAGAGCAGAGGGCTTGAGGGAGGATTCTGCCATTTGGTGCGTTTGAAATGTCAGCCCGAAAGAAACTGCCTCCTTCCTGAGTCTCTTTGGCCCATGAGAAGCTCCTGGGACTTTAGGAACCAGACCCAAAACCCCTTGTGGCCCCTCCCGATCGCCTGCCGTGCGGCGAGCCAGTGCGCACCGCGGGCCAAAGCCGTGAGGGCGGCGCAGCGGGCACTGGGAAGGGGCCTCGCAGGGGTCCATAGGTGTCCATAGAGTCCATGATTCTTTACATGATGATCATGATGCTTTTGCTACGCCAGTGCTTTCTTTGCCACAGTTCCTGCTTGGCTACAGAACTTGTTGTTCTGTGCTTCCTGCTCTGGACAGAGAGGTTAGAGTCTAGTGCCGTTACCGTGGCGACACGCCCAGCGTATCTTTGCGATCTCGCGCCTCTCTCCCAGACAGCTCCGTCCGAGATCCATGGTAAACAGGGCATAATGCCAGAAGCTCGTGGCACCTCACAAAGCGTCAAAGCGCTGGCGTCTCAAAACCCCGAACTCCTGGCCTTCAAACTCGCCTCGGCGAGTTTGAGAGGTGTCTTGAACAAGCAGACCAGGATCTGGTCTCGTTCCCCCCCTTCCGAACCCTTCCTCCCTGAGCCTGAACTTATGACGTGGCGTGGTGCTGCACCACATGACGTAGCTGCACCCTGCATTGGGCCCGAGGCGATACGCACAAGCGTTTACAATTCGGACCTCGAGGATGCGCTCAGGCATGGACGGCTTCTGGATCAAAATGTTTTGCGGTGGAAACAGAAGTCATTGGCTCAGAAGCCATCAACCCCTGAGATGCACTGCAAAGAATGGATTCCGAGGAAAACTGCGACGAAATCCTTTGCAACATGTCCATCAAGACAGACATTGGGAGAGAGAGACAGAGAGGGGAGAGAGACAGAATCCTGGTGCCAGTGACAACAGTCACCACTCGGATGAATGCCTTGAGGTCACAGCAAACCACACGCTTTGCAAACAAAGAGAAGAAAGAGCACTGAAAGAGCAGTCTTGAGCAAACTGCCTGCCAACACCCTGCTTCTCAACCGGTGTGTTGAGCCCTGAGTCTATTGCATCTCTTGACCTCTTGAAGCTCTGCCCCAGAACAGCGGGTCTCCAAAACGCATCCCATAAAGGACCAAGCGCTGGCAGTGCCGCACAAGGCGCTCGCACTCGCGGTCACTGCGCCGAAGCTGACAGGATCCGGCCTCCACTTGGGCGGCTCTGGTGGTGGTGCTTGAACTGCAGACACTTTGCAAGCTTTTGGGATTGGACATGGCGAGGTATACGACGTGGGGTTTCTCTTTTGGAGCTCCCCGCTTCGCTGTACAAATACGTTGAAGTCTCAGGTCTTCGCCATCATGCCCACGCTTCAAGCCGACAGTTGCCCATAACAGAACATAAACATCCGATGGCCCTCGCAGAACGCGCTGCACCGTGCAGGAACTACGACACAGGGAAACACACTGCGCTCCAAACTGCATGGAACCATCCCAGACTCCCAGCTTGCTCTGGAGCACCTCAGCGCGGACTGCGTCATGTCGCAGAGCCACTTGAAGGCCAAGCGGGGCGTGGGCGCCAGTCCTGCTCAGCTGCGAGGTGTTGAGTTTCGTCCTAGAAAATGGAGTTTATGTGGGAACCTGGTGCCAAAAGAAGGTGTGCGGGCCTGCTGGAGTCTACGGTAGGCTTTAGGGGGGGGGCGGCTGGGCCTCTTCGAAGCAACCCTCATGATGGCATACGGTTTCTTAAAGTAAGCTTGCGCATCTTCACGTGGTGAGGTGGGAATTGGAGGGGTTGAGGATTGAGGAGGGTGCACCCCCCCCCTCCCAGTTTACTAACGTAGGTGCCTGTGCATCTCTCGTTCTGTCCTTGCCTTTCCGTCTGTACTTTCTGCGTTTCTTTAGCTTGTTGTTTCTTCTGCTCTTCTTTCATCATTTCCTCGTTTACGTCTCTCGTTCTGTTCGTCTTTGTTTCCTTCTTTCTGTCCTTCGTTCTGTCCCTCTCTATTCCCTTCTGTCTTTATGGATTTCCCTGCGTTTCTTTCTTTGCAGTCTTTCCCTGCGTAAATCAGCCCACCCGCCCACCCACCCTCACCCCCCCAAAAAGGGTTCAAAAAGTAAACAAGTATCCACGATCTAAGGGGGTCTGAGTTTCTTCCAAGCTTTGAAGGTGCGATTGGGATGCTGAATTCAAGCACGCGTCGTTGGGATGGGGATGGCGAGCCGCCTATGAACGCATACGAACGCTATGAACCCTACGAACGCTATAAACTTCAACTGTGGACCAGAGGCCTCCACCTTCAAGTCACCAAAGTCACGCGGCTGAAGGGTGCAGTCTAGCAAAGGAGGCTCTTCCCCGATCAGCCGTGTCAGCCATGCAGACAACTGCCTAGAGCCACATTCCAGGCTGCCAGGGAAACAGCCGAGGCAAGCAGGACCAGCGCGGATCGCCAACGCCGTGGCCGGCAAGCCACGAGCAGCAGCCTTTCAAGAGCACAGTCCAAAGGGTTCTCAGGCCTCGGGGATGAAAGGATGCTTCAGCACCTCCCCGTCCCAAAAACCTTTACGCAAACTCTCCCTGAGCACCACCCAGCGGCCCAGTGTCAGAACACATCAGAATGCTCTAGCTTGAAATGGGCTTGCTGCTGGGGCTCAAACAAGACATCCCTCGGCCTCAGCCCCAAACTTGAAACTCCAAGCCCGGCACGTTGTGGTGATAGAGTTTGGCAATATCCCGTCCTGTGGATAGGAAAACTGTCAACCTGTCGGCCGTATGTGAAGCCATTTGTATGTCAACATGCTTGCAGAGAACGGCGACATTCTCACGTCTCTACCTTCAAACTCGTCAACATACGCCATGATCCTGAAACCCCAAACCCAACACCCCAAACTGCCCTCCAAACCCTTTCTGAATTGGGCTTCCTCCTGCATCTGCTGCGCCAACCAGAAAGCGGTCTGCCATTTTGTGGCCCGGGCCTGGCCGCCAAGAGCCTGAAGCTGAGCCCATTATGCCATTGAGGGTTTTGGGGGGATGTTGGGGAGAAGCGCTTCGGGCCGCTCGGGAGGATTTAACGGCGTAGTGCATGCCTTAGGGCAGCTTAGGGCTTCAACGGAAGTGCTTGTTGGGATGAGGTCGAGGAAACTTGGGGCACTTTATGCATGGACACTTCAAACTGAACCTCCACGGAATGAGATATTGGCTCGCGCTCACCGATGACGACCATCAATGGAGCTGCAGTGGCTGCATCTGCTTCTGCGAGCATGTCTCACATCGAGATCAACATGCCGACAGCCAACCCAAGTCAAAGCCCGGACTTGAGCCAACCTGCAAAATCACGAGAGTTAAAAAAACCGCACCGTTTGCCACTTTCCTCCCTCCGTGCGAGTCCTGCACCCCAAACAGCCCCAGATCTTTATAAAATCCGAACCCAGAACCCTTGAGGCCCCAAACCTCAGTCTGCATGCCCCCCCCCACCCGGAAGGCGCACCGCATGGTGCACAGCCGCATCAATCTTCAGGCCATCTCTACGAAGGAGGAGAAGCAGCTGCAGCGCCTGCGCTGTTGAGCTTTTGATTGGCGCTGCATTACGCGCAAAGCTTCACTTAAAAGCAGGCTTGGGCTTTGAGGGTCTGAGGGTCTGAGGGTCTGAGGTGCCTCTGTCAATCTTGAGGTGGCATTCAGGCATTCAGCTTGTGTCTCAATAAGGGAGAAGTTGTCAAGGAAGCTTCAGGGATGAATGCAGGAAAGTGCCGGCAAGTGCCTTGCGCAATGCTTCAAGAAGCTGCCATGGTTTACTCTGACTGACAGCAGGGAAGCTCCGAGGATACGCCGCTTTGGAACTGAGAGCTCCTGGTCATGGCTCACCGCTTAAGCACTTTCGGCTTTCGCCTTCGCCTTTCGCCTGCTACGCTGCCCATGAAAAGAAGAGGGACAGCGGCGACGCCAGGATCGCCCAACGCACTTCCGCGCCTACTGAAAAAGAGATATTGGCAACTTTTTGTGCCCTCAGGCCCCCAGGCTGTAACAGATGGCATCTTTCGGCCTCCTCTAGCCCCCGGGTAGCCTTTAGTTGAGAGAGCCCGAGTTCTTTCAGCATATTTCAGCATATAAGTAGAACAAAGAAAGACAGATAAACGTCAAAGAGCGAAAATTAAAACAAATGTCTCTTCAGCTTTGGTCCCCAAGATCTTTTTCACCGACCAACGATCAAACTGTTGGTCCCGGTGGGAGAGTTCTGTCTTTTGCGGGGCAGGGGGCTGGATTCTTTGCTTTAGGTGGGGGATGCAGGGGCGCCTTCCCCATCCCCTGCTCTTGGTGGGGGCGCTTGCCTTGCCACATTCATTGGGGCCTGCCCCTGGCATTGCCCCCCCGCTTTTGTTACTGCATCCGAGAGAGCAAAGATTTGCAAAATGGTTCAAGGAGGGCGCCAACCCAATTGCAAAAACAATGCGTGTGGAAAGGATGCATATGGGTTTTGGAAAACAACCTTTTTTGATGGCAGGAGGTCCTTCAGAGAAAAAAACTACAAGGATTCAAAAAAGAAGGGGGGAGGGTGCCCCGCCCCCCATTTGCAAAACAATGCTCGTATGATGGGCTTGGAAGGGATGCACGCTTTCTCCAAGCAAGACCTGAAACGCTGGGGGCCCTGCCTTTTGCAAGCACAAGAGTAGGAATTGATGTAGAATGGAACTGGAATGACATCTCGCGTATCGCACACTCTTCTTCTCCGAGCAGCTGCACGCTGCTGAGCTGGGGAAAGGCCTCCTCTATCGTTGGGTTTTCATGAAAGGGCGTATTCGTGGTTCCTCACGATCAAACAAGGTTTTCATGAAAGAGTCGGCCCACCAGAGCGTAGTCGTGGTTCCTCACGATCAAACACCCCCCCCCATCATGGATGTATACTGGAATCATGGTATCAATGTGACAGAAAAAACTGACCCCCCCGCTGTCAATCACCACCTCCAGGGTTGGGTGGGACACGAAACATACCGAGATATCGAGCTGATGTTAGCCACAATGTCTACGACGCTTCATATCCCAAAGTACCAACCAGCCCCATGCTTTTTTAGGGGCAAGGCCTTGCCTTTTGGTGTTTAGTAAATTTCGGCAGCTCCGTTTGATGGCAGGTCCTTCATTGCAAGCTTTGGGCGAATCCTGTTCATCAGTCATCGGGATTACAAAAGAATGCATATGGCTTTGTTGTCAAGCCTTTTCAGTTTGTCCCTCTTCCCAACCCCCCCAAAAACACGATAACCCGAAAACCCCTAATTTAGGGCATAGCATGAAATCCAAACTGGTCGAGCCTGCGCAGGGCTCCGCTTTGCAGCCGCGGACACGCCGCCGGCGGCCCTGCGCAATGCAGCCTGGCCCAGGACGAGGGGGCTTTTACTTCATACCTTTGCATGTTGGGGGGGGGGCTCTTTGAGGGATTTCTCAGGGTCCCCTGGGTAGTTAGACCGGTATGCGGGCTTTATGCGGCTCCAAGGTCTAAACGCTCCGAAACCCCAACATCTCCAATGGAGCATCAAGAGATCGGACACGTATGTATGTATATATGTATATATGTATATATGTATATATGTATCTATGTATCTATGTATGTATGTATCTATGTATATATGTATATATGTATATATGTATATATGTATATATGTATATATGTATATATGTATATATGTATATATGTATATATGTATATATGTATATATGTATATATGTATATATGTATACATGTATGTATATATATACACATACATATACACATGCATATACATATGCATATACATATACACACGCATATACATATACACATACACATACATATACATATACATATACATGTATATGTATATGTATATGTATGTGTATGTGTATGTGTATATGTATGTATGTCTATATATATATATACATACATTGTAGATACTCACACACATGGGTGCGGTGAGGTGACGGTGAGGATCGACCGAGGCACGAGTTTGGCCGATTTAAAGGCCGGCCGCTCCAGCACAGGGTTGAAGGGCCAGCCCCAACAACACCCCGACAACAACAACAACAAAGGCAACAAAAGTAACAGCAGCGCGCCACAAACGAAATGGCGCACCGATGCGGGAACTTCCTGCTTGGATCTGAGGGCATGCAAAATTGAGTAACTCCTAGGGCGGTCAAAGGCTAGCACATGTTGACAGACGTTAAAGGGAATGCAAGGGGTCCGGAACTTGGGATGTTTCTAGTCTACTTTTTCATACATACGAGTACTGTTGGGCCCCCTGAGCAAGTACGCAATCAACGCAACCAATAGAATGAAGCGCGTTGTAGGCCATATTGCATTCGCCTAAACTAACCGACACAGTCAAACTAGTTGAATTTTGCTACTATGCATGTACATGTTTGGTAAATATGGGTATAATATACGAAAAGATATGATGCTATTCACCATATGAATCTGAACAATAACTTGCTTTTGGTTAACAGGGCCGGGTATATGCTTCATTGCGCCACATATCTTGTGTAGTCTGCCCGGCGACCACTATTAAAAAACACAGAATCATTGCAATGAATTTACCAATGCCGCCATGTAAATTCGCCTCGGCTTCCTGCCGAGAAGCGTTTGGAACAAGCAGACACGGGATCCCGTCTCCTTCCCCGACGGACCCCCCCACCCCCCGCTTGGAGGAGCTGCAAACCGATGCCGTGGCGGGTCCCGCCTGTCGGGGGCTCCTATAAAGGGTGCGCTCCAAAAAGCACTGGGACCCCTGGACCCCTCTAGGACCCTCTTTCCTCCTTTCCTGTCCGTGGGCCGGCCGGGCTGCCGAGGCGGTGCACGCAAGCGTTTACAATTATTGATAAAGAAGCAGGCAAAAAACAGACTAGATAAACTTTCATTGTTTCAACTAAGCCATAGTTAAATTCATTGCGTGAAGGTCAAGAAACCTTCATTCCACTAAGTTCATGAGCTGAGTTCATCTTCATCTTCGGCACCCCTCATGAACATGATGAAGCAATTAAAGCGAAAAACAACTTCACCACATATTAACCATGCTCAAAACAGCTGGGCTTGGGCGCCGACATCCCGGGGCCACTGCAAGGGTCCAAGTTGACGGGCGAAACGTGGGGGGGCTCTCACTGGCCCGGCCCCCTTTAACAATCATCGCTTGAAAGAAGACAAAAGAAGACAACAACAAGACAAAGTAATACTCAAGAGGAAAACAAACAGGAAAATATCCAGAACCGGGGCCAAACAGGGGAAGCAACAGATCCCGCTGAAAATCCACCCCAGCCCTTTCGGGAACTCGAACTCCTGATGGCTTTGCCATGCCCTAAAATCGATGTGCATTCGAAACCTTGTCTGATTCGAAAGATTGTCGGCAATGACCATGCCCTTGGTGAGCAAAGCACATCACCATGGCTTGGAAACCGACAGCACAAACAGATGCTGCTTACAGACCGCCCGCTGTCACTCGAGACTGGAGAATATCAGAGATTTTATGGCAAACTAGTGTGGATCCGAGCTACCCACGGTTGGGCTTTGTTTCTTTAACTCTGCAAGCATGGACAGAACATCAGCCAAAAGCCCTGCTGTCGCGCGAACATTTCCATTGTGTCGGCCAATTCTCCTGTAGGCCTTCACCAGACAGCTCAGAATCTTCCCACTTTGACTGAATCTTCTGGCAAGCTCGCCCTTTCAAACGCCGCACTTTCAAACGGAAGCACATTCTCGGTCCCGTTGGCTGAAAATGTGCGGTTCTATGTGGTTGCCCATGACTCTTCAAGTCCACTATATGGTACAAGCCATCACTGTCCAAGATGCGAAAAGCTGCAAAAAGACTGGGATTGGGACATCAGGAATACGGCTTGAAGGCAGTAGGTGGTCGTTCGACGACTGTTACAGGTGGGCAGTTACCACGAATATGCGCCGCATTGCGCCACTTCTGAACACTTACAAACTCAAAAGGGCAACTACCCACCCGAAACTGCCTAGTCGTTTGGGCAATGCCATTCACCGAGGTGAAACCCAACACATGCGGACTGGCGATGAAGACTGGCACGGTGCATACGACACATTGCACGTGATACTGTAGCCCTTGAACAGTTGATGCCATTCGGCCAGTCATACATCAAAGCAGCGCGGTATCTCCGTCTTCGAAGGTGATGGGCTAACTTCAACGAACAAGAACGGGGAGGACGCTACGTCACTACTTCGGCTCATGCAAACATACGTTTGGATGTGGGAGACGTTGGCGCGCTCCCACTTCTCAGTTGTGTGTTCAGATGTGTCGTTTAATAGGAATGCGTGTTTTGCGCTCTTTTGCGTTGGACCCTCCAGTATAAGGATGGGGAAACCACCCTTCGCGAGCTGCAGGGTTGCATTTCGAAAAGAATCCTGCCATGTTCCTGGAATGTTACCTGTTCGGATCATGTCGCACCGACGCGCTGCATGCTGAATAAACTTGGGAGAATGCAAGCATTCATCCTGGTCTGAAAAATGCATTTTCGTAAGCTCAATCCTAGAAATATACTCAGGCACTAGAAACACATGCAGAACACGGCCAGAAGCCAAAAAGCACAAAGACGACAGAAGATGATGGAAGCAAAACGAAGCTACACGGCATGAAACTAACGCGCAAAACTAGAAGCAGGCACGCTGCCAGGTACGCCCCGCAAGGGCCCACCTTGTGCCTTTGTTACGAGCCTCAGCCAAGCCTGTGGGTTCACAGTACGAGCAGGGTGCGGAAACTTCGCACATGGTCAGTTTCCATCAGGGTTCCTGAAGGCCTCTGCCCAGAGCAGGGCCGCCCTCGCTCCAGCCCTCGAAGACGGCAGCATGCAAAGCGACAGAGGGCCTCTTGCCTCATCAGAGACGCAATAAGGCGTAGCCGCCAGCAGCTTTGCGTGTTTTGAGGCATCCAGCAGAGCCGAGTCTGCACATCATTGCCGCTGAAACATGTACCATAATGCCATCAGGCACCCATGAGGCACTGGGGTTAAGGCCCCTTTTTTAGACCCGAGTTAGGCTTTCACTGGTTCATTGTCAAGGGCGAAGTAGGCTGCAGCTGAGTACAAATCAACACGGACCTCTACATTTTACTACTCCCCTCGAAGCCACAATGTGTACTGAAAAAGGTGCATATTCTAGACGTTATTGGCAGAGCTCAGATTACGTAGCTAGCCGTCTTGACATTCCAATCTCGGGCATTGGAGCGAATCCAGTGACTTTGCCGTTCTAGGTTCTCGTGATTTCAATATAACTCTAGATTCTCTAGATCCACGGCAGCTCAAACAGCTTGCCGCAGACTTCGGCGTGGACAAGCCTCGACCTATGACGCGGCAAATGCAAAGGAGAGGTGGGTGGATGGAGGTGGAAGGCTTCGCCACCTTTTCAAGCATCTCCGAAGATGTGCTACTGGAAATCTTTCGGAAGCCTTCCGAAGAGTCGCCCAGGCAGCGAGACACATTTCCGAAAAATGGTACCGCTTTCTACGCACGGCACCTGCAACGAGGTCTTGGGAATGCACATACGCCCATGCCGTTCCGCACAGGACAGCGAATGCTGATGCAGTCAGAGGCCTTACACTTCTTGCTGTCAACCCAGGAAACTCTCTTCTACATCAACCTTCGGAAATCTCAAAGATGCTCAAAGGCCACAGCAGCCCTTCATCCCAACTAAAGCTCGAAAGCTGTAAACCGACAGATTCAAAAACGATCAAGATCCTTGAGACTGATCTTGACTGCTGCAGCACATCGAGCTATCGCAGTTCTGTGCGTCGGTGGGCATGCCTAAAGCCTGAGTCTGCTGTTACCATTTCTATTCTCATTCTAAACACGCATATATATATATATAGATAGATAGATAGATAGACAGTTGCATACATATATGTGTATATACCGTTTCTATGGTTTACGTGGACGCCGCCCTCCCAACCCCACCGCCTGATCTACTGTCTCTTTCTTCCTCCTGAAAAATCTCGTACATGGGGGGGGGGGGGGGGCGCGCGTTCGTTGAACTCTTTCGAGTCTCTTGGTGTCTCACAAGCTGCCTTCTCCCCCGTCCCCAAAAGCCAAAAAACAACCAAAAAACAACCAAAATCCCATGGAGCCGAGGAATGCAGTTGTTTGCTGGCTGTTTTGGTATAGAGTCCAAAAGACCATGTGTTTCTGCGGTTTCGACTTTGGGGACTCGGAAAACAAAAATATAATCCAGGGAATTGTTGGCTTTCATCTAAACACCTAAATATGCCTGGCTTGCGAACACCAACAATTACCAAGCAATACCCTGATGTATTTGTGGTGTTCGCCCGGAACCCAGGAATTACCCCAGGATATTTTTGGTTGTTCGAGTCCCAAAAGTTTTTATTGAGAAAGAAGACATGCATTTTTGCGTTCCCACAGTAAGCCCAAGAAAAGCATCCCAAAAAGACACTGGCTCCCTGCAGGTTGTTGGGAAGCATTCTTTTTGTGTTGGGCTGGAACAGTGCCCTCTCCGCCTGCCCCCCCCCCAAAAAAAAAAAAATGGGTACAAGTAAGACTTTTTAAGCTCCGGGGTTGCAGGCAAGGGCTTATGATAGCGTTGCTGTCGACCCTGGAACCTTGCAGTCCCAGAAACCCCTGACAACTGGAAGTCCCCAAAGACGTACCGAATGATTAATGCAGGACTTCCGACGGTACATGTGGATCTCTTGGAGCCTTTCTCTGACAGCTTCCTGTCGAGGTTGATGGTTGACGTTGAAAAATCTGGATCGCGAGCTGTGAGAACGTCGGAACCGAACGTTTGGAACATTTTGGAACCTCCAACTGTGGAAACTGGCAAGCCCCCGATGCAGGTAGCGGGGAATAAAGGCCAAAACCAAGCTTGTCAGGTCGCCTGTCGTGCTGATGTAGTCCAGACTCCGAAGCCAATTCTACAATGGATCAAAATGCTTATACGTGAATTCCTGCAACTTGCTGATACCGCACGTGAGCCTATGCATGTGTTCACCTCAATCGCTCAGACTTGAGACATTGTGAAAAGCAGTTCCTATGGTCTCCTCGTGCATGGCGAAACAAGCTGACTTGACACCGCAAAGGACCGTGCATCTCTGGAACAATGCGAGTAGTGCAGGGGGTGTTGCAAAGCGAAAAAAACAACTCTAGCAGTCTTGCACTTGCAGTTGCTTGTGCGACTCAAGGCTTTTGGACGCTACCAGCTGGGGATTGAAACGCCTGACAGCCTGAGGTCATCCTGAAGCCTATGCTGAGGTCCTTCTGTCGGTTGTTGGACAGATTGCCAGCCCTGCTGGTGCACTGAGTCACTTGGTATTGCACGGCGAGACCACTCATGACATGTCACTCAGCTATCTCAACGAAAACCAGTTACAGCTCAGAAAGTTGGCAGGACCAAACTAAGCCAATTCAGTCTCATGGAACTTCCAGAGTTCATGGTCTCGCCGTGCTTTAACGGACTGCGGCAGTGCCCCCATGGACCTGCCAGGAGGGTCTCTCCACGCGCAGCTTCGGCCTTGCAGCGACTCGCAAAGATGAAACATCTGGCAATCCGGGTTGCATCCCGTTGCAGCCTCTGAACATCTAGACCTTTCTCGACCACTCTCTGCAGGGTCAGACAAACTGCGCTTGTCTCCACATACAGAGACTGAGGCCCAGGCATCTTGAAAAAAAAATCATCACAGATCGAAGATAAGTCGAGTAACTGCCTTCACAGCTCAGGGCTGAGCTCTGGAGCAGATCCCATACAGGTCGACAGCTTCGTCAAGGAGCAACAAAGCACAACACCGTCGGAGCACACCTACTTCTGAGGGCAACAAGGGAGCCTGTGCTCCAGCAGTGGAGGTCGTCTCCACCTAGGTTGCACGCGGATGTGGGACTGGGCTTGTCTTGCTTGGACAACACAAGCTTCTGATCACACTGCGCCTGTCAGATTTCAGGATCTACCAGAATCTACCCTACACCTGAGGAACAACAAGCCTATAGAGCTCTTGTGAACAAGCACGAGGCAGGTTCTCATGCAGGGAGACAGAGAACACTCTGGTCTGCGATTTGGTAAATTTAGGGGTCAAGGTCTGGGGCAGAACAAGTCCGTGTCGCCCGAACGCGTGGATGGAAAGGCATTTGATCGGGCCTGAATAGCAGCCGACAGCCGAGTTTCTCAAGGCATCAGTGGCGCACATCAGCTTTGAAGACTTCGATGGAAGCTTTGGAACTTCAGCGCGCGACCCCTGCCTCTGCGAAATGAACCAAAACACAAAGAACGCCGAACCGGGGAACCTCTCCCTAAAAGCCCTGAACCCTTTGAACCTGCTCCAGAAGAGCCCTCAGAAACCAGCTGAGAAAAGCTCTGGGCAGCTCCTGGCCTTGTTGCAAGTGCCGCACCATATCCAGCCACGGTCTGGTCCTTGCAAGGTTTTGAAGGGGCCACATTGCTGGGGCATTTAGGGATAAGGGTGCTGCATCTTGCATGAATATGCCCCAAAAGAAAAGCGCAGGGTAGGCTTGGGGAGCCTTGGTCAGGCGGTGATGGAACAGTTTCCAATAGCGGTTCATCTTCGGTGAATGGGAAGCGGCTGTGCCTTCGCACGTTTGAAGCGACATGCTGCAGGAGCTGACACTGCGTCTCGCACGGTCTTCAGGTGCTTTGGGCTTTGTATGGGTTCAGGCCCACTTCTAGGACCTTGGGTACAACATCAAAGAAGTGGAAGAAGTGGGTGGTCAAAGGGCTCAAAGGTCAGGGGAAGGCCGTCCTGCATTGCGCCTGGAGCACCTTTCCCCTCCAGCGATGAGTTGGTTGGCGGAGGGAGCCTGAGATGGCAAGAGTCTCCGGCAGTTCGGCAGTTTGGGGCCCTTGCTGCACTGTCTTTTCGGGCTTTAGAGTTTAGGCTCCACAGACGTATGTATAGTTCTTGTCAAGGGAAAAAAATGTCACTCCCGCCAACCTGTACAGGGAAACCCTGTTCGAACGCCGACGTAACCCGCGATCCGGCACTGTCACAAACCAAGCGCCCTCCCCCACCACCCCCCCAAATGTATTGTGAGATCCGTGACTCCTGACCCCTTCTTGGCGATGGATGCCACTTGAGTGAAGCCTACGAGCCTACAGCGGCCGTGCAGTTAAACAGTGCAGTATGGCCGTAGCTTGCTAGGCTCCACAGGGGCGAGGCATGAGCATGCCCTGGCGAGCTGGAAGTCCCTCTTTCCTGACAAGCGGCGCCAACATCTGGGAAGCTGCGTAGGGCGTTCGCTGAAAGGCCGCCGCAGGCTCCACGCATCGTTGTGGAACACCCGCAACGCCCCGAAACTCGGATCCTCGCCAGCTCAACTCTCGAAACCTCCAGAGCGAACTACTAGATGCCCAAGACCTTCCCTTACAAGTTCCTAGCCATCACAGCATGCAAGGAACTCGAAGGCTCATCTGTCGCGTGCAAAGCTACAGGCTTCTTGAGGTGTTTCAAAACTATGCCTGCCAGGCCCCGCCTGTTCTCCCGGGTCCTGTCGGAGCACCAGCGCCGAGACCACGAGGCAGGGGCAAGGCGGGCTGAACCCAGCCGACCTTGCCGCGGCATGTCCGCGAGACCGCAACGTCTGGCATTTGGGTCTATGGCATTTGGTCACACCAATCGTCCTAAATTCGTGCCACAGGCAGAGACGAAAGCTCTTTCTACGAGGAGACCGCTGGGGAGAAGAATGCACGACCAACATGATAATTCGACCGACTCTGAAGGACGGCGTTGGAAGGACCCTCGGAGCATCAATGCACACAAGAAGTCATGAATAGCATGGCCTTTCACGCCAACAGCGAACATCTGCGACATTAGAGCAGCGACATCGAACATGACGGGCATGACGGGGCAATGCACCTGGTCGCGTTGACCAACAAGGGCCGTAAGAGCACCCCGACCGGCGAGGATCAGAAGCAGAAGGCCGGCCCCGTTTCTCGTCGAAGAAGCCACAAAGCAAAACCACACAACGCGGGAGTGGTGTGTACAACGGCATCCTGGGCATCAAGTTTCTGTCCCCTTGCACACATCTTCGCGTCCGAAGATGCATCACAACATGAAGTGAGCGTCTTTGTTGGGAAGCGTCTCACTACATGTTCGCTGCCCCCTTGCGATTTTATTAATCCTTGGCAAACAAGTGTGTACGCACACCCACCCACCCACCCACCCACCCACCCACCCACCCACCCACCCACCCACCTGCACAAGCGCACGCGGTCACGCCCACACACCCACCCCCCACCCACCCACCCACCCACCCACCCGCGCCCGCACGAACGCACGCCTGCACGATCGCCCGCACGCCTGCACGCCCACGCGCCTGCACGCCTGCACAAGCGCACACGCGCGCACGCCTGCGCAAGCGCACGCCTGCACAAGCGCACGCCTGCACAAGCGCACGCGGTCACGCCCACACACGCACGCGCGAGGGCACACGCACACACGCGCACACACGCGCACACACGCGCACACACGCGCACACACGCGCACACGCGCGCACACGCGCACACGCGCGCACACGCGCACACATGCACATGCGCACACGCGCACAAGAACCTTTGGCTTCTGAGCGCAGCGCGCGCTCGAGAGGGAAGTTCTGCAGCGCAATGGCTGCCAAGTGCCCTGCCATGGCCAGATGGTGGGGTTGAACGGGATATCTGTAAAAACCTTATCGTGCTTGGTGGCCCTTGGGGTGCCCTTTTCCCGCAAATGACAAGTGTCAGATCAACCACTTCAAAACCCTTGCCAAGGGTTCAGGGCAGGAACCTCAGTGCTTCATGGAACAGAAACTGGGTGTCCGAGAGGGGGAGAGGGAGAGGGAGAGGGAGAGGGAGAGGGAGAGGGAGAGGGAGAGGGAGAGGGAGAGGGAGAGGGAGAGGGAGGAAACCAGGGCCCCGGAGGGTGGGGGTCTTCTGTTTCAGGCGTTTCAGGAGCCACTTTCTTCAAGCATCTGGTGTTCTTCTTGTTTTTGGCAACGCGCGCCTGCGACCTCCCTCTCCACGACGGAACGCAAAGAACTCCGCTGTCCATTCATGAAAACCAGTGGCGCATCGAAACCCGTCAAGGCCTGCTAGGATGACACGGCGGAAGCAAGGTGGCATGCGGGGGCTACATTGCGGCTACATTGCCATACCCTCTCAGCCCAAGATGCATTCTAGAAATTACGAACGCAAAGGCAACACCAGGGTTCATGAAGAAACCAAATCCTTCACAAGAGCTTGGCAAGAGCTCTTGTCAGGGGGGAAATGTGCTCAACATCGGAGGGCATTGACAAGAACTCCCACGCTATGTCCATTCTCAGGAACGAGGAAGTTAGTAGTTGTTGGTGCATGACATGAGCCCAGCTCCTGACCTCGGACCCGAAAGAACACAGACACAAGCCTCCGAGCCGCGCTTGGTAATCACCGCAGAGAGGTTCGCGCCTCTGCCGGGAGCGAGGGGCTGAGCGCATTCACTACGCTTAGTCTCCGCGGACGTGTGGAACCAATCTCTCAAGAGCTCGGAGATGCTCAGAGCGCTCCAAGGATCTGTAGCAATGTGGACAATTGGTGAACACCCTCGCCCCCCTCCGCATCACTCGAAATCTTCAGTTCCACCAAAAGCAATCATCGCCTGTGCCGAAGCCCGCCATGTCTTTGAATCGGAGCTGGAACTAGAGGCGAGGGGCTTTTCTCAGGCCTGGAATCAAACAACCCAAGCTCTTGTCATCGAGGTCTCCCTGGAAAAGGCTGAATTTAGGGCCTTGTTGAAGAGGCCAACCTTTCTGAATCTCAGAGGCCTGAGGCTCTTAGCTGGAGTGCGCACGGCTCATCTTTCTGCACATATCCTTGCGCAAAATGCCTGCCTGATTGTCCTTCTCTCTCTTGTTCTCCTTTCTTTCTCTGGAGGACACCCAAAATCTAAAGCACTTCTTAACTGGCATTCTTCCGATGGGGTCTACTCATCGCAAGCGCACAATACACGAACTCAGGCCGGCGCCACGACCTTGAATGGCCGCCATACCAACAGATCGCACGTGGTATTCCGAGAGCTTCGCCAAAGAACGGCGCTGATTCACAGTTACCATATACTCCTGGCAGCCAGTAGCTTCCAACATGAACTCTTGGGATGAGAGGCCTTCGCAGCGTGATGCAGGGTACTTCCAGGAATTTCTGCTGGAGCTAGAGTTTCCCCACCGCAGGTTGAGAGCACATGACTATGAACCGCGACCAGCAAGCAACCAGCAACAATGAACCCCAAGCGCAACCACAAGCGTCCAGCGGAACCCTCAATCCCCCCATCACCTAACGCCTAGACATTTGAGAGCAATCCGATCCCTCCTGGCAAGCTGCTGGTGACTCAAAATTTGCAAACCTGGGTTCGACGAGGGCTTTGCGGTCAGTTTGGGGGTTAAGGTTTGTTGAACCACTGCGGTGCGAGTTGTGTCAGTTGAGCCTACCCCCTCCCATCCTGCGAGGTCTTCCCTCAAAAGCTTCGGGACAAGCTGTTGGCTTGGGAGCTTCACGGGAGTTGGCACTCATCTCAACACGAGATGTGTAAGGGACAGAAGGGACTCAAGGACCCGCCTTGCCCAAAGTGCCTCAGACCAGGAGATTCAAAGAATCCTCCCGACACGCTCCTGAACCGCTCAGACCGCTCCCAATGCATCACAGGGAGCGCCAAGCCAATATTAGATGTACCATCCGTTGTCCACGGAACATAGATGTAATCATACCTGTCGTGGCAGCACTATCTTAGACCACCTAGAGCTCTCTGGATCCTGGGGCTCTCTGGGCTTCCTGGGGCTTCAAGTCTGCTGGCCCGAGCCCGAAATAGCTCCTCAAAGCGTAGTGGAAAGCTCTCTCCAAACCCGAAACATTTCACCAGGAACGGGGCCTGGACCTTTCCCAGGAACGAGGTGCTGTGTCATTCCTGGGAGACCAAAAGCAGAAGCTTAGGGCCCTTACTGGAGGCCCAGGGTTCGCACCTGATCCTAAAACAGGCACGGCACAAGCACATAACAAGGCCAATCAAGATCGAAACAGATCTGAAACGAGGAATTCTGCAAATCAGCAGCCACTGGCTCAAAAAATTCAGAGAAGCAGCAGCAACGCCGTCATCATCTCTCTAGTGACTTGCCTGGCCATCGTAAGGAAGAGCTCATAAGGAAGAGGAGGGGATAAACGGAACTACTTCTTAGACGACATTCCATTTAATTTGTCAGCGTCGCGCATGCACTGTGGAAAGTGGTTCTGTCCGTCAACTCTGTGCATCTACACCTTCCTTCACCACAATTCATGACAATGACCTCCTTTCAAAGTCAAGTCAAAGAACCCAAATAGTACTAAATCCCACCTTGACAACCTGGCTTTGGGTCCTCGGAAACCGTGAAAAGCCCGGGGCCCGCCCCGCCGCACCTATTCAAGCCTCTCAAGATGATTGTGGTGCACCGCCTCGGTTCAAGCTAAGTTGAAGCTCCAAACGTTTGAGGTCAGGGCTTCAAAGGGCTACTGTAGCACGTGAAGCGCCTGAACTCTTAGGGCCATGGGATGTTTTCGTGCTCCAGAACTTCTGTTTCCGAGTTCAAGGCTTCCGAACATCCATAGACTGAAGAAGCAAAGGAGTTGAAAAGGAAGCCTTTGCTAGTCCGACAGGTCCCTTGGATTGGAAGAAAAGCGAAAGTTTCGACCTAGGTTCTTGTAAAGCTTATGGTGTCCTAGGGTCGATGCGGCTCAGGAAACGGACAAAACGAGCAGTCAAGATGCTTGCCCCCTCCCCCGACTCCTCCACCACGCAAAACCCTGCTGCGACCCTACTTGCCCAAAGGCAGAAACCTCCAATCCACAAAACGCACGTTTCTCAAGGCAAGTCGCTGATCAACCGGCTCAATCCTCGCATCTCGCTCCATGAGGTCCCCAATGCCATGGAAACTGGAAGCTCGTACGGTCTCCCGCTCCCTTTGTAGCACTGGGATTGGCTAAGGGAAGACAATGTCTAAACGTGTGTCTCTGTGTCCTTGTGTGTGTGTGTGTGTGTGTGTGTGGTTGCACGAGCGGGCTGCTTTGAGAATGTGCTTGAAGAACCTCACGTGGTCCAAAAATGTCCAAGGACAGCAGTAGGAACTTTAGCACTCCCTAGCTGTACCGCTTCGCAGCACAGCTTGATTCAGAGGCAGAGGCAAAGGGGTGCCAATCTTGAACTAACCCTGCGCCCTAAACCTTAAACATCCTTAGACATGTTGAAAGAACTTGAAGATCGGCCCATCTCGACCCTTCAGCTCCTGATGGGCAGAAAAACTTGTTCTTACTCTTGGGATTTACTTGCGAATGTTTACGACCTATTGGGGCTTTGGGTTCCGAAGTCGTGCTTGGTCGGCTTGGCGGTTTGGGGGTAACCCTGACACCAATAGACCGGCGCAACATTCCCCGCGAGCATGGCGCTGTGCACATGATGCTGGAAAACGCTCAAGCTCCAGGGCCCTGATGTTGAGCAGAAGTACGCACAACGAATGGCGGCACTTTTTCACGTGGTTCTCTGAAGCTCTTGTAAGGCTTCGTCACGTAGTCACGTAGTCACGTAGTCGCTGAAGAGCTTGTTGGGCATGCGCAAACGAAAACAATCCAGAGTCAAGCCAAAGGGTCGCTACACGAGGAGGCTGGCAAAGTAAACGTCCATTCAGTCGAAAGCCACGACAGAAACCTTTCATTCAATGCAGCGGCACTGGAACTGAACTGCGTGCAGTGCTTTGGGGTTGCACATGAGACCACGCCAAGTTGGATCCGAAGTACATGGGTGTAGGGCTTTGAGGGCAACCGGACAGCTCCTTGTTGGCGACGGCACGTAGCATACGACCAGCTTGACAAGGTAGCGATGTTGACCACATGGCAGATCAGCCTGGCTTTTGCAATCATCGCCAAGTGCGGCCACACACGTCCAGCAGTTCGGGTAGCCCGGAAGCCAAGCACAAACTCTGCGCAACTGGTCCTCATCCGAACCATGACCCGAACTTGACCCTTTACACCCTTTCAAAGGATCCTTTGTTAGACAAGACAGCTTTTGTCAGTACACGGTCCTTGCCAGGAGGGCCGACGCATCAGAACTGCTGGAGGCAACCGTCCTGAATCGCTCAAAGGTCTTTCTCGGCCAAGCAAACGGAGCGGAAGAAGCCCGACTGCATCTCGGACAAGTTTGGTGGCTTTGTCTGGCTCCAGAGCTCCAGCAACCAGGGCTTGGGAGGATCCAAAGGAGTCTGACACACTCGTCCACAAGGCCTCGACCTCATCCTGAATGTCTGAGATTTCCAGTCGTTTAAGGCAGGCAACCAGCTCATCACCTTCCTTCCGCCTTGGTACCTCCGCAACAGCGAGGCTTCGCACGGATTCCAGGCTGGCAGAGGAAGGGCCAACATGCGCCACAATGGATCTGATGGCATCCGGCACAAAGGCAATGAGGTTGTCGCAGTACCCTTGAAAGCAGAGCCGCATCCCTGCTTGTGAGCCTGAACTGTCTGAACTGGTGAAGAAGGCAACTTCCCACCGGCAGCCTGCAAGCGCGGCGGCGTAAAATGGACTCTCCAACTCAGACTGCAGCGACTTCAACCACACACGCCCCGCAGCACGTTGCTTCAAAGATGCCTCTGCAACACGAGCTGCAGGCAGCCACAGAGTCAAGGTCACAAGTGGCTCCTCGCCTAGAGGAACAACCAATTCGTTGAACTGTCCTGACACGTAGATGCAGCCAGGCACATTCCACACCAACCTTGGGGCTGTTTGGAAATCTGGCAGTTGCATTAGAATTGGGCGACAGCTGTCAGACCAATAAACACCATTCACCTTCGAATTCGGCTTCCCCATGTCAGATCTGCCAGGCTCCAGCAAAGAAGGCCTTCGAATCTTCTCAGCGTTGGACAGATACTGATTCCAAGCGGGCCTTCGCCACCACGGGGCTGGAGTTTCGGAAGCTGACATCCACTTCTTACGCAGCAAAGGAGATACGCTCAGCTCGCCATACTCGAGCCCCAGATCTGCATCTCGCATGCGCCTGATGTCACGGCTGTCACTGCTGTCACTGATGTCACTGATGTCACTGATGTCCGCTCCCGGGGTGCTAAAGACCGTAACTCGGGCGAGCTCAGGGACGAGACGCTCGAGCATGCCCTTCGCTTCTTCTGAGGACTGCTGTCGAGCAGCAGCACTTGTGAAGCGAGCCGCCTTCTCCGTCTCATCTTTGTTTGTCCAGGATCTGCTCGCATCCCACTCCTCTGCAGAGAAAATGCGGCGAGATGCACTGACAAAGGCCGCCGGACGCGGGGCCGATCGCATGTCCAATGCCAGCTCCTGGGCAAGCGGAGGGCGGGGAGGAAAGCGCCAGGCCACGTCGGCCAAGGCCGAGACCTCGTCGGCCGCTTCTCGCAAGGCCTCAGGACGTCCTCCTTCTCCGCTGCCTCTTTGGTCTCGGATGTCTCGGCTCCTGAGGTTGTTGTCTCTGTTTTCTCTTTGGCTTGGCTTTCTGAAAGCCGCAAGGAGGCCGAACACTGCAGCGACCACATCGCGCCAGTGAGCCAGGCCTCGGGGTGAAAGCCGGACCTTCACCTCCCACAGAGCAAACGACTCCGTAATGAAGCGCGTTTGGGCAGAAACTTTAGGACCCAAACTGTCTGAGACCCAGCCTTGCTTCCTCAACCAAGCTGAAAGGGATCCAGGACCCTGGTGGGCAATCAAGTGCGACAAGACAACTTGAGGCTTCGAGGCACGGAAAGAAACTGCCTTCGAGGCATCTGCAAACGGTATGCTCCAGGTCAAGCTAACAGCTGGATTCGCTGCGACATCCACGAGGAAGCATGGGGGTATCAATACCTCCGTGGATCTCTGAACTCGCGGCAGGGGGTCAGGAACCACACTGCGAGTGGGACCAGGCTGGACGGAAATGCTTTGGAAGGCGGAGGAAACGGCCTCTTCGAGCTCTGCCAAAGGCACAGCTGCAACCACCGCAAGAGTTGCTGACTTGGCAGAGACATGGTTTTCGAAGAAGGTTTGGCAAAGCTTGCCTAGCTCTACCAAGTCCTGATGCCCTTGACCTCTGGGAAGCAAAGTCCTCAAGCTGCCTGGGCCAAAACGTTGGAAGGGATGGTCGGAGACCGCTCGGCGGCGTAAAAGTTGCAGGTTCCTTACTGCTGAAGATGGCCCGTCCTTCAGCTCATCGTCAACTCGCAACACTTCGCGTTTCACAGCTCCAGCTTGGAAGCGAGAATCCTGGCTTCCTGCTTGCCTGAAACAATGTGCAAAGCGGACCAGGGCGGACCGCCACTCCTCCATGCTTGCCGAGACAGTAAAGAGAGCATCGTCAAAAGCAGTAAAGCCATTGGAGTCTCCGTCATGCGCTTCCAACCATGACTCGAGGGAGTCGGCGTCTGTCCCGTTTGGACCCGGACTGGAGAGCAGCAGGTGTTCCGTAAGGTGGGCCACACCGGAAGTTTCGGGCGGGTCGTCAAACTGTCCAAATCCTGCAGTCAAGGCAGCCTCCATCTTGCTCGTCTCCATGTCTGAGACCAGCAGGATTGACAAACCGTTTGCTAGCGTACATGCTCTGTAGTTGCGCGGCTTATTCCATGGGGAGAGTTCGTTAGCACGGGGCACCTCCACTGCTTCCGCCACACTGAGGGGCATTGCAGCTTCCGTCCTCCCACGTGAAGCCAGTGAGCCCCATGCCACTACAGAGGCCCACGCACGCCTTGCAAAGGGACTCGGACAGTGTGCAGACGTGTGCAGTATGCATGGATCCAAGTCTATACATCCAAGTGCGAGGTTCCCTTCCGTCGAACCCCGAACCCTTGTCAAGTGTTGCCTGTGTACGCTCCAGTACTCTCCCAGATGCCGGCAGTAAGTGGCAGGAAAACCTGCCTCGTCAGCTCGCGAGCACGCGGTCCAGGTGACGCAGGTTGAAGTACCTGTCAAGTCCGATGCCTCTGGACATCTGGTGTATGGGCCAAGGATTTTTCAAGAGATGTCAGGCCCGCTGCATATATTGTCCCGAATCCCTTAACCCACGGCTGATCAGGACTTGATGCTCCTTCTTGCAGCTTTGTTCGCCTCGGCTTCCTGCCGAGAAGCGTCTGGAACAGACCCGGATCGGGCCTCCTTCCCCCTAACCCAACCCTTCCCCATGCAAAATTTTGTGACGCCACCCCCCGCCCCCCCCCTGCCCTGTGGGATCCCCCCCCCAATCCCTTGGCTGTGGAGGGTCCCGCCTGTCGGTGGCTCCTACAGGGCCCCCACCCTCCACCCCCCCCCGCCACCCCCCCCCCACCCCCCCCTCTAACCCCACTGCCCTTCCTCCCCTTTTTTTGCGAAACCTTTCCTGTCCTGGGGCCGGCCCGGCTGCCGAGGCGGCACGCGCAAGCGTTTACAATTATCCTTCCTCCGTGTCAGCTTAAGAGCTTAAGCGATGATTTATGGGTTTTATGTGCCAAGCCTCGGAGCTCTCAGCCGGGGTCACCGAGAGCGCCAAAGCACAAGCTGGAGAGAAGAAGAGCAGCCGCATGAGACGCTGCGCACTTGGGACACTAAGTGGCCCCATGTTTGATGTGCTCAGTCTTGTCGTGTAGAAACTTCAGTTGCCCTTTGAAGCACAACGTTTGCTTGTTCTACTGCATTGCTGGACTCCATCTGCTCTTCTCCGTCAATGGAAAGGTCAGGCTCATTGGTTAGGGACGGTCCGTGCTTCAAGATTTGGGGCTTGGGCCGACACACGAAGAGACCCGAAGTGCTTCGTGAATGTCGTGAACAACCTCATGCTAGGCAAGGCGCTTCGGAAAGCCTCTGCATGGACGCTGACTTGTTCATCTTTTCATGGAAAGCAGCTGTACAAAGAAGCACAATGGAACACACACCTGAACGCATCTGAACCACTTTTTGACACCCTAGATCCGATCAGGCGCACACTGCACAATGTCGCACCAGATCACCAGATTGAAGCGATAGCCTGCTGTCAGCAGCCCAGCCTGGCGCATAGCAGAGAATTCCAGGTCGGCACTACTGGCACCTCGTGGCACCCTTCAGCTCTCTCAAAGGATTTCAGCATTCCATGCCTGGTGCCGAAGTTTCCCGTAATGTAGGAAGGCCTGACCCTTCGCTTGGGGCAAGACAAAGGCAGGCGTCTCGGTGTTTTCCTCAAAGAATTTGAGGCCACCACCCTCCCAGTCTCCGCCAATGTTGACCTGCAGGGTCCGGATTCACACACCTGAACCCGACATAACCTGACATAGCTTGACGACGACGCGCTACAGGGAAGCACCCTAACCCCTTCCTAAACCCCACTCAAGAAAGCTTCTCCTCAACAATCTTGGGTTTGTCATACCTGACACTGTTACATATGGGTTCTGCCGGGTCAAGTGTTCGACCCATGTTCGGCCAACGGGCATTCACTGTCACGTCACTGTCGTCGGTGTGGAGGGACCCACGGTTGCTTCCAGGCAGTGGGGATTTCTCCAGGGCATCATCGTGCACACGCTGCACGGTGTGCCCATGCCGGTATGCGAGCTTGAAGTTGCCTTCCTGAGGGTCAGATGTCTTTAAACTCAAAGGCAGCAGAGCTCCCACCATCAAAAAAACCCAAACATCTTCAGGTAAAGCACAAACAAAAACCTCTCTCCCAACCCGTTCAGGTCCTGCAGCCGGGCAAACAATGGCGAGACGACCTCCTCGACCAGGGCCCGCAGGAAGGGCTCATAGCCTATTGAGACCCCGAGTGCCGAACTTGAAAGCGGGACATGGGCAGGCTTGCCTCTTGTTCGTTTCGGCTTCCTGCTGAGAAGCGTCTGGAACAAGCAGACCCGGATCGGGCCTTCCCCCCAGACGCCAGACGCCACCCCCCCTCCCCCCCCGGCCCTGCGGGACCCGCCCCAATCGCCCCACCCACCCCCCCCACCCCCACCCCCACCCCCCCCCCACCCCCCCACCCCCCCCAACCCCCCCCCCCACCCCCCCCCCACCCCCCCCCCCCCACCCCCCCTTTGACCCCTCTGCCCTTCCTCCCCTTTTTTTGCGAAACCCTCTTTCCTCCTTTCCTGTCCTGGGGCCGGCCCGGCTGCCGAGGCGGCGCGCGCAAGCGTTTACAATTAAGGACTACAACGTGCGAAATCACGAAATCACCCTTCAAAAAAACACCCAAATCCCAACAAATCCCAAGATCTCAGAGGCAGCTCAGAACACCACGTGGCCTAGCTCAGAGAGCCGCAAGGAGAAGCGGTTGTTGGAGTTGGCCCGTGACGTTTGGCGCCTAGGCACTCGAACCAACAGCCTTGAGCGTGTGTGTGTGTGTGTGTGTGTGTCTGCTCGCTGATGTCGAAATCTTCAACACAAATGTGGATTCTAAATTCAAATCTTCAAGAATGGAAGTTCACATTTTTCGATGCCCAATTTCTCCAGCTGCAGGTGGAAGCACTGAGAACACAAGCCTTGCAAGAACATACAAGCAATGGAACCAAACGACTCAACACCCCGCCAAGTGAATGGACAACCGCAGCTTGGTATCTGCGTTTGTTGGCTCGCAATATAGAAACCCACAGTCTTCAGATCCAGAAGGCTCACTAGGGTGTTGACACTATGACAAGCCTGGATATGCAAGGTTCCGCACCCGGTGCGATGGAACTGGATCATGTCATCCAACCTGGTGGAAGCGGGTGACGGACTCAAAGGCGTTGGGAGCTCTTCGGGATTCTGAGCTTAAGGTGACCCATCGTCATTGAAGCCTGCAGTGCAACCCAACTCCCAACCCTGAGAGACCCACATGGCTCCCGAAGTCGCCTCCTTCGAGGTGTCTAACCGTTCTAACCGTTCTAACCCCAATGCTTAGCGATTTGAGGTCGTCACGTTGTTGCCTGGTTGTGTTTCTTGTGGGAGAACCGTGGCTGCACATGTCACCAAGGCCAAGCAAGGAAAAGCCGCCCCTCCGCAAAACGTTTTCCTAGCCGTGGCCGGGAAAGCTCCCGCCAAGGGAAAGCAAGAAAGGCATGCCGACCATCCGGGACGTTCTTTCCTATGCAATGACTGTTGGATTTAAGCCTTTATGTGGTCTCTTCTCCCAACTTCAATAGCATCAAAGTCTTTAAGCAATTGATTTGGAACTCTCAACGAATGCTACGGAGTGCACCATTGATTCACGCCGCGCAATACTGGCGTTGCTACACTAGCAAACACAACCACTGACTAGCAAGTTGGCCTTCGACGTGACGTGAGACGTTGCAAGCTCCTTCTAGGACCCTCTGACTCCCCTCCACACACCGATGACATTCTGCCCCCCTCCCCCCTCCCCCCTGGCCCCCCCACATTGCCGTTTTCATTGGCATTCACGTGCTGAGACGTAAAACCTGCTTGCCGAGCAAGTTTGGGAGTTTTGTTGCGGGAGACAACGGCCATTCCTCTAGACCCTTACCAAGCCCTGCATGGTGCTATATGTATATGCAGGACATCACACAGACAAGCAGCAAGGCATCACAGGCTGCATCACTGAGGAGCGGCAGTGAGTAGACCTGCAGGGGTGCCACTGCAGCCTACCACCGCCCACCACAGCCCACGGGGCTGCAGCAAAGATGCAAGCATCTTCAAGTCGAACATGCTTCGTGCCTGGTCCCGTGACATTCTCCAAGCCGTGGCTTTCTCTACCAGGTTGCTGAGCCCATTTGGCCCGACCGCCAACACAGCATTGCGGTCGAAATCCCGCAACAGAGGGGACGTAGGCACCCAGGGCTTACCTGGTGCGGTGACAGGTGCAGCAACACTTCTGCTAGCAAAACCAACACAAGAGAGCTGGGAGCAATACTTGCAAAGACCCATAGGCTGTTTCTGCGAGTGACTGGGGTCCTCATTCAAAGGGCAGGCTTGCATGCTTGTAGGCGTCATGCTTTCACCATTCGTGTCGCGCAGTCTGTGCAGGTATTTTTGGAGCTGTCCAAAGCTAGGACGGTTTCCAGGCAGTCGCTCGCAGCAGACCTGAACCGGGGGCAAGTTTTCCAGGCATCCAAAATTTCAGTATACCTTGCACACAGCACACACTACTGAACTCAGCAAAGGGAGCAGAACACCTCGTTTCCCTGCAGCGTACTAGCAGACCATGTCTTTTGGAGAAGCTGCCAAAGCGGCCTCAATGAGCTGCCGAAAGCCGGCCGGAAAAGAAGGCACTGCCCGGAGATCTTCCCAAGGAAGCGCCCCGGCCCTTTTCCTCGGGCTTCAGGAGAGTGCTGGGATGTCAGAGTTGGGTCGTTGAGGGTGGAAATCTGGTTTTCGAGTCTTTTTAAGGTACCCGGTATCGGGGGTGATCCTCGAGCGTGCGAGGGCAGCGGCCAAACCCTTTACGGAAAAGACTGTTACGCAACGGACTCCAATAACCCTCAACCTTTGGGCTCCATAAAGGCCCACGAAGCCAGGGCCAGACCATAAAGGAACCCAAGGTGCCAACTTGCATGCCATCGCTACAGCAGCCTTTGCCGCCCGAGCCGCAGGGTGGGAATGCGATCGTTGCCGGTGCGGGCATAAGGCACTAAGGTGCCACGTGTGGCCAACTCGAAAAGGAAGCAGCCGAAGCTGTAGATCTCCTCGCAGCATTGATGATCTCTATTCGTGCTCATGACACAGGCAGCTTCATGCGCAGAGCTCTTGGTTTCAGAATCATGATGAATCATGTGAGACCCGAAAGTCAACATCAGTCTCCGTCTTGTCGTCAAAATGGAAGTCCGCGTCCGGTTGGCTCTCGGGCGCCATCCAGCGAGTTCCCATGGCATGGCCTTTCGGCCATCCATAGCCTCGCTTCTTCTTCTTCTGAGACCCAACGGCTCTCTTCTCATCTTTTCTCTGGGCTTCAGTGCCCCCTGCGGGAGGAAAGCGAAACTAAGGACATCCAAAAGCAGAATACCTCTGTTCACAAAAAAAGCTGCACAGGAAGACAGTGGTTGCAAGTGGGAGTCGTCGGAATGTAGTAGCAGCAAGTGGAAAGAAGAAAGAAGCCGCTTTGTGAGCCGAAGCAGCCCTGTGCGAATCGATCAGTGTCAATAGCCGATAGCATAATTTCGGTCCGCGAAACGCATCGAGCAGTCATCCGCTTAAAGACACCTAGGTCTCGGACCCGAAAACCCCATCAAAACCAGGACCCGCCGCTGAAGATTAACACGCCCTAAACCTCGCAATGTTCAAGGAACGCTCCTGCCCGGCAGTTGCAACCAAGCCAAAGTCAGTCAGCTTCACCAGCGGAGGATCGAGGCTGAAGACCAAGACCTCTGCAGTTGCTCAAAGGTCTTGAACATGTAGAGCATTCGAGATTCCCACGTTGAGCGGGTTGAGTGAGAATTTGGGACGCTAAGTTGGGACCCCAAGTTGCCAAGCGATGGACACCGTTTAGAAACGGCATCTTGGGTTTGGCGTAGCATGATGTAACAGCATCCCCTTGGCTTCTCGCGTTTTTTAATCAGACACTTCCGCCTGCCGAAGTCTTATCGTTGCAAGACTCGTTGCCCTGTGGCCGTGCCCGCTTCCACCCCGGCCCTCAAGCCACGGGCGTAGCAGCCTTGCACGTAGTTGCCTTGGAAAAGCCCTCTCTCTAAGCCCTGAGATGCCGGCGTTCCGTGCGGCGAGGTCTCGATGGAGCAGGCTTGAGTTCCAGAAGGCCTCCATTGGGGCTTTCCATGGTTTTCCGGTTTTCCATGAAGTGGTTTCGGGGGTTCGGTGAAGGGATGATTGGGATTTGAAAGGTGTGAGGGCTTGGGTTCCTCGGCTTGAGGCTTCAGGGCTTCCTGCTTATATGGGGGGCTTAGGGCCTCGAAATGGAGCTTTAGCAGCCCTGGCCAGTTCGCTCAAGAGTGGCGAAGAGACCGTTTGGGGAAATGTGAGTGTTGGGACCCGTCAGGACTATCGGACCATCGGACTGCAGTCAGCCTATGTCAGCCTCAAGAAAACTGCCACGGGACTGCACTCCCAGACTTCAGTTCCCAGCAAAAGAAGTGTAGACTTCGGCCAATTGGCACCGCCTGCTGTTCGCTGGCCCACTCCTTCGATTCTCGGAGCACGCTTCCACAACCTTCCACAACCTTCCACAACCTTCCACAACCTTCCCACAACCTTCCCACAACTTCCCACAACCTTGCATGCGTGGAGCCCAGGACGCCTCCGCCGCGGACGCAACCTGGCAGGCGATGACGGCCAAGACTGACCAAGGTAGCCTGGGTTTCCGGATATTTTGCTTTGGTGATGTGCGTCCTTCAGAGATTATGCCGGACTGAAGGGGGGGGAGTGTAGGGGACAGGTTGAAGCGCTCCGGGCTTGGTGAAAAACTCTGCATGCCACTTTCGCTCGGAACAAAGCTTGAAATCCCTTCTTGTGTCTGTCGCTGTTGGCTTGGATTTAGTTTAGGGCAGGGTGCCAATCGCTGCAGGGTGCCAGTCCCTGAACTCCGAACTCAAACAACCAACAAACTATCTTACCAACCTGACACCCTACCCCCGCCAAAAACTCGAACCGAAAATTCGAGTATGCCGGTCCAGTGGCGAGCCTGCCTTTGATGTAAAGTGAGTTGCAGAACCATCATAATTTGTCCTTTGCATTGCAGGGCACAGGGGGTGACGCGAGGCGATGCGAGTCCGAAAACAACTCCGCAAAAAACTAAGAGGAAGAGCCGAGTCGGGATATGAGAAAGCAACTCCCCTGAACTTAAACCCATGACCCCGGAACTTTGCGCCATTTCCCACTGACCTAGACTGCGCGGCATTGCTCAGCATGCTGCCGTTCATCCTGACGCGCCTCACACTCCGTCTCTGTGAAGTGGCTTGAGGAAGCTTGCCAGCAGCCAAGGATCATGGACCCCAAAGGAGCCCACTCATTCACGATCTGACCGTCGTCGGTCTCTCCCAGAATCCTTACAACTTTACATTGACGTTCTCTCAGCTTGGGCGTACACCAGCAAAGAGTACCCGCTCCTCCTCCAAAGCAGGCCGAGGTTCTGCACCACATGTGGATGTGCTCCAAGTGTCCTTAGTGCAAATGGCTCAAAATGCTAGGATCATAGCAAGCTTAGGGTTGCAAAATACGCATCGCCTTGTTTGGCACACAAAGGTCATTTTTGGCTGCGAGGCTTACCCTGTCCACAAACCTCTCCTGTCATCTTCGGTCCACCCTTCGCACTCAAACCAGCACTAAACTGAATGCAATTCAAGTGTCGTTTCTGCCATTAGCCTCTGGAGCTCCCTTTCTGATTTCCGGGATGCTCCCCGGATGTCGAGAACTGCAACATCCCTGCCTAAGACGAAACTCGGCAAAGCCAGAGAGTTCCCAAACGTGCTGCTTGCGTAGTGGCAAGGAAAACGTGGCGCGACCGAGCAGAGTGACAAGGCTGGTGGCTGAATGTGGCTGATGTCCAACCCTGGTGAGCTTAAACGTGAATATCAAAACTCACAGTCGACGTGCAAAGCTAGATCTCTGCCTGGCAACCTTTCCAGCTGGACTTGTGAACCAACTTCTCCGTTCCCGAAGCAACTCGATGTTCTACGACCCTCAGTTCGCCAGAGGGAATGATCACGTAACTTGCCATTGCTCGCGTCCACTTGCGAAGCTACAAGACTCTCAAGAGCCGAAAAGGGCGCAATCGCTCCTGACTCGAGACTTAGGAAATGGAAACTGGTGTAACTTTGATGTCGTTCCATATCCATCACCTAGCTGATCAAGAGGCACCACCATGAGCTCAGCCACGAAATGACACCCGTAACTTTGCACTAGCTCTGCATCTTCTGGTCTCAGCACCTGCTGCTCCCAGCGTAGCATCTTTGAAAAACGTGTCGTCTCAGCACCGTCAGCCGTCCAGAAGATTGAAATCACACAGAAGGCAGTGTCAGTCTTGTTTCTGTGCAACACCACCAATTGAGCATTTTTTCTTTTCGGTTCGCGCGCTGCATTGCATCCCGCACACTTCAGTGATGCTGGGCGACGTGAAATGATAGAACTCTGCAAGAGTTCGGGGCAGCCAGCTTCCTGGTCGAGGGTTGGTTCCAAGTCCAGTAATCTGTCCCACAGGTCTGACCGGACCGAATGCACTTCGCCAGAACATTCGGCCTGCGCAAAATCTTGAAACAAGAACAGTGACCCTCCAGGTCTGCGAATCCTCCAGGTCTGCGAATCCTATGAAACGGAGCGCTATGAAGCTTACGGATGTGTGAGCTGGTCAAGGGATTACACCAACGAAGACTGATCATTCAGAGTACAGGAGTACATGAACCAGCTTGCTGTGGTCCGCACAGACTGGTCACTAACGGCCACACGCTTGAAAAACGGATTTGAGGAAGCATGCTACTCCCGATGATGGAACTCGCAGGGGGCAAAACCCGCAGGCAAGGGCTCACAGATTCTGTGCTCCCGCTCTCAACTCGAGAACTGCGAAAACACTGGCCAACGATTTGAAGCGTTAAGAAATCTAGGAACCTCAACAGTAGGGCAGTAGGGCAGCCCCCTTGTCACCATGACAAAGGACTCATCTCATCTTTGCAGGAACCTACAGCCCAAGCATGTACAAGGAAGGGGCAGACTTGCTTGTAGTCAGCTGTCCCATCTGCAAACCCACTAAGCATCAAGACTTCCACACTCGGACAAGGGGCTTGTGCTTCCTCAGCCTCTCAGCCTTCGGTCGAGGGCAACATGTGCGAGCAGTTGCGAAACAGGAGCCTACGACGCCCACGCTTGCCCTTCTTTTGCGAAACAGGGAAAACTGACTACCACCCCGCCTCTCATCACGCCTTGCCAGCCTCCTTATCGGCTGCCTGCCGCTTGGTTGCCGCATCCTTGGCAGCTTTCTTGGCAGCTGCCTCTTTGGCAGCGGCATCTCTTGCAGCTTCCTTGGCAGCCACATCCTTGTCTGCTGCATCCTTTGCGGCTTTCTTGGCATCCGCATCCTTCGCCGCAGCCTCCTTCGCGGCCTCTTTGGCAAGTGCATCCTTTGCAGCAGCCGCTTTGGCAGCTTCCTTCGCGGCTGCCTCCTTTACAGATGCATTCTGGGCGGCTTCCTTGGCGGCCGTCTCCTTTGCAGCTGCATGTTCTGCAGCTTCCTGCGCGAGCGTCTCCTTGTCTTTGCCAACCGCCGACTTCCTGGCCTGCATCTCCTCCGCGACCACAAGCAGAACAGAGCGAAAGAGGCAGTAACGTAGTCCAAGTTCAGAGGATTAACAGATATTCAGACCACGACAGCAGGTTCGCGCAGATTAACCACCATCTCCTAGAGCAGCATATGGGCCTCGTCGACCGGACGCCTGGCTGGCTCGATGCCCCAGATGACCTGGACAAGCTGCACGGTCGTCAAAGGTCAGCACAGAAGTAGTGATATAGAAACCGCTCGGGCAGAGGAAAACAGCGAAGGCATGTGATGTGACAATCGTTTGATGAATCTTCCCAAGCCTTTGCATACTCACGCATGGTACGATCCGTTGAGAACTGCCTCGGAGGAGGCTGGCCAGCACGCTCTGCTACAGACAGAGCGGGCAGATAGCAAAGGCCCACACACAGTATACAGTCCCTTGCAGCCAAGCAACGCCATGGAGGCCGCTGCTTGGATGCTCAGCTTGCACCACTGCGACTTGTTCTTGTAGGTCTGGTCTACCCTTGCCTGCAGGTCCGAATGGCGAACTCTGGGCTACCTGGGCCTCAACTTCTTAGCCATGGGACAAAAGAAGTGCCTGAGCGTCAATGAATGATGGGAAGTCGTAAATGACCAAGTACCTCAGACAATGCCAACATCAGGACAGGGCAAGCCGACACAAGCTTAGCGTCTTTTGCCCGAGCTGCTTGTCTCCATCCCAAGTTCCTGTCAAGTGACTGGAAGCAGAAGCTAAACCCAACACTCCAGAGTCACACCCACAAAAACAGAACAGCTCCTTTTGGAGGACTTTATCCTGTCTTTTTATTTGTTTGATTTTGTGGGGGGGCCGGCCTGCCGCGCGAGCATTGCAAAGCCGGCTGACGATCGACTCAAACTCGGCTTGCGCCTCCGGCTCCGCCTCCGGCAAAAGGGCGGGCGGGGCTCCCCCTGCATACTTGAAGAAACTCTTTAGGATGTTCCAGGATGGAGGGCACTTTAGGGAACTCTCGCATGTTCGCAATATTGGAGAGATGGATGTTGTGGAGGCAGATTTAACGCAAAAACCTTCAGGGATCCAACCCCGAGCCTGCCCCGCAAACTTGCCGTTCCGAATCTCGTCAAAGACTGCCTGGACATGCAGCCAAGGGGTTATGCAGGGTCAGCGGTGTTGTCACGTGATTTCCGTGTTCAAAACTTGGGGATATTGCTCCCACCCAACCAGCCTGCAGACGGCTGTCGATGGGATAGTGGCCCTCTTGTGCCCTCGCGGAAATCCCTGCTACCTGCATCTGCAATTGAATCCAAAGAGGCAACCGATGTTCCGTGGTGCTGCTTTCTCCTCTGCCCCCCAACCTCGTTCTCCTGACATCCGAAGATGAACATGGTCTCGGGGCCTGGTGGCATCACACTCCAGTGAAACGCACAAAGGTCCATCGAGTAAAAACTGCTCCAAGGCTCAAGAATATATTTAAAAAAAAGCAGGCAAGGCGCCGCATTCCTCTCTGATCTCAATGTTTGCCCCATCCATGGTTCCCACAATCAAACCGCCGTTCATGACAAACCTTGCAAAACATCTGTGAAGCATCCTGTGAAGCAAAGGCCTCCTTTCTCCAAGAAATGTGACTTATTGTGGTCGCAAGATGTACCACCAGCCGAACTCCAAGCAGCTTCATATTGGATGTGCCGGAAGCTTCCTCAGTGCAGCTGTCAGTGCAGTGTGCCGCAAGCGTTCCCTTAACTGGCCACATGACGCCACATGCAAAGCAGTGCTCGCGTGCCACGTGCATCAAGCCTCTGTGCCAGCAGTGGAAATGTGCTCGGAGATGTCCGATGCTGGAATCATCACTTGCGCGGCTGACACGCAATAGTTGGGCACGAAGGCACACCTTGCGCAAGACAGCTTGATGCTTTCACACCTACATTTGCACGAAGCGATGTGAAGCCATTTCTCCATTGCTCAGACACTTGAGGTACTGCTTCGTGTCTGGATCGTTGTTGATGACCTGAGAATCTGAGAACCGTCAAGCTACAATGCTTCGGTACCACACACCGACATGCCAGTCAAGCCTGCCTGAACACAAGCTCCGCTGCCGTTTCGCTCTCTCGCCCTCCCGCCCTCATCGGCCTTCCCTCTCTCGCCCTTCCTTCCAGCGCACATATGCCCCCTCAGAAGAAGGGCCGCCCGAAGGTGTGCTGAGTGCTGCCACCGAATCCGTTTGAAACAGGCCTCCTTCCCCCCCATTTGTGCTGCCCCAGGACGTGGTACTTCTGATTCCCTTGAATCCAAGAACCTCCAGTCCCATGCCCAGATTCACACCTGTGCATGGTGGGCTTCTCCCATCGAGTATGATATGTCTCGGAGCATCCCACCCGTTTCAGTTTGCTTCAGGGTGACTGCTTGCGCTGCATTGGGGAAGGACCTGACCCAACACATGGACTCACTCTGGGTGGCTGCCCTCCTGGGCCATGGGCGGGTATTGCATGCAGCACTGGTGGGCTTTTTCTGGAGAGGGAATGTGTGCAGGAAGAGGAACAAGAGGGCGACCCTACCCGACCTGTAGCACACCTCCCCCGTTTCTCCACTCCGCATCGCTCAGCGTACCCCCGCCAAGAGCTTTGAGCTTTGACATCTTAGCGATGGTGATAGTGGCAGCAGGGGAGCAACTCAACAGCACCATGCGGGGCCGCTCCAGGAGCTCACTGACAATATGCCCAGCAAGAAGAGAGCATCACGCGCATGGAGACAAAAAAGGCCAGCATCACCAACATCAACAGCGAACAGCTTGAATGATGCTCCCGAAGCTTTTGTGCCCCGGCAAAACTTGATAGGTGCTCACCGCACACTGCTCCATGCAACTTATATCAACTCATCAGGTAACATCCTGTGGAGTGTGGGAGGGCTGGACACGGAAGGATGCACGCATGTCGGGATGTTCAGTGTCGGCATTCAAGTCGACAGTTCTGATGATCTGATGATTGGCGAGTAATACAAAGGATAGAAGAAGGGGCTCGGAGGGGCACAACCATAATTTACAAGCTAACACGCTTGCTGCTATGCACCACCACACTCGAACTCTTCAAGGAGGGCCTGTCCATCACATTCTTGGGAGAGGAGCCCTACGAAGCCAACTAGGTGTGATCAGAGGACACGGACCATGGAATGCCACCATCGACCAACCAGAAGCACACCTGTCATCCCTGGCACAAAACAAGGTCTCAAGAAACCTTTCGCCATGGGACAGGGAGGGGGGCACATGGCGGCTCAGATGGCCAGCAAACAACTACACCTCCGATTGCCCCACAACCCCCACCTGCCGCGTCCGACCACCAATCCCGTCCTGCCTCCATCCACACTGAACCATGTGTGGGGGAAAGGCAACCATAACGTTGCACCCTGTTTAGTACAAGTAGAACCCCTTGTAATAAAGTTTGCCGCGCTATTCAGAACCCTGCGCCTGTTTGGGGTCCAGAGCAGGGTTCTGTACAAAGTCAAAGCGATCCCGGTAATTTTTCAAGGAGTTGGGGTTTGTTTTTGAACCAACTTTGCTTGCACGAGGCATGGGCAGAGAGACCTTTCTGCCTCTCTTTTCCCCTCCCGGCTACTCCCGGCTCTCTTTGATCCTCCTTCCACTGAAACCAATCGAAGGGTCACGAGCCTTGGCCACATTGTTGATCAGCTTGATGATGATCTTCGCGTTCACATATGCAGACGCCGCCTGTAGGGCCAAGGCTATCGAGTGGCAGTCGCGTTTCCGTCATTGTGCTCAAAGAGATGCCTTCCCTCCAATCAGCACCACGCGCTTCTGGACTGCTGCACGCTCTCCCGGAGATTTCTTCTTCAGCTCCAGGTAGCGGTGGATGACGAAACTCAGCAACACTGAAGGGAACGTAGCAGGCACTCAATTACTCAACTGGAATGATGAATTCATCTCCAGGCAACAGGATGTTCATCAACTGTCTCTTGTACTCGTGAATTCGCTTGATCCTGTGCTGCCCAGCAGGGAGCATAAAGCTCCGCGCTCGTTTACAGGCTTCTCTGGAACTACAACTTGGCACTGGGCCCTCCGCACATCCCTGCGCACCTCTGCACATGGGAATCTGTCCAAGGCTCTGGATATCAATCAGGGCATCTTGGTCGATCTCCAGATCCATCGTTGATTTCAGCCAATCGGCCAACTTGGCCTTGCAACCTTTCTTCATTGCCATCCACCTCACTGCAAGAACGCAATAATTGATGTGTAAATCATCACTTGTGGTGCTGAATTGGACTATGTAGGTGTTCACATGTGCATACACATACACATACATATATATATATATATGTATATTATATATATATATATACATATACATATATACACATATCTATATATATATATACTTCTGTATCTGCAGAAACATATGCAGGTACATATACATATACCTATATGTACATATAGGTACATCTATACATATATTTATCTGTGCGTGTGTGTGTGTGTGTGTGTGTGTGTGGGTTCAGGACAGCCGCTTGTCGTGCAACTTGGGGTCCTCTTTGTAGTCCAACATGACCTCTTCGCATGTCACTCCGCAAGCGTGTTTGGCTGAATGTGCTCCAATTCAGCTCTTCATGAACGACTCCAATGACTCCAGTGACTCCAGCGCCTTCAGCTTCGTCATGTCGGTCAGCCACTCTTGCGAGCCTACGTCATCCGAGCAAGAATTGCGAGCGCTGTCACTTCTGCAGCGTGCGATACCCTTGTATGATAGATGTAAGATGCAGTTGAAAGGCCCAGGTATTCTGTGAAAATTTCACTCAGAGCTGGGTTGGCACAGTGAACCCAACGCCGTGGCGTCACACCGTTCGTCATGTTCACCTCATCCCGAAGGCGCCGTGGCACTGCTACGTCACTACATGCAAAAGCAGTGGCGAAGCAGTGGCGAAGCAGTGGCGAAGCAGTGGCGAAGCGGTGAAGCAATAGCACGAAACCAAGGAGCAATCTTGTTGTGCTCTCCATTGTCGCAGCACCACTTGTAGAACTCAGGAAACGTTTCCTCCGACGGGACATGGCTTCCGTGGCCTGAGACTCCTGAGATCCCCTGTTCAAAGATCCTCTTTGAGATTCTATCTCAGTCCTTCTTGATGATCTCGGTGTGGATGGCAGCAACTCCATTGATCTTGTTTGAACCAATGATGGCAAGGTGGCCCATTCGAATCTTCTTGACATCACCTTCCTCAACGATGCTCAAGGCCGCGATGATGGGTCCATCCCCCCACCTGCAAAAATTAAAACAAAGAGCGGCTCTCGCCGCACTGAGCAAATTACGGGCCTCTGCAGCAGCTTCTGAATCCAGATCCCATTGATGTGGTAAATGATCTGCAGGTGTCTGGGCAGCATGCGCTCCATCATCTCAACCGGCCACTTTTCCAGAGCCTGGAGTCGGTTCAGGTCAGAATCCGGTAAGGACTAAGGACGGATGAGCTCTGCAAATTCAGTCCTCTGGCATGACGGTGTGATTGGTGTAATTCAAGCACTGCCTGGCCGAGGTGCAAACCATCGAGGAAGGCTCAGAAAATTGCCAAAACATGACCACACAAGAGAGTGGCGAGTCCTGGTCAGCTCCCACGCCCTGTCCCAGTCCAGCTTCTGCACGTCAACCTCAAGCCCCACACATTCACCACACATTCTGGCATTACTGCGGCATTCTTGCCGAATTATTGTCGCATTGTTGCGGCATTGGGGCACCCTTCTGGAAAAAACCACGCTCAAAGCGGCTCGCTTACACTTGCAGCTTGAGGACCAACAGTCGCATCATCTCCGCCACAGCAATGGTGGGATGCGTGTCGTTCATCTGTACTGCTACCTGCATGGGCTACCATCCCTTAGAGTCTTCTAAATGTCGAAGAAGGTGGGAGGGCTCGCTGGCCTTTGTTTTTTTAGGGTTTGTCAGCCTGAAGGTTTGGGGCGAGTGTGCAAAGCTGAAAAAAATTCTAAGGTTTGGCGCAAGTGAGCCCTCCGTAACCTCAGAAATGAATTAACGGTGCTTGACAATGCAGCCACAAGTACACTCCAAACACTGCAAGGGATGTGATGCTGGTCCCCTACGTACAAACCCAGCACCTGTCCGATGTCCGTGCCGTGTCAACACGGGGCCTTCTGGGGAAGCTCTTCCCACTTGAAGTTTGGTCGCTTGATGAACTCCCGCAGCAAGTCCTGACATTCGGCGCATGTCGTGTGATGCCATCACAAGAGCTGCATCGCAGGGAGATCTGAGCACATGCACAACGTGCTCTGCGGAACGGGAACGGTCCTGCAGAGACGCGCTGACGAAGAAGTATTGCTGTCGAAGGCGAAGCTCCTTTCCGGCGTACGTAGCGTCCTTGGAAGAGAGGAACACTTACAGTCCGAACTATAGCCAGTATTCATGAGCACTCATGATCCTAGGAGTTGTTCAGGCCAGAGCCTTTCTGCGCTAAGGGCGGCCAAGAACAAGTCTGCTGAGGTGCATTCGGGTAGAGCACGGCGGACAGATCTTCGGCTTTGCGGCGTTGTGTGATCGCATCTTGGAACTGCGCACTGCTGAAGGCGTCCAGGTCGAACTCCTACATTTCAGACATTCTTGAGCCTTGCAATCTACTGAATCTACTGGAACTGCTCTGCCCTTTACTCTCTAAGCGTCCTCACTGGGACAGGCTCGCCAGAGTCGCAGGTTGTTGGTGTTGTAGGTGTCCTGAGCTTCGTGCCGTTCTCTTAGAATAGCTGGAATCCAGCGGCATGTTTCAAATCCTGCAACGACATGGGCCGATAGCATGAGATCAAGCTTCCAGATGGCCCCGAAATGATGGCCCTACTGCACTCCATCTACCTACCACAAACTCGAACATCATACAACTTCAGCTACATACTTCTGAAGCCTCAAAGATAGGAGCAGCGTCGAAGCCAGGAATGGGGTTGTCGTAGGCCATGGCTTGTACGATCTCGCCCCCGACCCACCTATGGCACATGTTCCGGAAGCTTGCACACAAGATTGTTTACAAGAGTGATTCAGCTTGCCCACGCACGAGCCTTGACACTTTCTGGCCGTTCTCATGGGCCTCTTCCACTTTGCCGTAGAAGCGTACCGGGTATGTCACATCCGGACGAGGGATCTCAAACGGGCAGCCATCACCTCGCCATCTACAATCTACAAAGGTGAGGTCAAGATGCAGAGCTATTTGAAATTTGATAACGAAGCAGGAATCGGAAGGCGTCATGGAAGCTTTGCTGGGCTACCCAGCCGATCCAAAAATCTGGCTCTTCGATTTGGCGACCATCCCTCAAAGAATGATTCCGATGCTTATGGCACACTATAGGGTCTCCCAGAGGTCTCCCATCAAGACAGTACCCTCCAAGGAGGACGCTTGATGCCCTGCTTGAACATGCCATAGCTGTAGCGGATGCCATAACCCCAGCACGGCAATGACCTTAAATTGGTGCTGCTTATCGTGGAGACTTCAAAGGTGGTGATGCATGGTCATGCGGCCCCGTCGTCTAGGCTCATCATTGCTGCCAGCTGAGGTGCAGGGTCGCCATTGAGTCGAGGAAGCAGGCAGCCAAGCGACCCAGTCCTCCATTGCCCAACGCGGGATCTGCTTCCTCGCCGAACAAATCCTGCAAAATCCGGGGAACAGCAACATGCTGTCTGCAGGAATTGGAGAGTTTGATACAGGGTCTGCTGTTCGACTCGTCATGTCTCGGCCGCATCGCTGCACGAGGTCATCTTTTCCGTGCGGCACAGGAGCTAGCAAGACAATCCATCACCCTGAATGCGAATATATGCGAATGCAGATTTTTCGAGTCGGCTGTCCTCAAGCTTCATTCCCAAATCTTCGAAGGCCTCCTGCAAAAAGGAAGCGAGGTAGGCATGACAAAACCTTCGGTAGTGAATTCTCCCGTCCTTGAACGGCTGCTCCAAGTCCAAATTGGCGATGGCGTTCTGCATGTGACGGCCGATCAGATACTCAGCCGACAGGTAGTACCCCCTGCAGATTCACACATGCCAGCACATGCTCACAATTGCACACAGCATGAACCAAGTCATGGAAGAACAGGAGAACGGAAAAGTGCGGGCCTTTTCACATCCTGCTCTCGGTACCAAGTGTTGGTGTCATTCAGTGACTCCAGCAGCCGATCGCGAAGAACAAGGCCGGCGGCACGGTAGGCGTCCTTCTCATGTGAAGCTCTAAATTTAACAAATAAAACAGAGCGAGGCGCTCCGGCAACATCCCTTCAGCTGCAAAAGAGCTTCCTTCTTAAAGATCCTTGGAAACATCTACGCCACAAGCCAAGCCTGCATGGTGAAGCTGAACCGCGTGCAGGCGAGGGAGTACTCCAAGTGCCGAGCAAAAGACTTCTGGATGGACTCTGGGTCATTGGGCTCCTCACAACACATCTCAGTCCTCTCAGTCCTCGCCCATCAAACTCCCACTCAAGCAAGGCATCGCCAAAACCGGTCCCATCAAAAGGTGTGCCCAGAACATGGTGTGTCTAAGCGCAACTATCGAAACATTGACCAGGAGTCGTAGTGCGCCATAAGTTGCTGGAGTTTCTCCATCCGACCGCCATCCTTAGTGCAGTCATGAACACAAAACTCAAGATTCTACCAGTAGCGACTACTAGTGTCTGCAGTACCAAAGAAATTTTGAACATGACAAAACCGTTTGCAGCGCTTGCAGCTTAGCATCCTGCCCTTCAACATTTGGTGCTGGACGGGTTGCCATTGCATCGAGCAGTGAGAAAGATGACTTGCGTTTCATCTCAAAGCCTCGCAAGAGAGTTCGTTCTTCTGAACACCGTTCGGTACTTGACCCAAGACTCACGCGTGATCAGGTTGCGATCGCGAAGCATCAGAACCCTCTTCGAACCGGCAATCCGCACAAAACGACCTCAAAGCCCTGCAGAAGAAGGATCTGAAACTTTTCGAACGATCAGCACCCGTGCGAACGACAAAAACAGTACAGAAAGCAAAACGAGTAAGATAACCCCACCTGCTTTGTCAGTGGGCCATACACCTGTGGTCGTCATGGCGGGCTGTCTGGCAACGAGAAGCTATGATGGAACTATAAAACTCTACTCTCGGAAAATAGCTGCGGACACTTGCAGATCTCGCCAAGCATTGCCTGGAAGACGTTGCGAATCCTCGCAGGGGGTCTTAAGGGCTTCTGGTTTGGGGTTGAGGTTTAGGGTTTAGGATATGGGTTGTCGGCTCCTTGTCTAGCCCTGCCCTTGGAAAGAAGCGCTCAGAACTGGCAAATGTGCTAAGGTATGCGACATGTCTTGTACATCGAGTTGGCAAATGTGCTGTAGACTTTTTCTCTTTCTGCCCGATGCTACCAGTGGTGACGGCAGCCCCAATGCCGCTGACTGTACAAGGGAGGGCGGGAGGTGGTTCTTCAACCTCTTCCTCTTCCTCACGACTGATGGCCGGAGAGTCGCCCATGAAGACGTGTACGGGGAAGAAGGTCTTTTTCACCTGCTCGGCCAACTGGTCGCCAGTCATGTTCTCGCCTTCGTGTAGCAGGGCACTTAGGGTCTCGAGTGCATCTGCGGTATAGACCTCTACTTCCTTCTTCTTCTTCACGACCAAGTGTGGTCGGTAACGTCTCATTAAGGTATGCACACGAGTCTCCAGCTTTGAGCACTGCCAAGCACTTTGGAAGCGCACTAACTTTATGCACTCCGTCAAAGCCAGGCTCATGGTTGCCAGTTCGTCGGTATACTCCTTGAAACGCTTGCCGAGCCGGCTTCCGGTTGCTTTCCCAACCTTGTACAGATAGCTTCCGTCACTGTTCACCAGCTTGAGCATATGAAGGGAGTACCATTCGCCCTGCCAAAGGAAACTGGTGGAATTGCACAGGTGTCTACCTGCAGCGGTGGCCAAGCAGCACAGAGTCGGCTCCTGCCTGTCGCGAGTGAGCACCGTCCTGAGCAGACCCAGCATCTGCACACGTGTCGGACCGCGAGCAGCTGGCTTCTCGAGCCAGCTGGGCCGAAGCAACTTGCAGTTGCCATCCCACAACTTGATCGGAGATGCCATCACCTGGCACAGGGCTGCGAGAACAGGGCATGACTTTTTGAGCAACAAAAGCCTACACTTTTTCTGCCAGACGAGGGGGGGTCGTCTGGCAGAAAAGTGTAGGCTTTTTTGCTCGACGGGCATCACTTTTCGCTCAAAAAGTGATGCCCTTCTGGCATGAAAGCGAGTCCTTTTCCCGGAAAAGTGCTCCCTGGCAGCTACTATTCTAGGAGTGTGGTGCAGGGCAAAAAAAAAAAAAAAACGGCCTTGGAGAGTTTCTCGTCGTCCGTGAGCGTCGCATCAAGGCCGAAGCGGGGCCAGAGCGCAGCCGCCTGCTGCCGTAAGTCGGCCCTGGATAGCTTCTCCAGGTCCGCCATGATGCTGTCTACTTCCTTGACTGCTTCATCAGTCGGGTCGAAGAAAAATGCCGCACCTCCGGCTGTTCTGGGTCGGCTAGGTGTTCCTCGAGACTCCACCACCCAGCGGACTATACATGTTGCCAGGTAGATCACCCAATTGGTGCTGTGGAGGAACTGCATCTGACTGGCTGCTGGTGCCGCGGCTTTTCTCGACTTCCTCGGAGCTTTGAGCTTTGCATCGGCCTTCCTTTTCTTGCTCGGAGCCTCTGGCTTGCTCGTTGCCAGGTCGATGCCTTCGCCAATGAGGTCTTCCTTCTTCTTCTGCAAGTGGACGACATCGGCTCGCAAGTTCTCGATTGTGTTCTCTTCGTCCTCCTTCGCCTTAGCCAGTAGCTTGCATTCGCCCATGAGGTCTTCCTTCTTCTTTTGCAAGTGGACGACATCGGCTCGCAAGTTCTCGATTGTGATCAGCTGTTGCCTAATGACACCCGATTGCTTGTCAATCGTTTTGGTCTGCATAGTCTGCTGATACATGGACATCACGGCCATAGGTGTTGCGGAGCTTTGCATGGCTTCCCTGCATAGATCATTGACCATCTGCGTGTCTCCCGGCTGGGAGAGATTCGTCGACATAAGCTCCTGAGGTGGCTGAGCCAAACCCATCTCTGCCACCCCTTTGGGAACATGAGCCTCCATGTCGATTGTTGGCTTGTCCCAAGAAAAGGACATAAGGGCACAACTCTTCACGAAACTCAACCTCTCAAACCAAAATGGCTAGCTGCCGAGCACAGGGGCGTCTCACCTATCAATGTTCCGTGAAGCATGTTTGCAAACTAGATGACGGCGTGCAAGCATTGTTCGCACCGACTTGTTGCCAAAAGCTCCCTGGAAAGGGCCGAGGTGTTTCTGTTGAACGAAACAGGAAGATCTAGAGACCCCAAAACCCTAGATGCAAAGCAAAAACGAGCGGGCTGCAAGCACACACTGGTTTAGGGGTTAAGGTTCAGGTTCACAGGGTAGTTGTAGGAAAGGTTGCCTTTCGCTGCCGTTTCAGCTTGTCGAGTTTGCCACTCTGAGGTGGGGGGAGTGATTGCGCAGTTTCGAATCATTTCGATTACGCGATATTACGCGCAGGCCGAAACCTCAGCATTTACAGCATGTCTCGTTGTTTCGGCTGGTCATGGCTTTGTGAGTTCGTCGTCAAACTCCTGCGATTTCTGATTTTCTAGACCACTGATAAAACATTGCTGGCGACTCCTCGCTCCCCTGAACCCTCCCATCAACCGGACATCGCGCTTACCCCCCTGCTCGACACCTCTCCACGCCCCGCACTTCCCTCCCGTCAAGAAATCATTCCATCCTACCCGCCTCCGTTGACCGTCTCCTCTTCGCGGTCTTCCGTCAGAAGGCGAGTGCACGTTCCGCGTTGAAGCACTAAACAAGAACCAAGTTTTGGGAGCATAACCACGCGCATGACAAACATTAGACGTCCACGCATGGATACTCCCGGTGGCTTGTTGTTGGACATGCAAGGCGCTCTGACCTCGGGTTCCGATGAGTGAGTGGGATTCAACTAGGCTCCGTGGAAGAGGCTCGTTCGCAAACCGCATCAAAAAAGACATTGAGTTCAACCTGCAGTGGACAATCAATGCTCTTGATGTCACATCGCAGTTTCAGTATTCTCGCTCTGCAAGCTTTGCAATGCTGCAGTAGCTTCGGTAGATCTGCAAAAAACTTACACGCTCCCCACATCGCCGGAAGAAACCTGTATGCCATATGCCCGAATGACCGCATCGGCCCCCCCAACTAGAAAAAGCGGGTCGCCAACCGGTGCGGCCGATTGCTCTGTAATGATGGCCTCTTCAAGACTAGGTTCAGCAGATCATACGCACTGCCTTGTGACTGGTCGCCTGTTGCCCAGGAGGGCGTGTTGGCACCAAATGCGCTTGTACATGTGGAAATGGACGATTCTGAGCTTCTGGCACGGTCACGGGCCTCGCTTCATGCTTCATGAGGGACCTGAAAGGTTGTCGCGGTGGGAGACTGATCCTGCGTCCGTTCAGACACTCCGGCGCCTGACAGCAGGCTGCCAAGTTGAGCAAGCCCGTGCGAAGCCGAACATCATGAAGAGATCAAGACTTGGGGATCTGCTCCCCGTATGTTGCAAATGGAGGAGCAAGGTTGGGGGGGGGGGTTCGAACCTGGGTTCAACCCAGGTTCGAACTCCCGGCCCTCCGGGGGGGGGCGGGGGGGGGGTGGGAACAACTCGGACGTACTTTCTTTTTCCATGCGGTGACATAGGGATTCGCAACATCCTACGGCTCACACGCCGGGCGGAGTGGATAGTCAAGAATGCTGAAGCATTGGGCGCAAGGAACGCACTCTGGCAATGGGCACTGGGGAATATTTCTTTACGACCCTGTTGTGAGGGTCGGCACACGGGGCACAAAGTAGTTGCAAGTGAGAATCCGCTGCACGCAACCACCTAAACCTCTAAACCATCCCACCACCCCCTCTTAACCGAACCAAGGGTTTTCATTGGATTCCGCAGTAAGAACTTCGAGGCAGTTGTTCATTGCGCGCGAGGCGTCCGACGCAGGGATCGCCGAACCGTTCACACACAAGTACTGACATTTTTCCCGGGAGGGCAGGTCGGCTATGTTTGACGGCGACGGTACGCGGCTGTACCAACACTTCAGCTCTGCAGCACCTTCAAGTCCCAACAGCAAAGCCACAAGCTTCTTTGCAACCTGGCTGCGACCCCGCCCCGAAATCGCCAGGTCACGGGATCCATTGTTGTCAAGAAAACAAACTAGCGGCGAAAAACGAATGATGTCTTTCCACAGGACCATTCCCAGCAACATTGCAAGAAATTCCAGTTCGAAAATTATCGTTTTCTTAATGCTCTCACCCAAGAAATGCCTAACCCTTTTTGGCGCCTCTATTGAAAAGAACCCCAGGCACTTTCCTCGAACGTCAAACAGGACGCCTCCTAAACCCGCAACCCACTGGTCTTGCTGAGGTTCATAGCAAGCGTCTGTAAACATGAAGAAAGGGGAGGCGTGTTTTCCGGACACCTCGTGGGGGCGTCCTGCACGAAGGGCAGCGTTGAACCTGGATAGCGATGTGGCGAGGACATCACGCACCGGCCCATCGTCCACAGCACGAGCATGCGCTGTAACGGCCTGGAGACAAAGACGTGCAGCACGTCCGAACAGGAAACTGTCACAGAACTGCACGCGGCCCCTCAAGCGTAGAGCCATGGCGCGAGAAAGCTGCTTCGTCGAGAGCACGTCACTGATGACTCTCGTCAGCTCCTGAACCCTGGAAGTGGCGTTGCCAACTTTCACTAGGCCTTTCCGAGACGACGAGAAATCGAAGGAAACGCCCAACGCCGAGAAGACCTCAGCAAACTCGGTGGACTTCTCGCCACACTCATCAAAACTCCAGCCCAGTAGATTGAAGAGGGCGACGACCGCCGCATCAGTGTGGCGAACCTCTTGCTCGAATGTTAATGTCACATAATCGTCGTCGAAGAACACCGTCCACATCAGAGACAACGCGGTGCATCCTACCCACCAGATGGCGTGTGCAACACGAAGGAAAGAGTATACGGATCTTGAAGCCCCGAAGGGCAAGGCGAACATCTGATCCGCTTCTGCTTGGTGGGTAAGGGGATTCCAATGGAGAATGTATGCATGCTTGAGCGAGCTGGAGAGCCAGCTGTCGACAAGCTGAACGAAGATCATACGCCCTCCCCTTCAAGGGCGTTCCGGGAGAGCAACGCATACATTCCAAGGCAGCGTGGAAATCACGTCTGGTCCGTGTGGTTTCGGGCTTTCATGACAGTTGCTACATTGTTTGCGCCTCCGAAAGACATGTCATCTTTCAGCCTGACCTTTGGTCCCTGCTTGAGACCGAACCGGCGACTCAGAAGAGAGTCACAGGGAAGGTTCGAGACTGATGGGCCCTCGAATCCAGCCCTTCTCCCTTTCCTCTTGGGTTTTACCATGCACTGTTGTGTCCTCTTTGCCCTGGGGCTTAGCCCCTCCAAGACCCTTTGCTCAGAGATTCTGCTGACACATCCACACGGCTGGGAAGCGATTGGAAGGTAAAGGTTGGGGGAAGAGGTTGGTGACGGACGTGCAACCGGTCAGCTCCTTGGGTGACCTTGTCAAAGACTTGACAGTCAGAGTGTTCCAGGTTGCACATGATCTCTTTTCCACAGCAGCAGCCTCTTGGGTGCTAGGATTTTTGATATGTGGTCTGGAAGGGAAGCTTTAAACTCAGCCTCGACAACCTTCAGCTCCTCCGCTCTGCTAAGCCATTTCTTAGCATCGTCCTGTGGTTTTTGGACGTCAGGAGGTGAGTAAGACAAGAAACAAACCCTCAGGAGAACACGTCCGATCGTATCGTTGTGGCAGCAACAACTTCAGCAGGTAAGGCCGGCTAGTCGTTCACAACTAGAGCCATTTTTTGAGAACCAGTGTGCGCCGTTGCGCGGGACTTAAACAACGCGTCCCGTCCACTAACACACTTGTCCCAATGCTCTTCTTTCCGCGGGGGCGACAGTGCCACTGATAAGCATCAAATTGACACAGGGAGAGGCCACGGAAATGATTTGCCCAGGCGGCATGGAAGCAGACGCTGGGCAAGCAACGGAACCAGCGGTAGCGATTCAATGCACCCTTTCCACGGTGACCGTGTCGTCTTAGTTGGATTTACTGCAAAGGGTTCTTACTTGTGACCGCCGGACATACTGTTTGCTGCACAGGTTGTGTTACCGCAGACCTTAGCGCTCGGAATGGCTGCGTTCTTCGTGTGTTCTAGGTGCTCACCTTCCGCCTCCTGTGGTGCAAGCTTCAGGGCCCGTGGGATTCCGGCCCTCCACCCTTGCGATCCACCAGCTCGGAGTCGCCCGGCAAACATGGCCGACGAGTTGAAAACCTTCCACCGGTTGCATGGTCTCCGTGGAAATTTCCAACCTCCTACCTCTGGCGTACAAGTTTCTGGGTGGCTGTGGCAAGACGTCCCAAAATGGATGTCCTTTGGTCAAATCGAAACTTATCTTGCGGCTTTGCGTCCTCTGCCCCAGCTGCACCGACCATTTCCTTGGCGCTTGCAGATGGCTTCTTCTCCACCAGTAAAGAAAGGGTTGATTCTTGGCCGGCTATTGCCAGGTGTTTCCTTGCCTTTTGCGGCCGACTCTGTAGCAGAGCTTTAGCGCAGACTGCTTTTTCCGTTCGCACTTGAACGACATCTCAACTTTGTTTAAACAAAGGAGAAGACAAAAGTAACATGCAAAACACCTTGGTTACTGCCTCAGGACTTCAGGTCTGTTGCAAAACATACAGCATGCTCTCAGAATGCCTCAGTCGAGTGTCAAACGGTCATGACACGGTATGAACGACGGGCAAAGCACACGGAGTGAGTAACGGCCGAAGTCTGTTCCTCAGAGTTTGCTTCAGCACTTTTAGACTCTCAGGTCAACTCCCGAGAGCTGAAAGCTTCTCTGTGCTTCTCAAAACTCATCATCGGACTTGCAAACGAAACGTAAGTGCCGTGATGGAAGCTGGGTTTGTCTTCTCTTCAAAAAATGTAGAAAATTTCTCTAAATTCCACTCTTCTTGTTTTTTGTCTCATGATTTGAAATTCAGAGAGGTCGAGGATTATCTTGATTCCACCAATCTCATAATTCAAACATCAGAAGAGTAACCTGAAACCCAGGTTGGAACTAGGTTCTCCCATTTCACGAAGGTGCGAGGGGGGGGAGGGTTCGAACCTGGGTTCAACGCAGGTTCGAATTCTTCCTTTTCGGAGTTCCGGGTCACAGGTTTGTACGACGGTACGAGAGCCAGTAGTGCGATCCTTTTGTTAGCAGGCTGGATTCGCGCGGGGCGGGTTGGGGTTGGAGCGAACCTGAACCCTCATGTCAGGTTGGGTGGAGGTCAGTACTCAACCCTAATCGCTGTCCTCCTCCTCCGTCAGCTTCGGCTTCCACGTCACCTCGCTGGCTTTTAACAACATTTCACTTCCGACTCAACCCACAAGACCGGCTTACTGTGCTGCTGACTTAGTAAAGAGGCGTCTATTTTTAAAAGTTGTCATGCAGAAACTGCTGTGCACATGAAGCATGTGTGCTTTGACCGGCTCACACATTATGCATTCAACATTATATACAATATATATATGTATATATATACAGAATATAGAATATATGATATATCCTATATATTGTATATTTTATATTATATACTAATTTTCTTATATACTACACATTACACATTATACATTATAATGTATTATAAATTATGCGCTTGTCATGAGGAACGAAATGATAGAGCTTTAATTCTAAAGTAGCAAACAAATAAGTGTTTTGTTTGCGAACCACAATTCTTTGTACCAGGTCTTACTCGTATCCTTGTTTGTTCTTGGTCACCTAAATTTTAGGTGACTCTCACACAGCAAAGTGCAAGCATTTTCATGGCCGGTGTTAAGCAAAGAAACATGAGATACAACTAAGAATTGTGGCTCGAGAATTAAAAATTATATATTATATAATATATATTAGAAATTATATATTAAATATTATATATTGTATATCATATATGAATGATGATATGTTTTCTATTGTATATTATATATTGTATATTATATATTATATATCATATATTATATATTAAGTATAACATATAATATATATATATAATATATATAATATATATATTATATATTAATATTAATAATATTATATATTATATATTATATTATATATTATATATTATATTATTATATATTAATTATATATTATTCTATATTATATAATAATTCTAATATATAATATTAAAATATAAAATAATATAAATAATATATAATATAATATATAATATTATATATAATTATAATATATAATATATAATATAATATATATATAATATATAAATATAATATTATATATATCTATAAAATAATATATATATAATAATCTATTTATATTCTATATGATATATTATATGTATATGTTATGTAATAAAATATCATTATTATATGTTATATATTATATTATATATTGTATGTTATATACTATATATTATATATTATATATTATCTATTCTATATTCTATATCTATATTCTATATCTATATTACATATTTGACATTCTAGACTATATATACATTTTGTTTATATATTCTATTTTATGCTGTGTATGACATATATATATATATGTTTCGAGAATGCTATGATACATATGTATGTATATATATATAAATGTCTATATATATATATATGTATATATCATATGTATATATATATATATATATATATACATACGTTTATATTGTGTATATATGATATATATACATATATATATATATATATATTTATGTGTGTGTGTGTTATAACATATACTTGAATATACACATATAAAATATGCATATATATTTCGTATTGTATATTATAATATGTAACAAACTATGTTGGTCTAAAATATATACGTCTTGTGGATTATGCGTTCTACACTTTGTATTATTAGAGTTACACTGCTGCCGGACTTGAGTAGGCACCCACCCTGTGCAAACAGTGCCAACAGATGGAAGACGCGCTTTCTGTTGGACAAAAGTCCAAGCACCTTTGTGCCTCGCGGGCGCTCATTTTGAGCTCTGCTTCACCACCTATGTGGAATTGCCCGACTCCTGGCGACCAAGCGATCATGGCGACTTCGAGTTCTGGAGAGGGCCTATTTGAGCGGGATAGATCTTTCTCGTTTCACCAAGCTTTTGTATAGACCGCTCGTGCATTCGGTAGCGTTACTTTTATTGAGTCGAAAACCTCGGGTACCTACCGGTGCTGCGCTAAAGTAGCTTCTTCTTAGGCCGCTGCTTGAATGGGCTCCGTGCTTCGGTTGGGGTTTCGTGTCTGTTTGGTTGCTTCGCTGTTTTCTTCGCCGGGGGCCTGTTCTTGCCCTTTTGCTTAGCTGCTGACGTAGAAAGGAGCACACCACTAGAAAAAAGAAAGTGCGTAGCAAGAAACAACAGCAACTGCAGCGAACTGAAGTCCTTTCCGGAGCGAGTTGAAACGAGCCTTTTGTGTTTGAGTTTCTTTACAGCTTAGCAGATTGATTTCTTTACTCAGCTCTGCAGCGCAAATCTCCTCAATGGCTTCCCGGAGAGATGGACGGAATACCCTGCTAAGCAATTGGACTCACGCCTGGAGCCCTTGGCGCTAGGTGCTCAATGCTTTCTTTTGAGATTGGTTAGCCAAGCAGCTTACAGTTAACGCAGACCGGGTTTTGAGGATAGCAGAACCCGGGAGAAGCATCGTAACAAGAAGGAAGGGGCCAAACTCCAGAAAGAAAGGTGGGAGAGGCGGCCTCAACGGACGTGAGGACACTGTTGAGAAGATGCACCGACTTTGAGTGACTGCCAGGTGAGTGCGTCGAGTGGAATTCGTCGGGAGAAGGGGAAAGAGGTCACGGGATCAGTGGGGGAGGTGAGGTTCTTTCGGAAAGGATAGTGTTAGGCTTGCGTTGTTTGGGGTGTAATTGTAAATTGGTGACGTAATTTTAATTAACAAACAAACGTGCACGTCGGTTTGTTGCGTATGGGCCAAAGCCAGACCGGCATCATCATCATCATCATCATCATCATCATCATCATCATCATCATCATCATCATCATCATCATCATCATCCATGCAGCAGCTGCGGCTCGGGCTGCAACTGCAGGAACTGCCATCATCATCATCATCATCCATGGTTGACAGTTGGCTGCAGGTCTGAAGTTTCTGCAAGGCCAGCATGTCGATGACCGGTGCTCGTACTCCACACTCTGGTCACTGCAGTTGTTAACCACCTGCCGGCAGTGCTCGCTGCGCTTCTCGGGCGGCTGTTCGCTTGCCCCCATTTCAAGAAGCAGCACCTGCAGCACCGCATCCAGTTAGTGCTGGGCGAGTCAAGGTGGAGAGCGCGATTTCCACCCGCCAGCACCACAAAATGCCCACAGGGCTTAGCAGCTTAGCAGTCCCGCTTGCCAATGCCCTGTTTTTGAAGATTTGTTTTTCTATCTTCAAGCGCCCGGCTCCGTACCAGCGTTCAAAAAATTGTTCTTGTTCTTTGTTGTTGCTGTTGTCGTCGCAAGCAGTGACGACAACCGAAAACGAAAGTCTGCAGCAAGAGATGAGTCTGGCTGGCGAAGCGAGTCGCACGCATTTCAGATTGCCCGGTTCAGATGAAGTAAGACAAACTGACAAAAGAGCAAAGGAGGGCGGCGTTTCGAATGCGAAACCAAAAAAGGCAAGCCATGAACCAAAACACTTTGGAAACCAGGGTGTTTCTCTTGCTGCTTTCGGGTTGGGTCGCGGGCAGTCAGAAACGGCCGTGGCAAGTAGATTGCACCGGTTCCCATTCTAAAGTCGCATCGCAGCCGCAAGAGATGACTGGTGCGGGCGTTTCCCGCACGTGGTCAGCTTAACCACTTTGTCACTTCAGCCAGGCAGCAGGGAGCAACACGGGTGGCCAGCGAGTCCCCCACGTCCAAGGCCCAAGCGGCCAGTTTTCTTGATCGGTAGCTTTCCTCTCAAAGCGAGAATGCCGCACTCACCTATCCATCTGCACATCCATCTTCCCCCCCCCCCACCCCTTTCATCCGTCCGTCTACCACCCACCCACCAATCCATCCGCCCACTACCGACCATCGACCGTCCATCTACCCACCCATCCGTCCACGCACCCATGCACATCCACCACCCATCCACAGGGACTCATTGCAAGTTTCACACGTGCTTCGCAACAAGGACTTGGCAAGTGCTCTCAGTCGAGACCATCTGTACTGCCATCCTCGACTCCGTGGCATCAAAGCCTCGCGTTGGCCAATAACCACCGTACATGATAGTACGTAGCCGTAGGCTACCGCTTGTGCACGTGTAAATACTCACGCCAAATAGCCGCATACATAGGTCATTGCCGCCGCCAGCTTGCTGTCGCTTCTGGCATCGCCTGCCTGTAAAGCGTTCCCCGTTTGCAATGCCTGTTTAGCATCTTTTGCCTGCATTACAGATGAATCCATCCACCCACCCACACCTACCCATCCATCCATGCGTCCACCCACCCATCCATCCCCGGCCAGATTTGCACCTGGCGACACTTTGGAGGAAAGGAAAAATGAAGGAGAAAGCAAAGTTAAGTTGCCAAAGAAAAATGCTACGTGAGTAGGGAAAACGAAGACGTTAGGGAACACGAACAACAGCACAACTTGCAACCTGAGAAACGAGTCGCGATGCCCGACAACATCTCGTGCGAGAGATTTGGATGCTTCTGGAGAAGGCTCGCACAGGAACCCATTCAGTTTTTTGGGGCATGTTTTGCGATGCTGCTGCTTGAAGTTCATGTGTTTTCCCCGGTCGGATGCAATTGGCATAGGATGTGAGCTCCACAGGGGCGCAACGCGGGCAGGGACCTGTGTTTGGTGTAGGCAGGAGACACTGATCAGTGTTCGAGATGTGTTGGGAAACGGCCTCAGTCCCGGACCTCGACCACCTTTTTGCAAGTCCTTCATCATTGGAGTTTGGAGCGCTGTGGATAGTCTGCGTAATTTCGACATATCCTTTTTTGGTTTTTCGATGGTTGTGGAACGGCGTTGTGCGTCGCATCAGTCGTGCAACAGCTTCAGGAACTTCCACAATTCAGCGCAGGACCAGGAATCTGCAGGGCCTCGGGTTCATAAAACGTCAAAAGGAACCGTCAGGGTGAGTGTGAGCTACTCGTTGCGAAGGTCTGCGTGGCGAAGACTGACCTCTGCTTTGAGGGTGCAGGTTCAATTGGAGCTAAGAGGCCCCTTACACGATGCTTGTGTTTTTGTGGCACTCGCTGCAATGCTTTTGATACCACACAAAACAAAGCATGTGGGACCCGCAGCCACTTACAGCTCAGTCAGTAGCTCATCTTGCGCCCAGACCCGCACCTGCCGGGAAGGTGGCGCAGAGCCTGGCAGTCGCAAGGGCTCAGAAATTCTTTGAGAATCGCTGGCATTTTGTTGCTCTCGATACGAGTACCAGCCACTTGCTGCACGTTGCTGTCGAACGCTGAATGATTGACACATTCAACTATGTTGACAGGCCTTCGGCATTGAACGATGAAGTTCGAGCACGTGTTGGCCGCGCGTTTGAAGTCTTCAGAGTCTTTTGAAAGCATGGGAGGACACTTCGGGTTGTCCTCAACCCGATGTGCGTCGCCCTCCACAATTTGCAGCATACAAACTCGGAATTACTAGTCAAGCTTATTCTGTGCTCTCATGGGAAGGCGGCTTAGGGTGCGCGGTGGAACTTTGCCAAGGAGGGTTTTCAGTTCGGGAGTCACACTGTTTCGCATTGTGGTCCCATGCGCCAGAGGAGAGCCAAGTGATGCATTCGCACTATTTCGCACTTCTGTCTTTGAAGGGGGGTGAGACGGAGGCAAGCTCAACGAGAATCAGAAAAAGCCGGAAATTCGCAATTTCCAAGCGCTCAAGGTGATGTCTATGCTTCTCGGAGCTTTTGGGCACGGGGCCCTCACCAAGCCGCTGCCCCGCCTCGTCTCGGGTCGGCTCCTCAGCAAGCTTTCATTGAGATGGTATTTGCAGCGCTGTTTCTTCTGCAGCTCCAAGTTTTTGGTTCACAAACTTGACCTGCGTGGTTAGGAGTTAAACTGTTGAACAACGGAGTTGTGCATATGTTGCTGGACGATAAATGCCGGGCGGTCGGATAGTTTGGGGGGGGGGGGGACCGGGCGGCCGACAGCGTGTGAGATTTCGGCTCTCCATGCTAAAAGCCCTTGGGGAAACAGTAGTACCTATGGGACCCTCTCCGGCCGAGGCGGAAGCACCATTCGAGCTAACTGTACAAACCGGTGCGGGCACCACCGCGCAAGACGTGGTAGCATGTCAGGGGGATCCCCGCTTGTAGATATTTGCGCACGATCCAAGCAAGAGAGGCCAGGTCAAAATGCCCGCCGTTTCGCCAAGATGAGAAGAGACCGGCGGCTTCCGGAAGGCTGTTTTGCCTGTTTTGCTCCCGAGTAAACGCCAGAACGCAGCCCTCTGCGCAGTTGCAACAGCTTGCAACGCCCAGCGCAGCAGATCCCCTCTCCGCTGGTGAGGAATCAGGAAAGGCTTCACAGTCCCAAAGCGGAGGTGCAGGCAAGGGCTCCCAGGTGTCCCCAAAGAGGTCCGCGGTGGGGGGACGTGGGAAGTGGAAAGAAAACCAGATCCCGGTCTGCTTGTTCCAGACGCCATCGGCTGAAGGCCAAGGCGAACCTGTCACCTGCACAACTCGCAGAGTATGGGCCAGGGTCATATGAGATGCGCATCGCAGGTCAGCAGTACTGTCCCTGGTGTGTGGGTGAGCACCAGCCTGTAGGAGCCTCAGCTTCATGCACTTCAGGGACTTCAGGGTGAGAGCTCCAAATGGCAGGGTGCAAGCAATCTTGTGCCGTGTGCAGAGAGAACCCGATTTGAGGAGTGTTTGGAAGCGCTAGCTGGATAGTTGGACTAGGTGTCCTTTGCAGCGGTATGCTAGTTTCGGCCTTGCTGCGACTCAGGTCACAAACCCTTCTGGCACTGTCAACCGCGATGCTGAACCGTCGTCACCTTGCCTCGGCTCTCAAATAGGCCAGACATATCCAAACATCAACCCAGCACTGGCCTCCAACAGCTCACGAGCTGCTGCTTTTGCCAGGCGATTCTCCGTATCCTTCAAGCAATTACAACAGCGTGTTGACCGCATTTGAGACTCAGTGCGCATGACGCACGTGCAAGAGCCGTCTTGACCTCGTGGATACTAAGACTACGCTGTTGCTACGGCTCCTGCTGAGCCACACTACACGGCTGGTGGCACGATGGAAGCAACCATTGTGTCTTAAGCTTACGACCGGTGTCGCGGCATTTGTTCTATTTTGTTCTCTTTGTCCAGCTCTGCGTGTTCTGATTGTGCAGCAGTTCATGTTCCGCTTCAAGCCGAAACTGCCCTAAATTCCACACGAGTTTGGATGCCGACCACAACGGTGAAGCCATCTTTGATTATTGCCCACACTCCGAAGCCCAGACGGACCGTGGCTCAGTTTGGGTGTCGGACTAACCCTCCTGATTTGCGTTTACGGGAGTCAAGCACTGGAACTCGTGGGAGTCTTACAGAACCTATGCTGCGCAAAGTGGAGCGTGCCCAAAAAAGAACAAGCTTCTGATATGCGGGAGCCAGCAGTACAATCAGTACAATGATCGATGGGATCCGTGGTTCCTGCAGTGCATCCTTTCGAATTCCTACAGTGGCAGTCTGTGGCCGAGGAAGAGTGCTTCAGGTCCAGGCAGCTCAACGACTGGACAGATGTCCACGCATACTGGGATGCCAGCAATCAGCCGAGGTGGCTGCAAGGAGTCGGCTATTTTCGCCAGCAGATTAGGACATGTGGGACATGTGGGATGGCAGCTTGAGCATGAAGGCTGCATGTAGGAGTCACAGGTATTGTCAGACGTGTTGAGGATGGTTCAGGGTTCCGAACAGCCCAGGGACGACCACTGGAAGTCCGGTTCCTGGTTCCCTCAGACAGTGAATCTTCCGGCGGACATGCCCTCGGGCCCCGTGACAGTCCGCTGGCTCTGGGTGCCTCCGCTGAAGGGAAGATGAGGATAGGGCTCCGAAAGTGTGCGTAGGTACATAGGAGTGTTGCTGTTCTGCTTGTGCACCGAGATATGCAAGTACACGGACGAAATATTTGTGTCTTGCGTGGACGTCGACATCGTTGGTGGGGCGGCCACCACAACGGCGATTGGCACGACCACCACCACGACTGCGCCGTGTGGCCGCAAAATGTTGTATTTCACTCGGCGAGCATGTGCGACACCGGCAAACTCCTGAACTGCACCATCACCACACCAGTCGACACCATGTTTCTCAGAGTGTAATGTAGCCGAGGAGTCCCGAGTGCATCTGGACCGAGCCCGCAGGGCGCACACTGGAGCGCACCCCACGGGAGGAGACTGCTTGGTAGAAAGGATCTCAGCTCTGGGACATATGGTCAGGTCTTCAAGTATTGTGCCTGTATCGGATACCCCCTCTCCCTAGGGCCAAGCTCGCGGCCTTGCAACATAGGGCGGCCTAAGGCTTGTGACCCCAGGGCCCACGCATGCGTGTTCGACGTGTATGTATGTGACCGTACATGTTCTTCAAATACATGCATACATACATGCAGCAATGCAGAATTCATTTTTGAGTTAGAGCGACGTCTCCCCCAACCATCTCCTCATTGACCCGCTCCCTCAAGAGGAGAAGGATGGCCGAGTTTGCTGGGACGTCACAGTGCCCGCTGGAACCAAGGCAGGATGTAACGCATAGTAACGACTTGTCACGCACTGTAACGCATGGTAGTGCATTGTAGTGCATTGCAATGCATTGCGCATTGTAACGCTGCATATGGGTTGTACCTTCAGGTCTACTACCAGTCCAAGACTGACATCTACCATACGTGGAATTCAAATTCTTGCTGCCTGAGTGCAGCAGACAGCTTCGGATCCGATGCTACAGGAAGCCCAAACCTGGTCGTGTTCACCCCCACGGCAAATGTAGGCACCTTTGGCTTCTGTGAGTGCACGGCGTGGGATCCCAGTAACCCGGGTGCCTGTGCTGGGGCAGCCACAGCCGACAATATGATCTGCCCTGTCCTGGGTGCCTCGAAAGAGATGTGCTCAGAGGCCGCATCATGGGATGGCCTCCCCGTTGGCTGCACGCCTGTCTTTTCGACCACGCCGTCAGCAACATCAGCCACCACTACCATGGTGTCAACCACATCGCCTACGGACGGTTGCTGCTATTGGGATGCCAACAAGGGCTGTGAAGGGAGCGGGTACTGCTGGGAGTCCAAGGCCAATTGCGAAGGCACCTGCAATGGCAAGTGGCTGGCGAACGCCCCACCCACCACCACTCCTGCGACGACGATGGCTCCCACGACCACGGCAACGACTGCGACGACCACTCCCATCTACACGACCACGATCAGCGCGACAACCACTCCCATCTACACGACCACAATCAGCGCGACGACCACTCCCATCAGTGCGACAACCACAACTGTGCCGGCAACAACCGCCACCTCCTCGGATGGCTTTGAGCCGGTGGATGGAGGTGTGAACCGCGCATGCCGTGGAGATCATGCTGGAGACAATGATGCCTCCCACTTCACGATCGCGAGTGCCTCGCCCATGATTTCGGGTGGGGCTTGGCCCTTCTTTTTCGAAGTCCCTTCATGACCGATCTAACAAGGTTTAGAGTTTAGAGAGTTCACATGAGTTCACCACATGGCGTCAGCACCTGTGCCAGGTGTTGACACCTTGGATGAGTGCAAGGCGCTTTGCCTGGCGACCGCGGGATGTCATGGAATTGAGAATATCGGGAAGAGGTGCGAACTCTGGACGCACCCCGTTGGCGCCACGGCTTAAAGCTTGTGCAAGTAGGTTGCAGTCAGTCTTTCCGCCAACAAATGCCGCAATAGCCAGTTCAGCCCGGGTGTTCAGCACATACCCTACTATGCCAATCATCACCCATTCAGGTCTCACGATCCACCAAACCAACCGCCCTAGTGTTCGTCCCGTCACCATGCGCTTATCAGTACTTATCAGCTGCTTATCCCGAATATCTCCCATCCTTCTGACCTTTTCAAGGGACGAGCATCAGCTTGGATGGCTACACCTGCCTGCGTCTGGTAGGAGGCCATGCCAGCTAGTTTTATGGCAGGGGTCAAGTCGCTGCGTGCGGCGAGAGTTCACAAGCCGTTTTAGCAAATGGAAAGCCTCCAGGACCTGTCACTACAACACCTCATCCGCGTCATTCCTCGTGTGGCCAGCTACATGACCAGTGCCTTGGAACGAATGCGGCACTTGTGCACAGCCCTGGGCATTTCAAGGACATCTCAAGGACGCAAAGCAGCGGTTCGTTTTGTGACCTTGCGTGCACTATGTGGATTTCGCGGCACACCACATGATCAGCAAGGTGTGGGGGGGACGCGAACTACATGGGCAGCAGCTGCTGCGTATCAGGGCTGACGTGTGAGTACAAGGCTGCATTGGGAGGTTGCGGGGCGACTGTGGGTGTGGGGTCAGATGTAGCAATGGCTTCCTGCGTTTCGTCAAAGGCAGATCCTGTACGGGACTGAGGTGGATTGACAGTCCTGATCTTTTGACTGCAGTTTCGGGTGGTGAGTGCATAGTCCAGGACTCCGAGTACTCGCAGTGCGTCAAGGATGAAGCCAGCCAAGAACCCTGCGCGCAGATTTGGCAGCAGCAGCTCTGCTGCGCCTGAGTATTGTGGCTTGTGTAGACCTACCATCCTTTCAAAGGCCAACTCTGCCGATGGGAGCTGGTACTCACTGGTACTCAGAGCTTCCGAGGTGTGGCGGTGCGGGCTGGGCCGGCAGCTTTGTTGCGTCAGCAGAATGTGCCAGCAATGCGTCCATACTTCAGCTCGAGATGGGTGTGGAGATGGGTGTGGAGTTTGCTGATTCAGTTTGGGGGGAGGGCCTGCGCTGTAGGTTCTTAACGGTGGACGTAGAAGGAGACATGGGACTTCCCCTTGCTGAGTCTCCCATGGCGGTCCCTCATCTGAGGCTCCGACTGCTGCGTCGAGGGCCTGACTTGCGTTTGGGGCAACGAGCACTACTCCCAGTGCCTGTACCTCGTCTATGGTTTTCATGAAACATGAAGGGACGTTGAGTCTTTGAGATCCTGGTGCACTAAGTATAATTAAGCATCCCAAACACCCGGGCAGGCGCCTTCCCGGCTCACTTCTCCAAGCCGACGCGAAGGACGTCGTGACAGTGTCGTGACATTCTCGGGCGAATTTGGAATTTGGAGATGTTTTTGGGGGGTTAGGCTTTGGGGTTGGCGCCTTTTTTGGTGCCCATGCACGTTTCAAGCGATCACGGTCGGGTTTTGGTGGTGAAGGGGGAACCCGAGACATCAGGAGGACGGGATGCAAGAAGCACTCAAGAAGGTTTGCAGAACTGCTACGGTGACTCGTGTAGGCCAGTGACTGGTGACCCTGTGGGCCGCGAGCAGGTTTGTTCAAAGCTTGCTGCGTGCCTCAGGATGTCCTCGTCGGTAAGAAGCGTACCCACCTTCGCAAGTCGAGGTTGGGACCGGGGCGAAGGTTTGTTATGAGCATCCCCAGATCACATCGAAAAAGGCGACATGCCACAGACACTACATGTACTACATAGTACTACATGCTGATGCCCTTTGAGTGCTGGCACCCCAACACCCCACAGGCGTGCCGCTGCCTTGGAGTCACGGCCCTGGCTGGTCCAACGCCGCACCGTCACTGCCAAGACCAAAGCGACTGAGCCGAAAGCGACTGAGCCGAAAGCGACTGAGCTGTAAGCGAGCTTGGCACAGAAAGCTTCTTTTGCTGAAAATGGGCTGAAGATCGACACTGGTTGTAGCCTCATATGAAGTGCGGGTCTTGGACTACTTGGACTGTCGAAGCGCAAGAAGAGCTTTTTGTGCGCATGATTCGGTTTTGTGCGCCTTGGCAGCAGAGAGCGCTCGAAACTTTTCCGGGCGCGCTCTTGCTGCTGAATTCAGCGCCGGCTTCAGTTTCTGGCCCACAGCATCCCATGGATCCTATGGTAAGTCCAAAGCGTTCTGAGAGCCCTACACTGTTTTTTTCAAGAATGCATCGGAGTGGGACCAGAGAACTCTGGCTGGGCTTGCAGAGAGCTGCTGGGCAAAGTAAGGAAAGGAGTAGGTGTTTCTCCCAGCACTCGCCGTCCACTGCCATGCATAGATGCATAGCTGCATAGCATACCAGATACAGACAGGCTGGTCGATGTTTCCGAAAATCCTTCAGGTGCAAAGCATCTGGGATGACCCCGCAGCGGTCACAAGCTGCTGTCTGCGGGGCTATTCTGGCTGCTGCCCGCTGGTGCATAGTGATGGGGCAAGCTCGGGCTCAAACAGTGCTCAGCTGTTTGTGGGGTACAGAGGGGGAGCAAAACTACAAAACAGCAACTAGTGACAATAAGTTCGGCTTGGGTCGAGCTACCGATTTGTGGTCTTTTCGGACTTTGGGGTCTGGGTGTCTGCTGGGTGAGGGTTTAGGCGGTTTCAATTCGTTCGCAGGGTATTGGTCTAGGGTACCGAACGTGCCAAACTTAAACACATTCAAAATCATTCAAACACCGTACGCCGCGCGACATAGAAATAGCCTAAAGCGAAGGCTTTGCAGGATAAGCCAACGTGAGGCTTCAAAGTGCTAAACATGCTTCTTAGAAACTTGCATCTAATTCACCCTAACCAGGCAATCTAGTTCCCGAATAAATCAGAAAGCCGAGCTGTCTGCATGGATTACCTTGTTCCTGCTCCTTGATGACATAAGGGATGTGTGCATGACACATCGAAAAGTTCACGAACGTGTTTGTGTCGTCAGGCTAAGGGCTTTTTCTCGTTGCAGGGTTGCCTCCCCAGCCCATTTCCCGAACTGTTTGAGTCAGGGGGGGCCCCCAATTTCAAATTGATTTAGTTGTTAGGGGGCGGTTCGTAAGTCGGGAGAAGCTGGACTTCTTTGCTATGGCACCAGGATATTCACAAAGGACGTTTCCGTGCAGTTTGTGTAAACCGAGCCTGTGTGTTTCTGCTCGGTTCGGGTCGCGCGTGGCAAAAGGGCCAGCAAGGCTCGGTTTTGCGGATGAGACGGTTCCCACGTCTATGTCAAGTGCACATGTTGCAGCATCTTCACCGCCACTCTCCCAGGTTGTCGGGGCAGGCCTGGGGGAGAGAAGGAATCCGTGATGTTGAGGACTGAAAATGCAGACAGGCTGCGGAGTCCAGGCATGCGTGAGTTTTGGGTGTGAACATACTGGAAAAAACCTGGACATGCCCGGACTTCCCCCCGAACTTCCCGCGCTGCGATCAAGAACCCGGGCACGATCTGAGTGGGTTGTTGTTTGCGCTCACCCGTTTACCTCGGTGCTCGCCAAGTATGCGGGAACGGGCAGCATGTAGTGTGTTCGACGGAGAGACAGTGGTTGACATCTAGGCGCTTGCATGGCATGTCAAATTCTGCAGTCTGCTAAAGACTTAAGAAGTTGCAATGGGGCTGTGTACCTTAGGCAGTTTCCTAAATTTTCTTCATGGAATGCGAGCCTTTAGTATCACTACTTGCACCGCTTTCATGAACATGCAGGCTCTGGCCGTTACAGCCACATGAGTCTGCGGGCATTCCACCATATGCGGCGGCACATGGCATCTTCAGCGCGGCCCCTGCTTCGCGGTGTTGTCTTCGACTTGGACGGCACGCTGACGGTGCCGGGATAAGAATAATAGTGGAAAATCATGCATACTGCCGAAAGCATGACAGACTGTGGAAACACGCTTTGAGTTTTGCCCTTTAGAGACGCCAGTCAGCAAGTACACAGGTTCCCAACCTCGATTTCCGGGAGATGCACGATCCTTGGGTTGCACTTGAACTTTGTCTTGTTTGTCGTTGCAAGCCTGAGATCCTTTCACTTCTCTGTTGCACATGGCACACGCAGGAGAGATGTGGCGTTCCGATGGGAAAGGACGGGAAAGTAGAAGTATTGCCTGCCTTCGCCAGAGTGTGAGGAAGTGGAAGTGGCTTCCGTGTCTTGTGACTCCTTGGTGGATTTCATTTGGATCACGGGTAGCTCAATCCTTGAAGTATAGACCCAGGTTCCAGACGAAAAAAGGGCAGCCATGCAGTCCCTGCCAATTCTACCTTGCCTGCATGTGCCTGCCAATCCTGAGAAGGACCTTCTGGCTGCCGTTCGGCAGATGGAGCCTGAGCATCAACAAGCAGCGTGGAATGTCATCGAGGAAGCATGCTGCTGACATGGCAGGTTTTCTGAAGTTCTGGTTTCATGTCATAGAAGGCAAGGCAAGGTAGAACGGCCAGGAACAAGTTTCGTTAGAACCTGGCCACTTTGTCTTTCTGCGGCTGGCACGCCCAGGCATGTTGTCATGCAATGCCCCGTCATGGCCTCTCTTGCCAATCACGTCATCTCGTCGAGTCTGCGACTTGCCGCAGCTGCCGACCCACACTGCGAGTGGCGGCCCAGCAATTGCCAGGAATGGAATCGCCGGCCGATACTCACAGCTTGGAGGTGGCTGGTGCCGCATTCTCCCCGCGAACTCGTGCTCAATGCGGAATCAGGAGGCCGTGGCACGGAGGGGGGTCCGTTTGCAGAAGGCGTCACCCCTGTCGCAGGGCCCCCGAAGAATATGCGCTCCAACGCCAGCGGGGTGGTATAGAGTTGGAGGTTCCACGAGGAGCGCTGCGGCCAAACGTGCTGCGCCGGTCATCCGCGTAGCTGGCCTCCTCATGTTGGGTGTTTGGAAAATCAGGGCATGCAACCTGCAGCGCGTCGAGGGCTGCCTTGCCGATGGAGCTGGCCATGGCTGACCTGCGGGGGGCCCTGCTGTGGAACCGGGCCAGGAGCCTCCCCTCCACAAGAGCCGGCGCCCGACCTTGTTCAGTGGATGGATGGACCGGGCTCATCCGTCCAGCGGGAACTCCGAGCGGCTGCAATACGCAATCTCTGCGTACCAACAGAGCAAGGCATTGAAGCAGGCAATTGAACCCATTTGCTTCCGCTTCTTCTCGGCAAGCCTGTTTTACCATCGGGTTGAGCTTGTGGCTGGCCGGAGTGCCGACGCTGAAGGGATGCTAGTTAAGAATGCTCGCTCCCCTCCTTCCCTTTTTGTTCTTTTCTTTTTTCTTTCCTGCCGGGCAATGACGGTTACGGTGCCCGGGGCGCGGGCCAGTGTGAACTCCAAGTGGAGGGGGCGAGGACGGTTACGGAGCCCCCTGTGAAGCTGGGAGGGACAGCGCCTTAGGCAAGGCCTTTTTTGTCAGGTCGCTCCTCACTCACTCGCTCACTCACTCACTCACAATTGTAAACGCTTGCGCGCGCCGCCTCGGCAGCCGGGCCGGCCCCAGGACAGGAAAGGAGGAAAGAGGGTTTCGCAAAAAAAGGGGAGGAAGGGCAGAGGGGTCAAAGAAGGGGGGGGGGGGGGGGGGGGGGGGGGGGGGGGGGGGTGGGGGGAGGGGGTTTTGAGGCACTCTCCCTGTAGGAGCCACCGACAGGCGGGACCCTCCACGGCATCGGTTTGCAGCTCCTCCAAGCGATTGGGGGGGGTCCCACAGGGCGGGGGGGGGGGGGGGGTGGCGTCAGAAAATTTGGCATGGGGGGAAGGGTTGGGTTAGGGGGAAGGAGGCCCGATCCGGGTCTGCTTGTTCCAGACGCTTCTCGGCAGGAAGCCGAGGCGAATATTCGTAGCCTGAATCACCTGTCGGTTCTTGTCTCGCCTGTGCCCCTAGTTCTGGCATGTCCTTTGGACGTGACCAAAGGGCCCCATGGGCACGTCCCGGCCTCATCGAGGTGCATGATGCAACCGGCACAGGGCGATACAGGCGAGATGTTGGGTTCCGGCCGAATTTCCGTTCGGGTACCTCACACAGTATTTACCACTAAGAGCCCCTAGAAGTGAGTAACCAGCAGTAATCATCAGTACTTTTTCCACCTTGAGAAGTCCATTCATATTGTCTCACCGTGTGACCCGTGAAGGGGATGTTCACTTCATGCCGGTAATTTTTCACCGCTGGAGGGAACGGCCCTTGCGACCCAAGAAATTAACCCGGAAATCAACGGGTTAAACGTATGAAGAGAGTGAGCTAAGTTAATCTGTAAGGGAGTGAGTGAAACGAATGAACGCACGAAATTCACTTGCGGATGAACCTTACTCCGGAGAAGTGGATAATAAAGATTATTGCAACACTGCCGCCATGCATCAGTCTCCTGAGCGCGGCAGGAGATGGAGGATGAGGGCCGGCGCACACTGGAGCTTGCGGAGGGGGCTTTGGATTTGGGACGTTGGCTCCAGAGGCGCGTGCACTCGACATTCCTAAAAATTACCAAGCGTTGCTAAGCTGTAGGCCATGATTTATAGCACTCTTCTTTTATAGGTAACGGGCAGTTTCTGGCTTTACGAATGACATAATTCAAATGATGGTTCGATGAGTGTCTTGAGCCTCGAAATTTGAGGCACCGCCTTCCAACGGCCATGGTAACACGCCGCTCGAAGATGGTGGGAGTTCAGTCTGTTTCAGTACATCTGATTTGCGTTGCCAGCGTATGTTCTAGGTACAACCGGCTCCTACTTCTCAGGTGTTCAAAACTCTGTGTTGTCAGACGGGTGGGGACGGCCACCACGTTGCAGCATTGATGCTCAGGTAATTCTGCCTCCACTGTCCAGTGGATGCATGCTTCTTGGCAGCAAATCATCGAAGCCTCAAAAAAACACATTTCTGTAGTATTTGCCTGCAGGACAAGCTCTGGGGTGCCGCCGGTCTGCCCTGCTTCCATCCGGCGCTCAGTCGCGATGATGTGGAGCGCTGACAGCAAACGTCAGCAAACTAGACACCCGAAGCCCCTGTATAAGTGACGAAATTTGACAGCATCCGTCCTGAACCATCATCGAGACTTTGCTCGTTTATGTAGATTCGGGGCTTTTCTTTGCTTGCGACCTGTGCAACTTTTGGCATGTTTAGATTTTGAATGCTTTTTCGAAGTCTCTTGCTCCGTGCATGTTTCCTGGCTCCTTGAGGAGCACGACAAGCCTCATCCAGCAGCCCTCGAGGCCCATCTTTTCTTGCTTCATCTCTGTTTCTCAAAGATATTCAGCATGTACGTCCGCATGTCACCTTTCGGTTTTGGTAGACATACCTCTTCAACGAAGCCGGGATCAACCGAATTGGTTGGCCACTCCAAAAAATCGAAAGCTTCACAAGCTGCATCCTTTTGTCTCAGAGGCAATCGCCAAGGAGTGGGGCCACCAACTAGGCCATGGGCTGTCGAGAGCCACCATGCAGTTTGAGCTTTGTCAGAACATACGGTGATTCTCTCTCTCAAAATCAGGGTCTTTTTTGGGGTCCTCTTTATAAGGCGGCCCTTCTGATTAAGTGTACCAAAAAGGGACCATCATTTTTAGAACTCGCCGTATGAATCTACATCCTCAGAGAGCTACCCAGACGCACACCGCAGCCACGCACACGTTTTGATTCGGTTATGCTTCGGTGATGCTCTTTCCTTGTTCTGTGGTTTCTGGATCAGGCCCTGAGCTGCTTATGGTCGGCGACTCGCCCTCGAACGATGCCCGGCTTTCGCACAGCACGTTTTGCATGTGGGTGGAATCCCTGCGCACGGTACTTGAACAATGGGACCCGAAAAATCCACGATAGCAAGCTGGCAGAAGTGTGCTTGAGCTGCTAGAGCAGCGTGCCTGTGTGAGACATAGCGTGCGGCAGTGCTGCATAGCTTGAATCAGTCTCTGTGTGTCCTGGAATTGAGGATATTGGGTTTGGAAAAGCAGCAGGTATCTCCACTGCGTTGGTAGATCCTGGACGGAGGTTTCGTACGGGCGAGCCCTGGTTGGCAAGGGGGATTGAATGGGACCTAGACCTAGACCTCAATCCGAGTGTGTTCATGGGCACCCGCTTCACGACGGCAGCTATGCAATGATTCTTTGCATTGGCCGCCTTGAGGACTCGGGTTATGGCTCCTGGGCTGCAACTTGGGATGTCGGCCGCGGTGCTGCGTGCAATAGCAAAGTATAAGTAAAGCACGAAGTTTCACGACGTGATTGTAAAGGCAGCTTCTCCTACTTTGGCAGGTGCGGACTTTGTCATCGACAGTCTTCTTGAACTTCCACATCTTCTGTGGAAAAGTTTCGACATTCCAGGTGCCATGGAGATCAAGCTCCAGTGGGTACAGATCAAAGCCAGTGCTCAACACTGCCAGGTCCGCTGGGGTCGACAGCACAGACCCTCCACGGGATGCCGGACTGGTGGCTGCAGTGGTGGGGACTTGATAAAAAAGGGAATTTAAAAGAAAGCTCTTGCTTTGAAGCTGGGATGGTCGAGGCTGAAGGATGTTGAAAGCCATCGCAGAACCTGTCAAGCTGGAGGTACTGTGGAGCTCTGAAAATTGAATCACAGCACTGCGGTCGTAGACGAGCATTGTGAAAGCTCAGTTCCATGTTCCCAGGTATGCAGACAGCAGCACGGATCCGGACAGCGCAATGCTCAGCTTCAAAAACACAAGCCTACCAATGCACCACGCCCGGAAAAGGAGACATTTTGGGTCAATGCTCCCCATGACCTTTTCCAGAAGCAGAAAGCCGTTTCCGAGGCATTTTCAAGCCGCTTCGTGTCGTTTCCGGCAGAATTTGTGCACTTTCGCAAGCGCGTTGCAGAGTTTCCACTTCGTCTGAACTTCATGCCAGAAGTGCTTCCAGCGTTTCCTCATCCAGTCTCTGGCTGACTCTAGCTCGTCTCACTGGAATTCTATATTTCCAACAAAACGCTAAGTACGTACCCAGCCGCTTGCATTGAAATGGGGTCCGTTTCCACCGGAACGCCAGGGACGTGGCCTTTGGGTGCAGCTGGGACTGCCTCGATTTTGGCAGCAATCCTGCTTGACGGAAAGTGCTTGGGGCTAAGGCTTAGTAATGCAGAGGTAGAATCCAAACGAGCTGTACCCAAGACCCTTCAATCCCGTGTCATTTCTCAGTCTTTTGTATTCCGCACATCGAAAAAACGAGCATCTCTGCATTTCGCATCGTTTGTTTGCGTTTCATTGCATTAAATTCCTTCTGAAGTAATATACGAATTCGGAGAACCAGTGCCTAACGACACAGTCAAGCAAAGCTGGAGCACGAGAATCAAGGAGCAGAGGAAAACAGCTTACTTTTGGACGACGGAAATACTTTCCGGTGGAAACATCTAAAAATGACAGGCTGACAGTGTCCTGGTCAGTGGTATCTTTGTGGTCTCTTCGTGAACCTCGCAAGCTCGATGTGAGTTCTTGGACAGAACACACAAAGTGAGCCCCAAAGCCTCCAGCTGCACTTCGCGCGAGGATCCTTTGCCTGAGACTGCAGCATGCCGCGCAGCAGTTGATGGAGACGTGACCGCCTTGAAAGCAATGACAAGGGAGGCGCATTGCTGTCAGAATCTGTCGTACAAGGTTACATCATGTTACATCCTTCGATTCTTTCATGGCCTTGGACCACACTTGAAAGGACCTTCGGGCAGCCGATCCGAGTGGAAACACCCCGTCGCTGGGGCAAGTTGATTAACTTGAAGGGCAATAGACGATTTTGAGAAGACTCTCGATCTTCTGCTTGCTGTGGCAGCTCCTTGCTGTGGCAGCTCCTTGCTGTGCGAGTATGTACTTACCTTTGCTGTACAATTTTGTCTGAAGTGCATCGTCGCGAGAGTGTCATGCTCTACTGTGAATTGTGTGTTCGTTATGACGCACTTTGCTGAGGCTTGTTTGGGCTGCCGATGCTGGGAACGCGGACGTGGTTGAGTCACTGTTGGCAGTGGGGGTGGAAGTCAATGTGAAAGGCCGGAGTCTAAGAGATGTAAGTTGATGTAAGAGTATCATGGCGAGCTGCGCTTGCGAGGAGCATTGTGCAGGTTTGCTCTCTTTCGTTTTCGAGAAGTCTTAAGTCTGTCCGTGTAATGTATGCCATTCCACATATTCTCATATCGACAAGCTGACCTGCAAGCTGGCTTCGTCAGGATACCTTGGAAACACTGCGGTGTCACGAGCTTGCCGCCGTGGTCACGGCTCAGTGTTGCGAGTCTTGCCCCTTGTCGCATCCGCAGCTCACCCCAACAGATTCGTGCCACTGGGTCCTTGCTGAATGTTGTGATTGCCTGAACGCCCCGAAGCTCAAATGATGCTAAATTGAATTTTAATTGTGTGTGTGTGTGAAGATGGCTGACCAGGCTGGGTGCAGGAATCGGCACGGATCTGGACGAGCCCAACGACAAGATGCAGTCGCCGCTGCATTTTGCGGCTTTCAAGCAGAACATGGAGGCCGGGCCGAGCGGGCGTGGGACTCGTGGGACTCGCGGGACTCGCGAGCTTCGAGCTTTGCTTTGCAACTTGTGGCTTCTGTGGCTTCGGAAGGTCGAGGTCGCAGGCCGAAGGAGTCGCAGACTAGTCGCAGATTTGAAGTGAGATGTCACCTGTCACCGTGGAATCATGTGTGGATCTTCAGCTTTACTCACTCAGGTTTCGAGTTTCGGTATGGGTACATGGCTGCCCAACTAGAAGCTCTAGGCCGTCTAGGCTCCAAGCCCATCCGCGCCGTGCATCTTGCATCAGGCCGTGCAACTCATGCTTGCTGCTGGGGCCAGCACCACTTCCCTGGACCGCAAGGCGATGGCGTCGATTGAAGAGCCAAGTTACCAATGTGGGATGTGTTGCAGACTTGCACTGAAGAGTTTCTGTCCTACCCTGATGACACAAGCCAGTAATTAGAGGGGTTCGAGAATGGGAGGTCTGATAGCGTGCAGAGGTAGATGAGGTAGGTCATGGTAGCCATGCCTTCGCCTCAATCTTACGAAGCTGCCGGATGAAGAAATTGAAGCACTTGAAATGACACACGTGAGGTTTAGAGAATGGGTGGGCGCGGGTGCCATTTACTTGAAGGTCGTGGAAGTGGAAGAGAGGCATGATGAATTGGAAAGATACAAGCATGAGAAATGTCATGTTCTTTCGTCAGGAGACAACTGAGGTGCATTCTTTGAACGATTGGAAACAGGCTTTTGCCTGATCTGGCAAGGGGAAGGGTTGCAACATCGGGTTGTCAATGTGACTTCTGATGAGGGTTTTTGCATGCGGAATTGAGAGACATGCTTTTGCGATTAAGAGCAAGTGAGGGGAAGTTGTCGTTTCTGTGAGATGCTTTTGGAAAGCATGGGGTAAGATGACTATGAGGTCTAAAGAGACTTCAGCCAGAGCACATGTTTTTTTCCAGAAACGCAGCATTTTGCACTTTTTCTTCGCTTTATGCTCTGAAAACGGTTCTGCAGTTTGTTTTGCCCGGAAGGTGTAAAGTTCAGGCATTGGAAGCCATGGCCCTGTTTCCCTGACCATTATCTGGAGACTTCGGTGGAGTTCCTAGTAAAAAGCAATTAAGAAGGGTCGTAAGCACAGACGCGGCAAGTCCCGAATTTCTTCTCCACTCTTTAGTAGGTTGGTGCTTCATGAACGCCGAACTATTTTGTACGCGCCTTTACATTCTATGTGATGACTGCTACACCTGTCCTCTTGCAAATTTTCGCTTCTTGAATGAAGCAAGAAGCGTGAATTCCCCTTTGTGCTGGAAGGGCCGGACTCCCGCCGAAGACACGAGCGACCCCGTAATACGTGTCTTGGACAAAGCTCTTTTTCGTTGTGTTTGAGTCCACATGCAGTCTGGGCGTGGTTTGCTTGGGAGGTTCCCAAAGCAGGATTGAAAGACATTATGGGTGTTATTTAGCTGCGCATGTATGCACTGTGACGCTTGTGGAGCACGTTGACGTTTCAGTCGTGATCTTGACATGTTGACTCTCAGATGCCATCGCCTCTCGTATTTGGATAGACATAGCTGACATAGCTCATCGGCGGGCCCTGGTTTGCATTCCAGGTGATCTGATTTTACAAGCGAGGGCGGCGACCTGACCGAGCCTTGAAGAAAACATTTGGGCCAACTTTAAGCCAGCTGTGCCGTGGGTGCTTGGAAGGGCCATGATACTTTCTTAAAGGCTTAAAGACTCTTAGCGCCAAAGACTTAACGGTCTGCACGTCAAAAACAGCATGCCAGCACCTAGCACCTGCCAGCTCTCTGACAGTTTTTCGACCTTCCATTGAAGCATTGAGCATGGCCACGGTGCTCCTTGAATCACCTGGGCTCTAGAATTTCCATGATGCTGCGGTGTAGTGAGATTTGCGTCCATTGGGCCCTTGGGATTCATGGACACGGCGCCTGAAACCAAGGATGTGGTGATTGTTTGTGTGTGAAATCTCGCGAGCACTTGCCATTGCACCTCCTTGGAGCACAGGCCATAGCGGAGCACGAAGTGCTTCCAGCTGACCGAGGACGTGTACAATAAGGCCGTGCATGAAGCGAGCTACGCTCATACGGCCAGATGCGATCGCTTCGTTGGGCCCCACTTGTTGTGCTGTAATTCCTGTGCAGGGCCTTGCAGCACCTTGCAATGACACCTTGAGGCCTGGGCACATGTACTGTGAGCCAGCTTGTAAACATTCCTGCAGTTTCATGCACCGGTTGCTACAAGCTTTCAACCAAGTAGGTTTCGCCTTGCTGCTGTGCTGCGGTCATGCCCACACACCTAGCATGACTTTGACGCATATTCTCCGTGGGTCGAGGAAACAGATGCCGAAGAGCAACCCAATGGTAACCGCACGAAGTGAGCTTGGGGGAGGTATAGGTTTGCTGGAAGACCGCTGAAGGCTTGTTGCTTGCCTTGATTAGCAGCAAATGCTTGCAGATGCTTGCAGTGTCAGCAGGCGGTGCAGAACCTTCGGTGCACAGGTTGTCTGTGTTCTTTGCCAATTGAAGGTTGGGCAGGGTGCTCGTGGGCTAGTTGTCAAGTGAGGCTGGTGTAGGGGGTGGGAGCTGCCAAGAAGCAGCAGGGCCGGACGCTGTGTTTGGGGTGCAGAGGGGAGTTGGGAAGAGTTAGGAAGATGGGAAGGCAGCCAGTTCGTTGCTCTGGTTGCGATTCCAGACGCGAAATGATTGATTTAGTGCAGCACGTGCACTTTTCCTTTTGCACCGAGCCTTTTGTTTTTCTGTTTGCAGCACTGGCGCGCCCTTTTTCCATTCCAGCCGATGGCGGGTGAGAGTGGCATCACATACCGGCGTGGGAGGGCACGTGACTGCGAGGGTGTGCAGAAGGTGTTCCACGAGTCGGGGTTTGTGATGTACGATGGGCCGGAGGATGGTCCGACCGAGGCGCATTTCATCGCGACTTGGAATGGGAGGTGGGCTGAGCGGCTTTCACATCCAGACCAGGTCTTTGCAGTGGCTGAGTACCGCGAGGAAGGCGCCGAAGCTGTCATTGTCGGGTTCGGTCGCATGCAGCGTGACCGGCCCCGCATGCGCATGTCGGTGGAAGAGGCTGCGCTCCATGAGGAGCCTGATGCGGAAGGCGGGGATGAGGGCCAGACTGAGCAGATTGAGCAGACTGAGCTGACCGGCCCGACGTACGATGCAGAGCTCATGTCGCTGTTCGTGCTTTCGGCGTTTCAGGGTTGCGGCATCGGCTCGAATCTGTTCCGCTGCGTTTCGGAAATTGCTCGGGAAGAGTTCAAGGCTAAGACGGCCTTTTGCTGGTGTGTCGACCTTGAGCAGAGCCGCAAGTTCTATGCTAATGTTGGCGGGGAACTGGTTGGCCGCAAGTTTGTAGACACAAGACGGGGCATTCGCCCGCAGACGGCTTTTGCATTCCAACTGTCATCATCGTCATCTTGAGATCATTTACTTTTGAGATTGGGACGAACGCATCTTGTCAACAACGGGAGGAGAACACATGTTCATCGTTTGGCACCGTCAGCCTGATTGGGATGGCAATGCCGATCTGGTGGTATGGCTGAGCTCTTTGACTGGTGGGGACAGTACCAAGAGGTTGCAGCACAAGGTCGGGTTCTTCAAGCTCATCATCAGGCCCCGCCTCCAACACGGACAGGCATTCAACATCTGACCTGTGTGCCAGGCTTTTCGAGCTGTTGTGATAGTTTCTCAGCCGCTCGCCAGCTAAGCTCTGACAGGGTGAGTGGCGGTTCTGGAAAGCGAAAACAGGAGCTCCTGGTATCGCTATTTTTAAGTGTGGGACTCGTAGGACTCTGTCACTGAGTGCCTCCTGCGTGTTCCCCGACAATCGCGCTCAAGAGGAATCCGCATCCGTCGCGCTGGCGGCTGGAGCCTCCTCGGAGGTCGGTGGCAGCAAGAATTTGGGAGTTATCCGTCTTTAACTCTGTTCTTGCTTGTGACGTTTGGCGACGTTGTCCTATAGCCCCCCCAGAAGGGCAATGGCTCGCTGTCTTTGGCAGTCGTTGAGGTTGTTGAGCCTGGGTCTCCGACAATGCACCACGTATGGAGTACTTGCTGAGACATGTTCCATAAGTGCGAGATGGTGCGAGTTCTGTGTTGGTTGAGGCTCTGCTCCAAGACCTTTTCGGCTCACGGGACAGTTGCCGCTGCCGAACATGCTACCCATACATTGGAAGATGCTGTTTCCTCAGCTGAGTTGATACTGGCTAGAGCTGTTGAACCTGTGTGAAGTCCATTTCAACCCTGGTAGCTGAGGGATCCTCCTAAGCTACTTCCGACTCTGCGAACGATAGACCAATGCTAGACCACTGACCACAGCAAGGGGGTGTTGTCTCCATGCCTTCACCCTCCGTGCTGTACTGAGTGGGGCGACATGCTATCTGGGCCTGTGTGCGTGCAGCCGGAGGTCAAGTGCCTGGCTTCTCATTCTACCTTGCTGCTTTTCCTTTGGTTCTTCTTGATGACCTCAAGCGATCACGCTACTGATTGCTGAGTGTTTTTGAGAAGTGATTGTGTCCAGCACCTGTGGGTGCATCTTGAGCAGGACTGAGCATGTTGCATCTTCGATCTCTTCTGGGGTGCAAGCCATCAATCCACTGAGGTATGTTGCTGAAGTTGTGGTTTTGGTCACCACCCTTGGTGCCAAGAGAGTGGAGTACAACGCGGGGAAGCGAGCGAGGGACAGTCAGGGTCTGCCGAGCCGGAAGGGGGAAGGGAGCTTAGAAGCTAGTTGGATGAGGTGAATGAAATAGAGTAGCTCGGTGCCAGCAGCTGAACTTTCGAAGTTGACCCTGTCGCTAGAGCTGATGTTGTTAAGGCTGCTACAATTGTTGAAGCATTCCCCTTGACATTGTTCACAATGACCACCTTCTTTCTGACAGGATCTCCTTGAAATCAAGGGCGTACCCATCTCAGCTGCTTTCCTAGGACGCTGCTATCCATGCTGCTGCCGTTTGTGTCAGGTCCACCACAAAGTCATCGACTTCAACCGCGATGCGAGACAAGCTGGAACTGGAGATGCCGAGAACAAGGCCCAACTGGAAGGGAGGGAGAAAGAGAGAGGCTTTGCTATGCACAGCGAAAGAGAGATCGAGAGAGACTGACTTTTGTACCTGCCCTAGCACCGCCAGCAAATGAGTGCTTTCCCGCAGTTTCGGTTTCTTCACAAAATACCAGGGGGCAGGATGGATACACATAGATAACGGGGGGCACACGATTGGTTCCTCTCCGTTGCTTCCTTGCCGTGGGTGCCGACAGCCTGCTTTCACCGCTGTGTACAGCAAACCGGGACGTGCTGCTGCGCCTTCGCCCCTCGAAAGAATGAAAGACAGAGAGAGAGGGGTTAGGTGCGCAGAAAGAAAGAAAGAGAAATAGAGAGAGAGAGAGAGAGAGGAGAGAGCGACAGAGCGAGAGCGAGAGAGAGACAGAGAGAAGAAGCGAGAGCGAGAAAAGAGAGGCCAGCGATAGTTCAAGTCGTGTCCCTCGCCCGCCCGAGATTGAAGGGATTTCGTAAGGGTGTCTGTTTTGCGTTCAATCTGTTTGCAAGCTGCGGAAGGGGGACCTTGCGAGGCACCCTAAGCTTAAGCTAAGACCCGGGCATGAAGGCACTGACTCAACAGAGAGCGAGCAGCAACAAAGTTACACAAGGGGGGATGTGTACTTTTTGACGGGCATTCGGGTGCTCAGGGTGGGGGTGCGTGCTCTGGAAGGAAGAGAGAGAGAGAGAGAGAGAGAGACTTTCGGGGGGGGCCAAGCGTGTGGAGAGAGAGAGAGAGAGGCCGGGGACCTCCTTCAGGGGGCTTTGAGAGGCGACGAGGAGAAGAACAAGAAGAAGAAGAAGGAGGAGAAGAAGAAGAAGAGAGACAAAAGCACCGGGGGGGGGGGGTACAGCTCCGACCACCACTACTGGTACCACTTTTACGGGGACCCCACCAAAGCCGAAAAAGAAGCCTGGGAGAGGGGAGAAAGGGCATGCAGGGAGGCGATCACCCTGTTCGATGACACCCGGAACAAATGGGAGCTGGGCTCAGGGAGAGCATGTGGCAGGCATCCTCGAACAAGTGGTAGCAAGGGCACACACTTCCAGGGAGTCACACGAGATACTCCATGAGGCCATGGAGGTGCTCGTTGGCTTCGTGTCCATCTCATGCTTGAGGGATCTTGATGGGCACACCCTTCGAGGGCCTGCACAAAAATGAGACTGCGTGGGCCCGATCCGAGCATACACCGAGACCAAGGGAATTCGGCAGAGAGGGAGAGAGGGAGAGAGGGAGAGAGGGAGAGAGGGAGAGAGGCCGAGGAGGCTGCTTAAGTCCAGCAGTGCTGCTCGAGGCAATCCAGAAGCTGATGGAGGACAGAAGACTTCAGACCGGTGGCAACAATGATTTGATTCTTCCACAGGCCTCCCTTGCAAGGTCAGAGAGAACAAGTTCGTTTGGCTGATGATTGCTGCTTTTCGCGGGGTAGGTATGCAGGCAATCATCAAGCAATCCACACCTCAAGCCTCACCATGTTTGGGCAACTCCAGTCAGCGCACGCGTGCTGGTATCTAGTCGAAGTTTCAAGGCAGTGAGGGGAGCTTTGTGCAGGTTTTCATCGATGGCAACTATGCGTCCGGGCTGCTGCGAGTCCACACGTTCCTGAAAACGTATGTCCTATCCTGTATATTGGCGTGGGCTGGCACAGAACCGTAAACGTGCACCAAGAATTCGGCCGGTCAATTAAATGTAGCTTCCCTGTAGACCGAAAACAGACAACGGAGATGTCCCAGTTCCAGACCCGTCGCTTAGTGAAATCAGCGCTACGGCCATCCGTGCAAGCTTTTCTGGAAGAAATGCTTGACTTTTCCTAGGTGGGCAATGCTTCGGATCTGCAGGGTCTGGAAGATGATGGCCTACTTGAGAACATCCTTCTCCGCCGCACAGCTTTGTGGGTAGGGTCTCTCGTTACTCGTTGGTTGAAAGCACGCATCTCAGAGTTTGTAGAAACGAGAGGTTGGAGGTTGTTACCCGCCGTATCCTGAGGTCCAAACCTGAAAATCTCATACAACATCCCAAATCCCACACCAAGAGTGATGGCAACCAAGGCAGGGCTTGCATGAGGTGTGGGTGGACAAGTGCCTTGATGGTCAATTGTGTTTGGATGTGTTTCAGGCTGTTCAGGGGTTCAGAGTCCAAAGGCGGGGAGGATTTAGGGGGAACTTCAAGTGGTGGAGTGAAGCGCAGTGTTAAGTGTTAAGCACTAGTAAGCACACCCAGAATTCAGCCCAATCCTTTTGTGAAGCGACCTGGCACGGAAGCTGTAGAATCTTCAGAACAACTCACACGAGGCTGTTTTTCGGTTTTTGGATTGCCAGTTGTGATGCGCAGTATGTTGCACTTTTGTCGTTTGTTGTCAGGACGGACCCCAGACATGACTCAATGCGCAGCCCCAGCCTGCGGGGCAAGCTATCAGGATCGAGCCGATATTTGTGCTGAAAGTGCCTGCCGCTGGGTGGCTGTGCGAAGACTTCGCAGGTTGTTGAAAGAATGACTTTTCCTTTGCGAATCAGTGAATCAGATTGCAGCCTGAAGAGTGTCTAGCCTTGCCAGGAGATCTTGCCAGGGGAGATGACCATCGACCAAAGACTCCAGGCACCGTGGTGCGGGGATCATGGAGAATGTTGCTGTGATGGCATTGACTCCAGGAGATAGCGCACCATGATGACGAGTTCGACGATGAGGACAAGTTGGCCACTGGCACCACCTTGTGTGATGGAAGCAGTGGGCATGTTCGTGTCTCGCATGAGCCATGATGTTCATGGCTTTCACTCAAGGGTGAGTGGATGGAAACCTTCGGGAGCATGCACCGTCCCAGCGAGTGTCATGGTCAATCTTTGCTGTCCTTCCTCGCTCATTCTCGAGGGTTGGAGTGTGTGGGTGACATGTGTCCTTCATCCCACTTCCAGCATGCAATGCGCGCAGTTCTATGAAGACGGTGAAGAGGAGTTCGCGGAGGCCAGAACGCCTTGCCTTGTGGTTTTGTTGTCCTTTGTGATAGCAATGGTTCATTTTTAAATTATAAGCTTCTGTGGGCCACCTTTGTGGCTCCTTGCGGCAGGAGGATGCAGTCATGCCGACGGTCACCAAATCAGTCACCGAGTTTCCGGAAGAGCGACGTGCCTTGGCCGGTTCATGCAAGGTGAAAGGAAGGTGAGGAAGCGGTGGCTGAAGTGGTTTAGCCGGTTAGTAACTTTTGGGCTCAGCCTTTTTTGCGCCTGTACGACTCCTTCCCGGGACAAAGAAGTCTTTCGTAAACTTGGCTGATGAAATCTGGGGGACTTTCGATATTGGTGAGGTCCAAAGAGTAATCTCTGCAAAGCTGGCGTTGAAGGTGCTCGGACAGGGACAGCCGGTTACGGTGGAGGTGCCGCCGTGCCTCGGCGAGTTCAGGAACCCGCCCCCCCCGAAATAAGGTTGAGCACATTTTTGGAGCGCATTACTCCTCGACTCCATGAGGCTGCGCGCGCAATATCCGTAGATTAATCCCCCTTGAAAGCTTTCTCTCTCTCTCTCTCGTGTTGCAATTCGTTTCAAGATCCAATTCTTGACCTTTGAAGCATCCCACGTCGCCCAGGCTGCAGCTCCAGACAGACCAGGCCAGAGCAAAGCAAGACAAGGGCTTCCAAATAAGAGCAGTCATCGGGATTTGGGAGAGAGGGCGGCCCGAGGCCTCGGATTTTCCCGAAACATTTTCCGGCCCGGAGGAGACGTTCTCCAGGTTCAGAGCACTGCCTATGCATTCAGGGAATACAAAGCGGAATTGGCCTACCTCAATTTTTGAATCAACAAAATCAGTCACATCAATTAAACTCAATTTGGATTTGAGAGATGCTCAGCCTCTCCATTCCTGCGGCTGGACTCAAGTCCTTCCAAGCCTCTCACGGCTTTGCCTGCTGCTTAGCTAGTGGATGCAGACTCGTAGAGAGCTTGTCTATCGGTGTGATGCTCTTGCAGATACCCGGCATGTAGCAACAATCGCGCTGGTTCTTAACCAGTGCGTTGACAGAGACGGAATTTCTCAAGCTACATGGCATGAGTAGGTGTGCTGACGCCATCGGCCCAGCTGCCGATCGATCCTGCGACTTTGCAGGCACATAGGCCGGATACCTTTCATCCTTATCGGTAGGCACAACGATTCGCAGTTGTCGTGCCGATGTTTTCGGCTGCTAAAGGTGAAAGTTGGCTAAGAGTTCGCTGATAGTTTAGTTGGCTGACAGTTGGCTGAGGTATTGCAGGACACCGCGAAGTTCGCACTGGGAGAGCAGGTGTGGGTTGACAGAGAAGGGGCAGTTGTCAGGACATAAGTCAAAGACGACTTGGGATGCTCAATTTGCCAATGGAACCTACGCTTCAGTAGGATGTCGGTGCATCTTCATGTTCTTTGCACTGCAGATTGCTCTGGAGACTCTGGGGCAGGTACAGTACTGGAGCGATTCCAAGAACCGGTGGATGGATGCCATCGTAGAGGGCATACGGCTCAAGGACCCCCTTGCGTTCCACGAATTGCTGTCTCAATGAGTTGCAAGTGCGCGAAACGGTAGCAGAGCGAATCAATGGCAGGTCCACATGTACCTCGAGTGTCTGTGCAAGAGCTGGATTGTGCTTTCTGGATGTTTTGTCTTAGTGAGAACTTAGATGGGATGTCATTCTGTCGTTTCCAACCGGTTTTACTTTCGGACCTCACCCCATGCCTGAACCATCGGTCACTAACATAACATAGGCTTGTAGGGTGAGAAACATGGAAGCCTCGGTTCGAACAGCGTGGCATTTAGTGGCGGCAGGAGGGCAATGTGGTCTATGACCTGCTCCTTGGCTCTAGGTCGATGTGTAGTTGCAAGCTGTGGCAACATGTGGCAACGATCTACTGTACCAGTAGGATGTCATTGTGTAGTTCCTGCACCGCATCTCCCAGGAACTGCAAGCGGGGAGCGCAGGCAGACAAGATCCAGCCCTACCAGAATGCCGAGGACTTGGGCAAGCTTCACAAGCTTCACAAGCTTCACAAGCTGCAGGCTTCCATGCAGTCCTCAATTGCTTTGTAGCAGCATTGTAGGTTCTGCGCTCCAAAATCGGAGATGCGTTGCGAAGAGCTTGCCAGGACGTCTCGCCATCATAAGCGTGTCTTGGAATGCAAGTCACAGCCGGCTGAAGGCTTGGCGGCCAGGGCTTCATAAATCCCCGGCATACTAGAGACTTCAGACGGAAGCAAAGGCAGCAGTGTTCGTCTTTGTGGGACTGAAGCCTGATAGCTCTCGGCACCAGTGGATGCATGTCGACCGCTATTGAGGATGAGGATGAGGATGAGGATGATGATGATGATGATGATGATGATGATGATGACGGCGACGGCGACGGCGACGGCGACAGCGGCGGCGGCGACGGCGACGACGACGATGACGACGACAGCGATTGCGACGACGATTGCGATGACGATGATGAGCTAGGAATTCCGTCACTGCACAATGACACTTTGGTACCACTTCTGGCAGACCATGTGATGCGTGGGTGTGTAAATGCTGGCTATGGCCGGCTACGGGTGGTCGTTTCGGTTTCTTCAATACGCCCCAGGGAATTGATGAGAACTGCCTGGACTGAGGCCATTTCTCAAGCTTTGGCCTGAGAAGGGAGGCCGAAGGGAGAGGACAGTTTAGTCCTTAGGCTGTAGGCATCGCTAACGACACAGTCTCACTCCGGACATGGGGAAAGAAGTGCTGCGCACCAGCGGTGTGTGTGGACATTTCCACGATAAGGCCAGGCATGGTCTTCAGAGTTGAAGACCCGGTAGAGTTGCAAATTGCAAAGCGGGCTCAAGTCGCAAGCAATTCTGCCAATTCAGTTCTGCCAGCCCGAACGAGCTACAAGCTGCGAGGAATTGGCAAGAAGCCACACGCACTTGTGAACGAGGAAGCGACCGCGTGTGAGCAAAATTTTTCGACAAAGACTACCTTAAATTGTACAAAGCAGCTTCCTTACTTCCCTACCCTACCATGGCGATATGCCCGTCTGCACCATCACCAATATCGTTCGGGTTCTGGCTTTGCACAAAGCCGACGTCCTGACCAAAAGCAGCTCTGCTCATGCCCGTTGAGCCCGCGCAAAGTGCTCTGCTAACCGTTTAACCTGTGGTAAATCTATTGCAACATTGGAATCAGGGGAGCGACTTGGATGCACACATTGGGGTCATATTGTGGACATTGCGAAGAAAGGTCACCTCTGGTCCAGAGTTCGTTCCGGAACCATGGCGTTCTCCACAAATCTCATGCTCAGTATTTCGATTTGTGCATCAAGCATGTTCGACGTGTTCAAACTGTCAGCGCTCGTGCTCCAGCACGTCGCTGATTCGTCATTTGCATATCAAATCTGACATGCCGACCTTAGAGAATGGACACCCACACCCACATTCTTTCTGGCAGCCCTTCAAGAGCATATGGGCCCTCAATAAAGCCCGAAACCTTCGCTGGGCCTAGATTCAGCCAGGCACGCAGTGTTCAAGAACCTGCAATGTTGTTGGCCTGCTGCTCTCTCCGCCTCCCGAACTCCTGTGCCCTATGCGAGACACTGCAGCAGAGTCCCCTCCTAAACATCCCTAAGCTTCAAGCCAGCTGTGTCTTGAATGGCTCCTGCACCTGGACGCCGATGTGCCCAGACTGCAAACCTTTTTCAGGCATGTCTCGACTAGGGGCTGCAGTTTTTCACACACGGTGCAGTTAACTGCAGCTGAAAATGCAGCTGTGGGCCTGGGGATGTGGAACTTTCAACATGACAGGCGCGCACTCAACACATGCGACGCTTCCGCTTGCTTGCTTTCTCGTCGGCTCACGAGTTCGTGTGAAGTGTGTGTCTGTGTGTGCAATCAACGATCGCACGTGAGTCCTCAAGATTTTCCTGAGGTCGCTTCATCCTCGTCGGGCTGGCTTTGCTAGTGTTTCTTGGCTGAGCAGCCATGAACATAGTGTTGAGTTGTCTCACATCCGCTGCTCTAGGGGCTCTGCCCCAGAGGCTCTAGTCAGTCTTGACCGATGAATGCCCGTGTTCTCGTCAAACTTCTATAGTCTGTGTGCCAGCTTCAAGTCGGCTCTACATGCTCTGGCCTGCAGCCCCTTGCCGAGACCAAAAATGCTGGTCGCTGGCGCTAAACATTAAACATCCCGCCCGAACATCCTTGTTTCGCAAGCGATTTTCTTGACGATCCAGTAAACACGTACGTTTCCACGCATACATATGCTGCTGCACCATGCTGTTGATGAGTCCCTGTCACACGCACTCCTCGTGTAACGCTGCTGCTGAGCCCCAGCAGGGTTTGCGAGGAGGGGAGACCTATTGTGGGGGTATTTATCTCGGCGTCTATGTCTGCGGATACGTCATTGCCTTGCTCTGACTCGTCCAGAGCATCGCTCGAGCCGACGCTGGGTGATTAATATTGGAGCTGCGAGCAGCTAATTCTAATTCTCTTCGAGGGTGACCCTAGCAATTTGTCAGACTCCAGCCCTTGCATGACACACGCCTGGGAGTGAAACTCAAGCTCGAGTCTGCGACGCCGAGCAGAGTGAAGGTAATTGTTGAGGAGTTTCTGCACACGCAAATCATGGAGGATGTGAGGAAGGACAGCCACACATCAGAGCTGCTGGGGATCGTTTTCTCAGTGCTCTCTTTCAGCTGTGCCCGTGATTGCTTTATGGGCTTTTGTTGTTTTCCCGCTGGGCTATCACTTGGGACAACTATGCACAACTCATTGGGTTCGATGCTGTGTTTATCCACACTAGCGCACGATGGCAAATACGGCATCAGGCATCGTTCCAGCCGAGGGCCAGCATGTCCATGGAAGTCCACGTCGTTGTATGGGGTTGGCAGGGTGCGATTATTGGATGAGTTTCGCTACTACAGACGCTGGAATGTTCCACAGGTACAGGTGTCAGTGGGGGTTCGAGGCGAAGAGGTACGAACCTCCACGGTCCAAGTACCGGCCCAGTGTACAAGTACTGTAGTAGCTAAACAGCCTCTCGTGTCTTTTTTTCTCTCCTTCTGCAGAGGCTAAACATCCTAAGCTATCCTAAGCCATCCTAAAACCCCTCAGAAGTCATCCCAAAGGCTGGCAACCAGGCGTGGCCTCCTTCCATTCTCAGTGCCCCGAGTGGCACTTCGCGCAGAGGCTCGGGCTTCATCTATTTTGCGGCAGGTTGCTTCTTTTTTCAGCTTTTGGGGTCATTGGGATGCTGGTGAGTAGACCGCACAGCTGCCGGAGCTCCTTGAAGGGTTTGGTCCAGAGCCTTGGAAATCTGGGGATCCAGGTCGCGCAGTAATTATTCCGTAGCGTGGCGAAAGCATCTGGGGCACGCGGAACCTGTCAACCTGTGCACTCGTGTCCATGGCTCCCACAGCTTTAAAGGATGGATGCCCAGAGCCACCATGTGCTGCCTACCCCCCACACTTAGCACAACCGCCAGGGTAGTGGTCCTTCTCCAGAGGCCGCCACACGCAGGGTTGAGACTCTTCGGAAGGATCAAACTGTACGTAGCTTATGATATCTTGGGGTGATTTATGGACTCGCGCGTCGCCACTGCTTTCGCAATGATTCGTTGGGCAGGAGGACTGCTACCAGTAGTATTGCGCTGGCGTGCAGCGCTAGGCCTGCTCTCAATAGGTTGTTCTCGTGTAGCACCGGCTGGGTGTCTAGCAAACCCGAAAACGCATAGCCACGCACAGCAGTTCTGAAGCCTTGAGCCAGTGACAGACATCCCGAAGCCTCTCCTTCAGCGGCTCACGTGGCTCTCTGGTGGCCTCCAGCTCGACGGTGAGGCATGGCGCGACTTTCGAGCGCAGCTTATTGCCCGTGAGGCGATGGAATTCGGCCCTCTTGGTTTTAGAGAGGAGTTGGGTTTTGGGATGTTTTGGGGTGCATCTTTGGGTCGCATCTGACGTGCGGAAATTCTCGGCAATCCCTCGGCGCAGCTCCGACTGGTTGGGAGTGTTTCAGTCTTTCAGTATGGGGAGGGAGACTGCAGGGTTTTCTAGTCCAAGATGGCTCAAGGAGCCAAACAGTCCTGAAGGGTTAGGCCGCTCTTGAGGTCAATGCCTTAAGGGATGTGTGCGATTATACGATACTGAAGTTTCTGGGGGGTTGACATGTCCTTAGGGGCACTTCAGGCCCACAGATAACGAAGCCCAGGCAAATGCCCAAGTGTGAACCTACATTTGTCCTGCTGGGACTACGAGAGAATGCGAGGGACTGGACTTGTCAGGAGGCGGAGGCCAACGGCCCAGAGAAGCGCCCCGTGGCCCCAAAGAATGCCCAGCTCTTGCGCAGCCAGAGTGAGGACCCTCAGAAACCTGCTGTTGCCGGGCAAACGACTCAAACATGTCAAGCCCAGAGAGGGTCAACGCCCATGTGGCCCAAGCATCCGAACTACAGGGCCCTGAATGAAGCCCTGACTTCTTCAGGTTCCCTCATAAAAAACAACCGGGACCGAGGTCACCAAGAACTTGGAAAAGAGATCGAAAGCAAATGGTAGTAAATGCATACACTGACGAAGCAATTTCGTGCGGGGATTTTGGAGACATCTTTGCATTCTTTGCATCGCTCAGCGATGGCCAGACAGCTTTGCACTCGCCCTGGAATGGTTGCGAGGGTGAGGCCAAAGTTCTCAAATAGCTTGAATGGATTAGACAGCTGGTGCGAACTTACGGAAATCTACCGACCGCGCGAATGGCTGGTCGAGAGGCTCAATTTGCAATCCAGGGCTGCTCTAAGAATGCAACACGCGTGCACACACACGCACGCACGCACACACAAAGACAATCACAAACACAAACACACAAACACACAAACACAAACACAAACACAAACACAAACACAAACACAAACACAAACACAAACACAAACACAAACACAAAGGCAACCACAACCACAACCACAACCACAACCGCAACCACAACCACAAACACAAACACAAACACAAACACAAGCACAAGCAAGAGCAAAAGCACAAGCACAAGCACAAGCACAAGCATAAGCACACGCACAAGCACAAGCACAAGCACAAGCACAAGCAGAAGCACAAGCACGCGCACGCGCACGCGGACGCGCACGCGGACGCGCACGCGCACCCGCACCCGCACACGCACACGCACACGCACACGCACGCGCACACGCGCACACGCGCACACGCGCACACGCGCACGCGCACACGCGCGCGCGCGCACGCACGGCACACGCACGCCGCACGCACACGCACACGCGCACACGCACGACGCACGCGCACGCACGCGCACACACGCACACGACCACACGCACACGCACACGCACACGCACACGCACACCACACCCACACACACACACCACACGCACACGCACACACGCACACACAGCACACGCACACGCCCACAAACACGCACACGCAACACGCACGCACACGCAACACGCACACCACACCCAAACACGCACACCCAACACGCACACCCAAAACACGCACACCCAAACACGACACCCGCAACACACACACGCACACACACACACACACACACACACACAACACACACACACACACACACACACACACACACACACACACACACACACACACACACACACACACACACACACACACACACACACACACACACACACACACACACACACACACACACACACACACACACACACACACACACACACACACACACACAAACACACACACACACACACACAACACACGCACACACCCGCACACACCCGCACACCCGCACACACGCACACACGCACACACACACACACACACACACACACACACACCCGCACACACACACACACACATGCATCTCACGCAATCGCCGGAAGTTGCAAGGGCTGCTGTTGCTGTGCTCGTCCCAACAAAGCGTTGCCTGCAGGAGCTTTGGAATGATGCCTGGCTGTTGGGCTGATTCTGTAACGCCACAGGAGTCATGTCCTAGTCACGTCCGTTTGCACCATCGCGCTGTCTGCGCCCAGCCCCCCCCCCACCATTCGAGTGGAATGTAGACCCATCTGCCGTTTCACCGCTTGTTGACCCACTGTGTCAATGACTTAGTGGTGTGAGCATTCCGTTCTTCAAGTGCTAGATGAGAGACATTTCTTCGAGCAATGGTTGCGTCTCCTAAACAATAGGAGTGTAGGGCCTGCAAGCCAAGGAGTACATGAATGGTGCTTGGGCTCACGTCGCACCGGTGGAGGCCGCAGTTCACAATTGGAAACGCTTGCGTGCGCCGCAGCCGGGCTGGGCCCAAGCCCCAGCACGTGCACGTCGACGGTCCAACCGGTGAACCTCTGCGTTTCGATAAAGGAAAGTGAGCGCGGGTCGAGGAAAAGATGCGGGAGAGCAAACGGCAGGCAAACCTGAAACCTTGAACCGGCAGTGTGAGTGAGCCTGGGTCCTGCTCCGGTGCTCAACTGCCCAGCAAGTGTGGCAGCTTCCACAGGGAAGGGGTGGGGGTGTTTGGGGTGCGGGGCAGGGACGAAGTAGAACAGATCCTGGTCTGCTCGTGACCTGGGACGCCTCTCGGCCCGAGGCCGAAGCGAGTAGCTGCATCGCTTCCTGTTGCATAAAGCGAGGACAGCCGTTTATGTCTGTGTTCGAAGTGAAGTTGCTTTCGTAGTTCTCTGCAGCTTCATCGTAGTTGGCGATGGAGGTGGAGAACAGCATCACGGGTGCTCGAGCCGACCATAGCCGACCCATGCGTACATTTATCCTCCTCCCCCTCCCCACTTCATCCCACTTCCATGTCCGCAGATGTCCGCCAATGGAAGGTGGGTGGGCTTCTTTGCCGCAGCCCGCTGCCTGCCCAGATCACATGGTTGATGCGCCAGGACGGGGAAGTGTTCTCCGCAGACTTGTAAGCTTTCTTGATTTTCTTGGCACCTTGAAGTGGGTGAGCACACATTGAGCACAATTGAGCACAATTGAGTACAATTGAGTACAATTGAGCAGTGAGCACATCAGAACAACAGCGACTTCGTCTGGGCTCAGCGCCTGAGAAAGCGCATCCTCGAGGAGCTGCCGGAGGCTGCGACCGGTAGCTGCCGGTAGCTGCTTCAAATTTTTCAAATTGGGTAGTTGCGTATGTAATCGTATGTAGCATCCGCATCGTGTGGCCGAGAGCCGACCCATATACCGAGCAGTACCGAGCCTGACATCGCCTGACCATGCTTTTGGTATAAGCAGAGGGATGTGCGCATTGGATTTTGCAACGATATGTATTCCAAAGCTCTCAAATCAACTAATCTTTGGACGCGCCTTGCAAGGTCTCTGGCCGCCAGCCTGAGGACTGGAAAGTTGTTCTGGAAGCCTTGGACCCCCTTAGGGCTAGCTGCAGCTTCCCTGAATTCAAGGCCTTGACATAGGCGGAAGGGTCAGAACTGAGCGTATTTTTTCTAGACATGCCAGATGTTGCAGTGTCAGGCGGGCCCCAGATATGGTCTAAAGCAAAAGCCCCGTGTGAGCCTGCCCTGAGCTCTCGTGCGCCTAGGAGCTTTTCCAGACATGGTCACAAAATACCATGTTCTGTTCCTTGTCTGTAGAAAGCCACAGCTGCAGATTTGTGCCTTTGGAGGGTGAGTTGTAAGCACATCTGAGCCCTGGATGCATCTTGGGTGTGGAGCCCGCGAAGTGCACCTGTTCGTTGCCGGCATATGCGAGGTTACAAGGTAGCCGACAAGCTGACAGACACCGCTCCTCGGATTGTGGGGGAAGTGTCTTGAAGCAGTTCAATCCTATGGCTGGAGCGGTTAAAAGCGGCTAAGCCTCTCAAGCAGCAACAGCAACAGGGCTAGCTTTGACGCGACTTGATAGCCGGACAGGTTCTCTATGGTTCTCTGGCTGGTGTGCTTTCTCCCCGGAATGTCCCTCCATGTTTGTTGCCCGCAGGCTTTGCGGCAACTTGCTGCAAGTGCACAGCAGCGTGGCACCTTGGTCCTGTTGTAGCATCTTGCCAGTAGCCTCTTGGGGCTTCCTCCTGCCAACGAAGCCGAAAGAATCGCTGTTCATTCCTCACAGGAATTGACATGCGCTCTTTGGATGACGCAGCAGCTCGGCACACACTGGCACATATCTTTCAAACCGGCCTCAGTTGCTCAGCCACAACATAGTACCCAGGGCCGAGAGCTGGTGATGCTCTACGGAAGCATGGACTGCGTTGGGTTCGACGAGGGGGGCCGGGGGGGGAGGGGGGCGAGACAATCCGCGGTTCGGAATTTCGTGCCGCCTCCAGGGTTTTTGTGCCGGGGGGATGACCATGCTGTTAGCAGCTGGTAGCATGGGAGGAGGGCACGTGGCAGTCCGTCTGCCTCGTGCTCCGGGCCGCATCCACCAGCCGTGCTGCGGAGGCTCACCTTGGAAGGGTCAGTCAGGCATTTTGGGGTTTATTGGGTTTACAGCCTTTAGGCCTGTGTTCGGAGCGCCCGAGTGTTCTTGCTTCAGTAGAGATTCGCAGGTTCGTTTCAAGATGGGCCGTTGATGGAGCATGACAATACTTGCTGCTCAGCTTTCTGCACGTGCTTAACATTTGAATCTCAGCAGAAGAACATTCTGTGTCAGGAATGTTGAGTTCTCGTTGGGAGATTATGTGTGCAGAGGGTTCTGCAAGCAGTGCTTTGTTTTCAGAAAGTTCTTCTTCCGGTGCAAGAGAGAGGAGATGCAATCATGCGGCATGTACAATCAGCTCGTGCAGGCGATCGCCATCAACCGCCCGTTCGCAAGGCTCAGACACACCCCTTAACCCCAAGCACCCGCGCTTGCACAATCTGCCAGAGGGGCAGATAGAAACCTGTTTGCCATCCTCCTGAAGCTTCAGCAGCTAGGGAGGAGGTGCCAGACTCTAAATGACATTGAGTAGCTGCCTGTGCAACTCCAGGCAGAAGCTGTGTCTGTACTTCTAGGAACGGTGTATAGCAGGGTGCGAGAATTCTTTGGTGTTCAGTCCTAAGCCCATAGTCGAGGAGGAATTGGTTGAGAAGGGGCCTCTGGCTTCGAGGTCCGTCGACAATGACCTGGCGCAGTTCCTCCTCTTTGGATCTAGGGCTGCCTCTGGTGAGGAGGACCGGTTGTTCTTGGGTTCCACCATCTTTCATCATCATCCTCTTGCATCATCATCTCATCCTTCCTCATCCTCATCCGCGTGATCATCATAATCCTCATCATCATAATCGCCACCATCACGATCGCCATCGTCATTGTCATCGTCATCGTCATCATCGTCATCATCATCATCATCATCATCATCAGCGTCATCATCGTCATCCTCATCCTCATCCTCATCCTCATCCTCATGATCGTCATCATTCATACTACATCAATGAAAGTAAGGGATGTCCTCGCCCATTTTCAAATGGGTAATTCTACCGGACCCCTCCATGCCAAATTCACATTTTCAGTCAATTGTTAGCCAGTTGTTTTTCAACAAGATCGCGTGCAACTTGGCTCTTCAGGCCAACATTCACAGTCATCGTCATCATTGGCAAAATTTCATCAGCAGCATCAGAATCATAATTGCTGGCATGGTTTGTATCCTGCACCGAAAATGTCAGTTTGCACTTCGCGCTTTCATCCAGAACCTGAGGAGCAGCGACTCCAGTACCGTTTTCTGGAGGCCTCACAATGGCGGGTTCTGGGGTTCGTTTGGCTCTCTACCGTCTCTACTGTCTTCCCTTGAGGGGGAAAGGGGCCCACTCCCTGGCAAATTGATCACACCATGGGGGGCTCCAAAGTGCCAAAGTGCCAAAGTGCCCACCTCACAGCTGGCGAATGCTTGCAATGAATTCCATTTTGGCCCCAAGTGTGGGAGAAGTGGGAGAAACGCCTGATGTCAGAGCCTTGAAAGAGATTCGAGACTTCAGACGTCAGCCCGCCAGAGGCCTTCGGTGACAATGCGGCCATCTACTTGGGCGGTCCGGAGATGCAGAAGGGACCAGGCCATAGCCTGGGGCACCCAAGATTCTCGACCTTTCAGTTCATCTCCGGCTCTGCTCCTTCATGTAACTAGCTGCTAACTAGCTGAACTAGCTCTGCTTAGCCAAACCCTCCAGGACTTCTCGTCCATGGCTTCGAGCTCGAAGGGTCCTCGGAGCTGGCGCCGGGGACGCGGATCTACAAAGGAGGCGCCAAGAGGAAAGCCAGTGGAAAGCCGAATCGCCCTTGACGGACAAGCGCTCCTAACGCACCAGTGGCCCTATTGAACTAGACTTCACGGGCTGGCCGTCCGCTGTGAAAGTTAACACGAAGAGGCCCAGGAGTCACATACAGGCATTTCCATGGTATATGTTTGTGTGTGTGTGTGTGTGTGTGTGTGTGTGTGTGTGTGTGTGTGTTTGTGTGTGTATTGCGTGCCTGGGTTGTCCTGGCTGGATTAGAGAAGCTTCGGCTCCATCGAGTTATGTTTTTGTGTTCAGAGGCAGTCGCTTTGTGCTGCAGGCTCTCGCTCCCAGCTCCCGAGACAGCCAGCTGTTTGCTTCCCGGGAGGTGTTGAAGCTGCCATCGACGGCATACTTGCAGGAAGGTGCCGAGCATGGCCCTCATTCCAGTCATTCCGATCCTGCAACTGATTGTTCTCCATCATCGGCGTGTGGTTGTTGTCACCTCTAGCGTGACAGCCCAGCAGTGAATGCTCGTAGCCGGAGAGTCAAACTCGTGTGAAGACATGTCCCTGAAGGTACTCTCCGCTGGACTTCCGGTGGTTCGTTGGTCGCCATCTGTGGCCCTGCTAAGGCTGCTAAGGTTTAGCTTCGGGCCGGCCCTTCGAGCCAAAAGCCACCTAGCCAGGGCGCTCCTCTGATCTCCTATGGCCACACATGGCCACTCTCCCGCTCCCCGCTGAGCTAAGCAGCAGCTAAGGGATCTGCGCACCGACGACTTCGCCTGGATCTCCATGGCCTCGGCGCGACCTCTGGCGCTGAAGCGCCTTGCCCATGTGTCTTCCATTGTCTTGGTCTTCCCTTTCCCCTTTCTCCTTTCATGTCTTAGCTGCCTTTCACCACAGGATGGCAGTTTGTTGCTTACTGAGTCATCCCGGGCTGCAGCCGCGTTGCACAGTTGACAGCCTGGCAGCCCATGTTTGCTCTGTATAGTCTTTAGTCCTTCGATCAGTTGAAGGTCCTTCGAATTGGTCTCTTCTTGCGTGAATTGCTTGACAATTGCTCAAGTTCTGAAGGGTTCTGAAGGGTTCAAGCTTGAAAGCTTTGGCCTCTCAACGAAGGCAGTGCCTGGGTTTGCCGAAGCCGCTGTGGCACGAGGCGCTCCAAGATGTCAGACATCGCAAGAATGCAAAAGAGCAGTTGCCGAACCCAAGCCTTCGCAAGCCTTAAAGCCTGAAGATTTCTGAAGCCTTACCACCTGGGCCCGCCGCCAAGCTCTGGAGGGCATGTTCATGCAGAGCAAAGCGACAGAAACCCTGCAGGTGATGGAGCTCTGCGGTGGTGAGTGCCGCACTAAAGTCCCAGTCCACGGACACTTTCACATACATCTCTTGCCACCCTCCGGGCCGCAAGCATTCCGGATCCCGCCCTGTCACATTTGCTGCCTGTTAGCTACATTCGCGTAAAGTGGACACAAGGTTTCCATTTGACTCATTACATTTAAGCACAGAGTCTTGCTTATCAATCCTAGAGTAGTCTTGTTGATTTTGACTCTTGGTTTTGGGAAGAACCAGGCAGACGGTCTCAAATTGATCCAGCTATCTCCTGCGGCACACATGAGGCACCGAGTTTCACAGATCCATTTCCAGTGAATTTCCAGGTATTCCGAGCTCAGCCGCGTGGAGCTCGTGCAGCGCACAGACTTGGATGAGGAGCGCTGTTCCGCTACTGCGCGAAGGGTGTCTGATGGTGTCTGCGAGTCTGTGCTTCAGCTCCCCAACAGAGGCTTTTGACAGGGGTGAATGCTGCCAGGATGTCCGAAATGGAGATGAAGAAGATGGTGGCAGCAGAAGTGGCTAAAGTGCGAAATCGGAAAAAAGCATCTTCTTCTGACTACAGGACTTTCCAAGACGTGCCTGAGCTGTCTTGGATCAGTCTGGGCGAGCTGTTAGTGTGTGGGGAGTCGGGGTGATACCTCCCCGAACACGAGTAGCAGCCAACTGTCCAGATCTACCCAACTGTTAAACTACCCAGAACTGCCAGACAGCCCAGCTTACACGATCGCAGCAGGAGCTTGGAAAGTCACAGTGGGGTGAAACGAGGTGTCATCGTTTGGGGCAAAGAGGTTCTTAGATTGGTTTCCAGAGATGATGCTGGGAAGTGCAAAGGGTCATACGTTAGGCGAGCTCAGGAACGGTGCCTTAAAGCTGGAATCACACAGTTCACGCGCGGACATGGAGCTTAGTGGAATGTTGTGATGTGCATGGTGCTCGCAGAAAGAAAGCTGCAGGCATGCCCTCTCGGCAGCCTGCACCGAGCTGGCGGCACGGAGCTCTTGGCTTGTTTGTGTTTTGCCGATCCGAAGCCTCAAGACGTCTCAAGACGTCTCAAGACGTCTCAAGATTCTTGACCCAGCTTTGCACACGAGCCAAGACCCTCAAACTCGAGACTCCACTGTCGCATCCCTGCCGAATCTCTGCAGCCTTTTGCAACGACCATGCCTGTATCGGTTACGCCGCAGCCACTGGGCTCCACAGGCAAAACCGTACCGACCTAAACGCTGCCCAGCCTCCGTGAAGGTCTCGCCAAATGTGGCTTTCCGGCAGATGCTTGGGTTCGTGATTCGTGTACCCGCTGGTATCTTGAGTAAGACCGACGTCTCGCTTCATGCGCCGTGTATCCTGTAGCTTCGCAGAGTGCTTGAAATTCGGCGTTTGCAACTCTTTTTGAGTTGCTTAAATCAATAGGAATCACAGGTCTGTGTGTTCTCGCATTGCTTGTCGTGTGGAGTGTGATGCTCAAGTCAGGAAAAGTGTCTGCGAGTCACCTCGTATGCGCCGTTGAAAAGCGCCTTGAGTCAGAAACGCCCTGAGCCTAAGTCGAAAACAGAGATGATCCCCCCAGGAGAAAACGCGTGCAACCCTGAAAATGTAATGCAAAGTTGTGTGTCCTGTGAAATATAGGCTCTACGCGGAGGCCGAACGGTCTGAGTCATTGGTCCCTTAGGGTCGGGCGGGACCGAAGATCAGTTTTATAAGCCTAAGTTCACAACCCTAGACCATGCACCCAACAGAATTCTTCTTGTACACGTCTTGCTACCAACCTGCGGAAAGCCTTGTGGTGGCTAGTTTTCGTTGTAGACACCTCGCCAGACACTCCTTGTTCAGCACTCTGTGTTCAGCCCGGTGCACTCTTGGTACCTCAACCTTCACTCAACTCAGCCGCGTCATGCGACGAAATGGTAGAGTGGGGTTGCGAACGCCGTGAAAGCGTTGGCATGTGCACGTTCGGAGCATGCATCTTTGCGTACCGTGGCCTCTTGGAACGCTTCTGAACCAAGTTTTTTGCCCATTGTGGCCTCTAAAACTGAGGGAATACACTGTACGCATTTGATCATCCGCCCGCTTCTGCAATTTCCATTCTGCACAGCGTTTGTGGCTTGAGCCTTGCTAGCATTGGGGACGAAGGCTATTGTAAACCTTGGTCTCCAGATTCTTCAAGTTACAGACTGGCTTCAGGCAACAAAGACGTTTCCAAGGTTTTTCTCTCAACATAGCCTTCGGTCAATGCAGCGTAATCAATCGGGTATCTTCGTGAATCGGAAATCAGCCAGGGAACATTTCAGAGTATGAGATTATGGGCGGAGTAAGTCAAGGCAATTGGTTTTTCTGCTATTCGGCGAACCCGCACTCCGCTCTTCCGTGCTATGACAGTCCACTGAACTGTCGACTCGAAACGTTCGTGAATGTTTGCAGATCCCAAGGCGACGCGCCTTGCGGATTCTTGCCGCACTGCCTGTCACTCTGGCCACCTGCACTGGCGAGGGCTGCGCAGGGCCCCAAGACAGGAGCCTTCCTGTTCAATGTTCAACATCTCCCTGCCGTGGGATTGCAGTTTCAGACGGCCTTTGAAGGCTCTTTGATGATTCCACACCCTGTCATATAAACCTCTATGGCAGGCTATTTCGAAGAATATGCGCCTCAGATGCGGACTCTTCAGCTGCGCAACTTCGAATAAAAGCTCTGAACCCGACTCAGGTTGCCGACGCTGATGCAGGGTCGCTCATCCAGACCCTCGGCTTCTGAAGTTGGATTGGGCAGAAACAAGGAGTCCCGAAGGTCAGACACGAAGGACATTGTTCGACCCATGTCCAGGGGCCCGAATGAGAGTGGGCCAAGGGTCCTGTCGTTGGTGGCCCGCCAAGTCCTTCCACTGAATCAGGCATATTTTTTGCATTTCTTGTTGGTTTTGACTGGGGCCGGGAACGTCTCAAGCTGTGAAGCTCAGGACGCAGACAGCTCACAAAGCTGCTCGGCGACATGATAAATGTTGTGGTCCAGAGCTTTTCGCCGCTTCTTTGATCCCCTTTTTGTGTTTGTCGCGTAGATCCGCGAAGGCTGATGCTGGAGAGAACGGCCGCATGCTGCAGGAGCAGCTCAGCTGAGCGACGTCTCCGTGCCAAAACGCTAAAACTTCTCTGCAGCTTCGTTGTGGACCATTTTGCAAGGCATGTCATGTCATACGTGTCGCCGTAGCAATTCAGGTGTCGAGTTGTTGTCAGCCAGAGGAATCTTGCAGTTGCGTGCTTTTGCGTAAGGAAGCAGAACTCGACAAACGCACACTCAAAGGCAGCGTGCGGGCAGGTTGTGGTTGTTGCCTTTGCTTTTGGGGAGTCTTTGGGGTCCAGGATCTGCGTCCTTGAATCCTAAATAGAACCCATGCTGAAACATACTAGTAGGAACCGCCAACATAGACCCTAGGCTCGAGTTTCTGAAGCCCCTGTTATAGGTGGTCTCGATCCAAAGGGAGGCCACCATTCAGAGCCATCGGCGGTCGAGTCCTTGTGACGGCAGCTTGACGGTTCAGATGCCGAGCTTGAGGAGGAACAAGTTCGTAGTACATGTGCAAGTTTCCCGGTGGTGGCAGGTTAGAGGTTTGAGAAGGCAAAAACTTCGCACTCCTAGCTTTCGTGATCCGACGTTGATTCCCGCAATGTGTGCCCCTGCGCCCGAGGTATCCTCGAAGCCATGGGCCGAGGGAGACTTGGCTCAGCTCACCCATAAAACAACACCAGGATTCACATCTCACTTACTTTTGCAAACTTAGGATCAACATTGGCAACGTGTACGACTTTCATGAAGGCGATCGAGAACCCAAAGTCGTCGAGGCACACGTCAAATGGGCCGTGGAACAAGGACCGACATGCCAGGCATTGCCAGTCTGAGGGTTCCACGTGAGGCATTGTTTGGGTATTCAATTGGGGATTCAATGGGATTCACGTGGTTCTGGAGTTGCACAGCCACAGCGCCAAAGACTGTCATAGCTGGCAATGCTCCCTCGGTAGGATTTGAGCACATCCGTCTGCCAGTGACCTGGGATGGACGCCAGAGACCCAAGAGGGCAGAACAGTTGAAAGAAGCTAAGAGCTCTGAACTACTTGTGTGAGCTGAACTACTTGTAGAGATTCCACTCAGTTGTACTTGCCAAAAGCAGCTAATACTCCTACAAAAGTGTCCAGAACTAAGACTTCGATGCCGACTCCCTGCTCACAAAGCAAGTCACCAGCGTGGTGGACTATGCCTTGGGCCTGGGCCTCCATGCAGCTCTGCTCCGACTTTGGAAGGCAAAACCAACCTGGAATCTATAGTTACTGTAAGTTACTAGAAGTTACTTTAAGTTACCATAAGTTACTTCAAGTTACTATAAGTTACTTTAAGTTACTTTATAATTTTCTATATATAAGTTACTATAAGTTACTACAAGTCACTATAAGTTCTTTGCGAAGTTGCGCCAAGCTACGGTGTTTGTGTATCTACCAGGGCTTGAAGGGCCCAGCTGCGAAGTGTAAGCACCTGCTTTCAACATTGGCATTTTCGATGGAACCGATTATTGGTTCCTAGTGGTTTTCTAATCGTTGTCTTTCTTTATTTTGATTTTTGTGTTCATGTTCCATCGATGTCTATTGGTTTCTGGTGTTTTTCTCTTGATTTTCATAGGTCGGTGATTTCTATTGACTTCCAGTGACTACCTTTATTGAATTTTAACTTCTTGTAATATTTTTACAGCAATTGGTTTTTCATTGAGTTTGTACTGGTGTTTAATGACTTTTACGGGAGTTTAGGGTGCCTTTTCATAATCACTAACTTACAAACGCTTTTTGTGGCAAGTAATGGGACAAGACGGGCAAATATGTCACAAAAGAAAGCTCGGTAGGTCACGGGGCGGGGGGTGTTAGTTGCCATACATTCCCCCAGAGTGCGTGCATTTGGGGTTTCTTACGTTGAGAGGAAAACGAATCAAAGAGAACAAACACAAAAGTTGCTTGGTCAACAGGGTGTAGCATGTGAGAATATATATATATATATATATATATGGTACCCCCCCCCAGTGACCTACCCTTTTTCGCCTTGTCTCAAGTCACCCAGCTGCACTGCAAGCAAACTCGGTGTGCAACATAGCGTGTTTCCGAGGGCGTAGACGAAAATACAACTAAAATCGCATACACGGGACAGTAGAAAAACCAAAACACCAAAACCAAAAATGACAAAAAAACCAAAACCAAAAAAACCAAAAAAACACCAAAAAACCCAATTTTCCGGAACTCTCAGAAATCAGGAATCCCTATGAGGCTTCTCCAAGAGTCCCGGAAAATTGGCTTTTTTGGTTCTTTTGTTTTTTTTTGGTTTTGTTTTTTTTGGTTTTTTGGTTTTGGTATTTTTGTTTTTTTTGGTTTTGGTATTTTGGCTTTTTGGTTCGCCTTCACGGTCACGAAGCAACAACTAACAACTGCGCATGTTTAAGTGTGCTTATGCTAATTGTGCTTTTCAGAAATAGTATACAAGTGGTCTTTCTAGTGCTTC